TTGCACCGCTCGAGGCGCACCTTGCGCTTCGAGATCTTGAGGAGCTTGCCAGGCGGGAGCGCGAGCAGCTCGTCGACGCAGGACTCGTCCTGTGTGCCAAAGAGACGTCAGTGGAGCTCCGGACAAGGCAACGAAGGTAGACGCACCTGAAGCAAGACGTAGCAAAAGCCCTTCCCGAGACCGCTGCTCGGGTCGCGCACGACACGGACGTTCTCGACATAGCTTCGACCGTCCGGCTCGCCTCGTTCCCGCACCAGCACCGCTTCGACCGCCTTGCGCACGTTCTCCTCGCTCTCGGCAAAGTCCAGCCCGCCGATGAAGATCGTGCGCTTGGCATCCGTGGCCGGGACCTGGTAGGCGTCGTTGTTCTTGGGCACCTCGGTCAGGTTGGCGTTCGGCTTGGCGGCGAGTTGCGCGGCGGCGAGAAGGGCGGCGGCAGATCGAGGGCGGACTGCGTCGGCGTGGATCGTGAAACCCTCGAAGACCGAGTTGTTCACGGCCTGAATGACGGCACTGACGACGGCGCGAGGGTCGACGTTCTCAGGCAGCGCAGCAATGACGAGGTAGGCGTTGCAAGCCTTCTTGCCCTCGTTGAGCTCGCCTCGGATCAGCGCAACCTTGCGCTTCTGGGCGTCCGTCAACGGCTGCGACTTGCTCGCGACCGGAGCAGGCTCCTCCTCCGTCGCCCTGAATCCACCCTTGACGCCACGCAAGTCACTACCTTCCGACTCCCGCCACGCGCGCGCACGCTTGCGCGAGTGATCGCCGCCGTTCTGCTCGCCGGTCTGCACTTTCCGCCCGAACACCTTCGACGCGAAAGCGATGGAACGGAAGCGGATCGAGTCGAGCTTGAGAGGAGGGCAGCCGGCAGGAAGAGTCGAAGCGAGAGAGGGGTGCTGGAGGACATGGCGAACGAGCGCCTTCTTGAGCGGCTGCGTAGGTATGGGTGTCAGCGAATCCCTTCCGATTGTTGATACGAACAGAGCACGCACCCGCGAGGTGGTGCAATCTGCTGGCACGTTGCCCAGGAAGACAGTACGAGCGTCGCGGTCCTCGGGAGTCTCCTGCGCCCGTTTCTCCAGCTTGGCGCTCTTCTTCGCCGGCTCCTTTCCCTTCCGCGTCTTCGACGGCGATGGCGCCTCGACGTCCTTCAGCGAACCTTGGATCAAGTCGTTGATGTCGAGAGCGTTGTCGTCCTCGTCCACTTCTGACTGGTCCTCCTCCTCGTCCTCCGAAACTTCCTCGTCGCCCTCGTCCTCCGCCTTGCGCTTCGTTCCCCGCTTCTCCTCACTCGACTGCTTCTTCTTGATGGCCGCAGCAGCGAGACGCGCCGCATACGCCTCCTCAAGGTCGTCCTCCTCGTCGCTCAACTCTGCGCCCGACTCGAGCTCCGACAGCTCAGCGTCGTTCTCAACAGCCTCCTCGTCGTCTGCAGATGCTTCTTCGTCCTCGAGAGCGGCGGCAGCACTCGTACTGGCGACAACCTCCTTTTGCTCCTTCGGCTGGAACGCGACAGACGGTCCTTTCTGCGGGCGTGCAAGGTACGTCAGCTCGAAATGACCGCAACCAGCAAAGGCCGGCCACGCACCGAGTGAGCAAAGATGTCGTCGAGGTCGGCATCCTTGCCAGAGGCCTGTCCGAGCAGGAAGGACGAGAGGCCAGTCGCGGGGGCGGTCGTCGCTTCAATCGTATCGCCAGTAGCCTTGGCAGCAGCCTTGCCTTTGTTCTTGCCCATCTTCAGCGGTTGACAGCGTGTGGTGGTGGAGGGAGCTTGGACGAGGTGAGGTTTCCCCGGGACGACACCGCTCGCATAGCTCGTGCTGCTTCTGGCTAGTCTGCTGGCATTGCTACTGATGTCTGCACACCTTCCAGCACCACCGCCGTCGCTTCCATGCCGCTCAGGACGAGGGAGACCGGTCTCGTCCCTCCTCATTGGCACAGCGTCTCCAGCGGCTGTCGAGGAAGGACTGGGACAAGTTGCTGGGCGCAGAACATCAGGAAGCGCACTCGTCCAGTTTGACGCGGGCCTCGCAGACTTTGCTCATCCGCCAATGAGACTTCGCTCTCTCCCCCACTCCTGGTCGCTCCCGAAGCGTGTGACCTCTCTTGCTCGCTCTTGTGCTCCGTCCTGCGCACTCGTGAACCTACCGACCATGTCCAGCGACGCCGCCGACAGGGTCAACTTGCTCAACGTCTCGATCGACCCCGCCTCGCCGGCGACACACTCCCAGCAGGTCTGCCTCTTCGTCGACCCGTTCTCATCTGGTTCGTGGACTATCGACTTCGAGCCGGTGGTGTGGGAGCCGGGGCTGTTCAGGCCCTCCAAGGTGTCCCTGAGATGGCGAGGATGCAGGTCGGATAGGAAGCGCGAGGTGAGGATGGCAGTTCGCGTTGGCAACGAGACCCACGCCCTCGTTGACTGGGTGGGCGGGAGCAACGGCACTTGGACACTGGCTGTTGGGCGGCCATCCAAGATCCTCGAGATCGCAATTGAGGTCGCCAAGGATGAGCAAGATGGTTCTTTGTCTCCTCTCGCTCGTTCTCTCAGTGCGTGCATTCCCACTCCGCTAGAAGCGGAAATCGCTGACCCATTCATCCAGACCTCATCGATCAGCCACCGATGTTCGACCTCTGCCTTGCCTTCGCCCGCGATCGCCGGCGACTATGGGCGTCCTCCGCAGTTCTCGCTCAGGTCTCGCCGTGGTGGGCGGAGCAGATGCAGACAAGCGGATTCCGCGAAGAATCCATCACGCTCGCACCGACGCCAGCGGAGCGTTCCGAATGGCACGACTCGGACTGCTCGGACGATGAGGCGGGAGCAGGCCCATCGTGTCTCTCGCATCTCGATTCGCCATTCGCGACACCTCCGCCCTCTCCGCCGATACGAACACAGGACCTCCCGCCGTTCTGCCGCATCGTACCAATACACGGCACTTCCTACCGAACTTACCGAGCCTTCCTCGGCTGGGTCTTCACCGGCACAGTCCATTTCGCCCCGCTCACTTCCTCCTTCCGCTATTCCCCCATCGCCGCCTCTCACATCTCGACTTCGGCAACCTCCTGCTACCGCCAACACGCTGCCTCGCTCGCGGCTCACCGGAAACTGTACCCAAACCGACCTACACCCGTCTCTCCCAAATCCCTTTACCGCCTCGCCCACTTCCTTGAGATACCCTCACTCCAGCGGCTCTGTCTCGATGCCTTGAAGGGACGACTGACGATGGCCAACGTCGCCTACGAACTCTTCACCGACCCGCTCGCCGAGGTCTACCCAGAAGTGTTCGACCTCGAGCTCGAGTTCGCTCGGGAGGGGTGGGACGAGGTCAAGCAGTCGCAGGCGATGCGGGACGTGACGGATCGCATGCGGGAAGAGGGTGCGACGCAGTATGAGCTGTCGACCCTGTTTAGATTGACGGGTTTGTAGAGCTGGTGGTGGCTTTTATCGACTCTTCCCTGACCCCCTTGCCGCTCGCTGCACGAGATAGATGCCGACTGGCGAGCAATGTACGATAGGATTGCCTCATTTGTCGTAGAGTACTCAAGCGCTCGAACCAACCTCACCGCTCCTCAGGCAGCCTGAACGCCCTCCATACCTGCAACGGCGCCAGCATCGTACGTCGCGTCGTCGACGGTGCCCGTAGGTGCGCCCGGGGCGCCGAAAGGCTTCCAGCGCGCGTTGAAGTCGAGAGCGAGGGGGCGACCTGCGATCAGAGCGAGGTGAGCAAGCCTTCGTATGCTGACGCGGAGGACACGCTACTCACCGCCGTATTGGTAGCCATTGAATCTCGTGATGGCTGTCTGCGCCTCCTCGACCGTCGCGAACTGGACGATACCCGCGCCCTTCGACCTGCCGTGCTCGAAGAGAACCTCGGCGTGCTCGACAGTGCCGGTCGTCTGGAAGAGTTCGACGAGGTCCTCGTTCGAAGTCGAGTAAGGGAGCTGCGGGTGCAACGCATCAGCCGTCAATCGCAATGCGCAAGGAGGAAAAGCGTGCGCGAACTCACGTTCCTGACGTAGATCTGCTGCGACGGCGGCATGACTGCTCCGCCGCCCGGTCCAGCAGGAACGCCCGCAAAACCTGCGCCTGCACCGAAGCCACCAGCCGCGCCGAACCCGCCAGCCGCGCCGTATCCGTACGCTCCCGCTCCGAATCCAGGCGCAACTCCGCCGAACCCGCCGCGACCGAATCCGCCGCCAAAGCCGCCACGGCCCATGAAGCCGCCGCCGCGTCCGCCGAACCCGCCGCCACCGTGCCCACCCTGCGGGAAGCGGTCCTCGCGAACCTCAAGGACAGATCCCTGGAATTCGAAGCCGTTGTACATGGCTGCGAGGGAGGGATTGGTCAGCAACACTCCAGCGAGACACTGAAGCGCTCAAGCGTACCGATAGCGTTCTGCGCGTCCTGTGCCGTCTCGTAGACAACCGTGCCGGTCCCCGAGTGCGAGCCGTCAGGTCCCATCTTGACGTCGGCGCGGATGATCGAGCCAGCGGCGCGGAAGAGGTCCTTGAGGTCTTGCCAGCCGACCGTGTAGGGAAGCTGATGCAGGGAAGGTCGACGGTCAGGTCGAAGCGGGGCGCTCGGGGCGAGAGAACGGGAACGCACGCCGGTGATGTACAAGTGCCTGCCTTGACCGCCGACGGGTCCTCCGAAGCCTGCGCCACCTGCGAAGCCGCCACGACCGCCGAAGCCACCGCCAAAGCCGCCGCGAGCAGGGAACGCCGCGCCTTGGCCCATGAAGCCTGCGCGGCCAGAGATGGCAGCCGAGCCGTAGCGCGCCTCGTCCTCGCGGTCCTGCGAGTGTCGAAGGGTCAGAGATGCGATGTATGCGATTTAGCGCGGACTGGACACACTTCGCGGACGAAGACGGGACGGCCGAGGAGCTGCTGGTCGCTCAGCTCGCGGATAGCGCGCTGCGCCTCTTCAGGCGTGCTGTACTCGACGACACTGCGGACGTGAAGGAGTTGTCGTCAGCAAGGGAGCTCGCAAGCGATCGCTGTTATGCCGCCTCGCAGATATGGAGAAAGAACGCACCCGCAACCCTTCGACATGCCGTTCGGCAGGAGCATGATCTCCGCAAAGACGACGTTGCCGGCTGTTGAGGAGAGGTAGCGGGCATGGGGGAGGACGAGGGCGGATAGGCGGTGGACGCGTCGAGCCAAAGGTACCGCGAGACCCCATGTCCACCGCACCAGGGAAGGGAGAGAAAACCGAAGAACCGTCCATCAATACACCGTCCTTCTCACTGACACGCGACCGAGAGATGCTCAATCCAACACGTCCAACACGTCCAACTCTTGACCTGTCCTGCGAGCCCGCGCGGGAAGCGCCTGCGGGCAGCTGCTTGTGCGGACGCCGGCGACGGCGGCGGCGAGAGGTCGACGGTCCGACCAAACGCGTCGAGAACCCATGCCAGAATTCCCCGCCGTGCCCTTCACACCTTTAGTGCCAGAGTTCGCCAATTCCTCGCAGCCTTTTTACGCGCTCCATCCCCCACAGACCTGCCTCCTTCGCGCCGCGTTGCCCCACCTCCAGCCTCCAGATCTGACCAGTCCACACCGTCCAAGAGAAACTGTCGCCTCACCCTCCCTCATAAAGTCCTTGAGGTCGTTCCACTTGACGCCGAAAGCGAGGTTCCCGACGTAGACCCTGCACTCCTTGCGACTGCGCTTGGCCGCCTCGGACGCCGCGATCTCGCGCGCCATCGCCTTGCGGTGCGGGTCGAACGGAGCACGACGGTCTGCGCCTCCTGCACCTGCGCCGCCGCGATGTTCGCGGTCGCGGTCGGAGCGGTCGCGATCACGCTCGCGGTCGGTGCCCATCCTGCGAGGTGAGCGAGAGCGAGAGCGTTCGCGGGGAGAGCGGGAGCGGTCGCGGTGCGAGGAACGGCGAGGGGAAGGGGAGCGGCGGCGGGGAGACGGCGAACGGCGGCGAGGCGAGCGGGAACGAGAGCGGGCGCGTTCGCGGTGCTGCGTGGCGAACAGCAGAGTCAGTAGAGCAGTTCATACCCGTTCCTCCTCGCACCCGTCACCGCTAGTGTCCGCACGAGGGTCCTCCGGTCACGACTGGCCGGACTGGCAGCATTTGACGCTGGACCATCCGGAAGCTGCTAGAGATTGTCACTCCAGAAGAGAACAACTCACGCCATCGTCCTGGTCTGCCCATGCCACGCCAGCCGCAGGAAAGCACGCCCAAGTCCCAAGTCAGCATGCGTCCCATCTCTCTGCCTGGCCCGCCAGACGCGTCCCGACTGCCGTGGCCCGCCTCCCTACTCACCGTGATCGCGCTCACTCCTGTCGTAGCTGCGCCAGAGGGGGTTGCGAGTCAGCTGCGGGTGCTCGCGTTCGAGCGGGGCAAGGGGAGGCTTTGGAGACGCACTCGTCGGCTGTGAGCGTGTGCGGGTGGGTCAGTCAGTCTGTGGACCTCGCTGAGGTGCATCAGAGCTCGCACGCACCCATTTTTCTGGTTGTCGAGGTGGGTGTACTCGTCGAGGAGGCGAGGAGAGCGACTTGGACGGGTCAACTCGCTCAGACTGAGTCGCTTGCGTATGGACAATTTTTAGTACTGCACTCAGATGCTGCCAGTGTTACTCTCAGCCCATTTGAGCGTGTTGACATCGCCCTTTGTTCGTGCACCTTTGTCCTGTTCGCCTCGTCGCCTCACGCTCTCTGCTGCTCTGCTGCTTCGTTCGACTGCTCGTAGGCTCTCAGGCAGCTATCGCACCCTACCACCCTCGCCAACAAGCTCGCGATACCTCTTCTCGCTCTCCTGCATCGCCTCGTCCCGACCGCACTCCCCACCACACTCGACCATGTCCGCCGCAGCCGCCGACGCAAAGCCATACGTTCCCTGGGCGCAGCGAGAAGGGTGGGAAGACTTGCAGCCCGTCGCACAGAACGACGCGCCCAACTGCCTTGTTCCCATCGCCTACGACGAGATCTGTACGTCCTCGCTCGCGCAAAGGCTTTGCGCACGTTCTGAAGACGAGAAGCTGACCAAGAGACGTTTCGCAATAGACCGGGATGCGATGGACACGTTTCGAGCGATGGTCGCCAAGCAGGAACGCTCAAAGCGGACGCTCGAGTTGACAAAGGTCCTCATTCACTACAACCCGGCGCACTACTCTGTCTGGTGCGTCTCCATGCCGTCGCGACTCGACAAGCCTTCGACTGACGGCTTCTTTGCTGCGCAGGAAATACCGGGCCGACACACTCTTCGAACTCAAGGCGAACCTGTCTGAAGAGCTCGACCTCCTCGACCAGCTCGTCAAGTACCATCTCAAGTCGTACCAGGTCTGGTGAGCAGAGCGTCACTGCGGATGTCGCACCGGCCCAGCTGACGGTGGCCTCCCACGCAACGCTGACAGGCAACACCGGCGAAACATCGTTCTCGCACTCGACGATCCATCCCGCGAGCGCGACTTCACCTCGAAAGCCCTCGCCCTCGACGCCAAGAACTACCACACCTGGGCGTACCGACAATGGGTCCTCTGCCACTTCTACTCGTCCCGCTCCTTCCCCGACTCGACCTTCCCTTCTCCCGAAAAGGCGGAAGAGGCGCAGAAGGTCTGGGACGGAGAGCTCGAGTATGTCGAGGAGCTGTTGACGAAGGATATTCGGAACAACTCTGCGTGGAACCATCGGTTCTTCGTTTGCTTCGAGAGCGGGATGGGCGGAGACTGCGGCGAGCGGGAAGTCAGGTAAGTCGGCGTCTTTGTCAGGCCTGCGGCATGGTGACGTAGAACGCACATCGCCCGCTCACGCAGGTACGCGAAGGAGAAGCTCGCGATTTCGCCAAACAACCCCTCGGCCTGGAACTACCTGCGAGGGTGAGTCGAAGCTGTGCTATACCCTCGACTTGACACGCTGACACCACTCTGTACAGCGTCCTCGGCCGACTCAAGCGACCTCTCTCATCCTGTAGCGCCTTCGTCACGCCTCTCGCCCTCAACACGCCCTCCTCGCTCCCCGAATCCGAACCCGCCATCTCGTCCAAAGCCGAGCTACCCGCCTGGCTCGCGATCGAGTTCCTTGCTGACGCTGCAGCTGAAGAGGCGCACAAGGCGGACGAAGGTAGCGATGAGCGGAAGAAGAAGGTCGAGGAGGCTTCGGCGGTGAGTCGCATTCCGCCTCTTTCGCCACGCCCACACGGCTGACTCGTGTTCTCCCGTAGCTGTACGGCTCTTTGGTCGAGTACGACCCCATCCGGCGGCACTACTACGCGCTTCTGCAGAAGGACGTCGTCCGCTTGGCGCCCTCGTCCGCCTCGAATGACCTCGCCGACCGAGTCGCCGGCATGTAGCATACCTGTAGCCTCTCCTGCAACACTTTCACACGCAATACTCGCTTACAACAGCCAGTCAAGCGAGATTGAGTCCGCCGGGCCGACGGCTTCGTTTCCCTCGCTCGTTCGTTATCTTTGCTGCCGTCGCCTCGCGCTTCCTTGGCTTCCGTCGTCATGCAGCGTCTCTTCACTCGCTCGTTGACTCCCGCCGCATCACTCGCTCGAACTGTGTCCTCTCTCGCTTGCCCTTCCGCCCGACGACGATTCTCCATGACCCCCTCGCTCTCCTCATCCACCGTCAATGGCACCGCCAAGCCTGCGGTATTCATGCTGGACAAGATCACGTTGGCGACGGAGCTGTATGACGAGCTGGCAAAGGGGTGGACGGTGATTGTGCGTCTTTCTTCCTCACGAGTGTGGGGGACGGTGTTGCGCGACGGATGCATCTTGCGAGGGCTCGCGCTGGTGTCGAGGCGTTGCAAAGCGTGGAACAACGAGTGGGAAGCTGACCTGGCGCGGTCTGCACTCTCTGCAGCCCCTCACCTCGACAACTCGCGAGGAATTTATTGCCGACTGCAAGACCAAGTACGCCGAGGCGCAAGGCATCTACCGGCATTTCAAGGGCGAGTCGAACAAGGTGAGGCAGAGCCTGCTGGACCGCAGGAAGTGTCTTGTGCTGAATGGACGAAACGCGACCACAGGTTACCGGCCTGTTCGACCCGGAACTCGTCGCTGCTTTGCCTCCTAAGCTGCAGTTCCTCACGCACAACGGTGCTGGATACGACCGTGAGTCCCCGTGCGATCTACGAGGTGGAACCTCGGCTTAAAAAGACGATTGCCTCCACCCGCTCGCAGAAATCAACATCCCGGCGTGTACCGAACGGAGACTGCAAGTATCGGTGCGTCACCCTCCCATCACTCGGTACATTCGCGCTGATCACAGTGTCGCGCAGAATGTCCCCGTAGCAGTTGACGGCGCAACAGCCGACACCGCCCTCTTCCTCCTCCTCGGCGCAATCCGACAGTTCGGCCGTGCACAGCACAGCTTGCGAGAAGGCACGTTCAATGCCGGGCTGCCACTGTCGAACGATCCGGCGGGGAAGAAGGTGAGTTGCGCATCTGGCTCAGCCACATCCAGCTTCGCAAGCGTCCCTCGTCTTGCAGTGATCCTGTTCGCTGACAGTAGATTTCTGCAGCTTGGGATTGTTGGCATGGGCGGCATCGGACGAGCCCTCGCGCGACGAGCTAGAGCGCTCGGCATGAGTATCGTCTACCACAACCGGAATCGCCTCTCTCCCGATCTCGAAGACGGCGCCGAATACATCTCTTCCCTCGACGAGCTCTTGTCGACATCCGACGTTGTCTCGCTCAACCTGCCGCTCAACCCAAAAACGAAGCACCTGATGGGGTCGGAGCAGTTCAAGCGCATGAAGAAGTCGGCTATCCTTATCAACACGGCGCGCGGTGGAGTCGTCGACGAGAAGGCGCTCGTCAAGGCATTGGAGGACGGCGACATCGCCTCGTGCGGGCTGGACGTGTACGAGAACGAACCCAAGATCGACGAGGGACTCCTCCGGCTGGCACGGGAGGGAGATCCTCGGGTCTTCCTCCTTCCTCACGTTGGGTGCGTGTTACACCTTTTACGACGCTTCGTAGCCAGCGGAGCCTCTCCTGCGCATTGTTCGAGCGTGTTGACCGCTGACCTTGCTTTCCCTTCCCTCCTTTTCGCAGGACCGTGACCGTCGAGACGCAGCAGGAGATGGAGGCGGTCTGCCTGCGACAACTCGACCACGGCTTCAAGACTGGCAAGCTGGCATTCTGGGTTCCCGAGCAGAAAGGACAGTTCTAGACACCACCTGAAACGCAATTACCCTCGTATTCCGCTCTGCGTGTCCGGTACGATCCACTTGTTCTCTCAAGAATGCTGTCGCGGGCTTCGTGTGAATCAGGAGGCGAGAGTGAGGTCGATGCTTCGTCTCCTCCGTCCTCGCCTTCCCCCACTTCACCTCGCTCATCTCGCTCACCGCTTTCTCTGCTCGAGACCGGCTCAACGAATCCGCATCGACATCTCTTAGAACGACCACGAGTCTTGGTGCCTACAGTCCGTCGCGAAGCCGGCAGACATGGCCGTCGGAGGCGGGACCCTCGCCGTTGGGTCTGTCGCGCTCGCAGACCGCCCGTTGGATGCGATCATGTATGATATGCGGAGCAAGTGAGTTGGCCGTCCATTGCGCTCGCTTTCGTGGGCCCGCGAGACGTCTGCCGCGTTACCTCGACTTCATCGGTCGTCGTCTCGAGGGACGGGATTGTTCACTGAGGAAGTCAGCTGACGGTTCGTACGGTCTCGCAGGGTGGAGGAGATACGCTTGCGAGCAGCCAACGAGCTGTCCAGCTATGTGCGTCGCCTGGAACTACCTCTTGCCTGCCCTCCCCCGCACGCGCTGACAACCCGCTTCGCTTCCAGGTCCTCGCAAGCTCGCGCACGCTGTCCGCAGAAGCTTTCAACAAGGTCTACGGCGAGATTCACACCCGATGTTTCGCCCTGGTCAACTCGCCCGACCTCCAGGACAAGCTGGCAGGAATCACTGCAATCGGTTCGCTCTCTCGCGCATCTCTCGTCGACTTGTGCTGACCATTGCCTCGCCATACAGACAAGCTCGTCGATGTCCTCGGAAACGACATGTCCAGGGCGATCAGGCTGGCGGCATCTGTCCAGCGCGCCTTTCCTTGTCCCGACCCGCTTGTCATGACGATGGCTGCCAAGGTCTTCGGTTCGCAGTCTCTCGCCTCCGAGCAGCGAACACACGCTGACCCCTCTGTTCTGGCAGCTCGACTTGCGGCTCAGGGAGGATCACAGATGGCGGAGCATGTTGACATCCAGGTCAAGAGCTGTATCGAATGGCTTCAAGGTGCGCTCGCCGCGACGAGAGTGAACGACAGCTGCGCTGACCATCATATTCGCAGGCGAACGGATCGAAGCTCGTCGCTACGCTGCCGTCCTCGTCCTCCGCGAGCTGACCCGCTCGGCGCCTGGACTCGTCTACGACAACGTCCCTGACCTGCTTGACAACCTGTGGACTGCGTTGCGGGATCCGAAGGTGCGTCGGTTACTCTACCGCCATTCGAACGGATAGCTGACTTGGTATTCTTCAGGTCGCAATCCGAGAAGCGGCAGCAGGGGCCCTTGCCGGCTGTCTCCTGATCGTCACGCAACGAGACGGGCAGTACCGGGCAGACATGTTCGGCATGGTTTACGAGCAGGCGCAGCGAGGCTTCAAGCTCAACACGGCAGAGGCGATCCATGGATCTTTGCTCGGCTACAAGGAGCTCTTCCTCGAGGGCAAGATGGTGCGCACAAAGATCGCTTCCCAGGAACGTCACACTGATAGCTTTGCGTGCAGTTCATGCACGAGCGCTACACGGAAGTCTGCGACCAAATCTTGTCGTTCAAGGACCACCGCGACCCGCTCGTTCGCCGCGCGGTTGTCGAGCTCATCCCGACTCTCGCGTCTTACAACCACGCCGACTTCGCAAACCTGTACCTGCACAAGACGATGCTCTACCTCCTCGGCCAGCTCCGGAACAACCGGGACCGGACAACCTCTTTCCACGCCATCGGTCACGTCGCGATGCAGGTCAAGTCGGCGATGGCGCCGTACCTTGACCCTATTCTCGCTAGTGTCAAGGAGGGGCTGCAGCAGCGCGGCAAGAAGGGAGCGCCGTCCGAGGAGGCGATCTTCCAGTGTATCGGCATGCTCGCGCAGTCTGTCGGGCAGGCTCTCACCAAGCACATGCACGAGCTGCTCGACCTGATGTTTGCCTACGGTCTCTCGCCTGCGCTCGAGACTGCCTTGACGCAGCTTGGCCGGGACATTCCGCCTCTCCTGCCCGAAATTCAGGGTGCGCAGAGCTTCGCCCCGATGAAACGCTCACTTCGCTGACCTTTTCGCCTCGTAGAACGCGTACTCAATCTCGTCTCGCAAATTCTCGCGAACGAGCCGTTCATCCAGGCCGGTGCGCCTCGACGGTTCCACCGCCACGACTATCCGATGCCGACGCCTGAACACCGCGACGAGAACCAGGTCATTCTCGCCCTCGAAGTACTCGGCTCGTTCAACTTCAAGGGCGTCTTCCAGGTCAACCGGGCGGCCCCGCCGGCGGAACTTGGCGACGAGCACAGTCTAGGCGAGTTCGTCCGGGATCACGTCGCACGCTACGTTGAGGACGACAATCCCGACATCCGAAGAGCTGCCGCCCTCTCATGCTGCGGCGTCCTCGCAAACGACCCCGTTGTCGGCCAGACGAGCAACAACGCCATCCGGCTCGTCAACGAAGTCCTCGAGAAGCTGCTCACGCTCGCCATTGCCGACCCGGACCCGACCATCCGCCAACTCACCATCTCGCACCTCGACCCGAAATTCGATCGGCACCTTGCGCAGGCAGAGTGCGTGCGCTCGCTCTTCATCGCCTTGAACGACGAAGTCTACGCGATCCGCGAGGTCGCGATCAAGATTATCGGCCGCTTGGCGAGCATCAACCCGGCCTACGTCATGCCGTCGTTGCGGAAGACCCTCATCCAGCTTCTCACCGAACTCGAGTACTCGACCTCGTCGCGGAGCAAGGAAGAGGCCTCGACGTTGCTCGGCCTGCTTGTCGGCGCCTCGCAGCGCCTTACCCGCCCCTACGTCGTGCCGATGCTCAACGTCCTCCTGCCAAAGTCGCGGGACAACTCGCCAGCGGTCGCCGCCAGCATCATGACGACGCTCGGCGAACTTGCGCGAGTCGGCGGCGAGGACCTCACCATCCAGCTCGAGCCCCTCATGACCCTCATCCTCGACACGCTGCACGACCAGGCGTCGGCGCCGAAGCGGGAGTCGGCATTGCGGACCCTCGGCCAGCTGAGCTCGTACTCGGGCTACGTGATCGAGCCGTACCTCGACCACCCGAGCTTGCTCGGCCTGCTCATCGGCCTGCTCAAGACGGAGCCCGGCCAGCACACTCGTCGCGAGATCATCCGCGTCATGGGCACGCTCGGCGCCATCGATCCGTACCGGCACATCGTCATCGAGGGCATCTCCAACGATGCCTACGTCGAGGCGTTCAACCCGACGGACCCGACCCATCCGTCCAACATCGGCCCACAGCATGACGAGTACTACCCGACGATCGCCTTCAACGCCTTGCTCGTCGTCTTCAACGACCCGTCCCTCAGCGAGCATCACACGGCCGTCGTTGATGCGATCATGTACATCTTCCGTTCGCTCCGGCTCAAGGTTGTCACCTTCCTGCCGCAGGTCCTGCCCGCCTTCCTCAACGTCATGCGGAGCTGCCCCGTCGGCCTTCAAGAGTACTACTTTCAGAACCTCGGCCAGCTCATCTCGATGGTCAAGCAGCACGTCCGCAACCACCTCGGCCCGATCATCACGACCATTCGCGACTTCTGGACGACGACGCCGAACCCGGGCTTGCAGATCATCATCGTGGACGTGATCCAGTCGATCGCGCTCGCTCTCGACGCCGAGTTCAAGGCGTACCTGCCGAGCCTCTTGCCGCTTCTCCTGCAGGCGTTCGACCATAACCTCAACTTTGGCGAGCTACGGCGGCAGAACACGCTCATCCGCGTCCTCCACGCTTTCAGCATCTTCGGCTCGAGCCTCGAGGAGTACCTCCACCTTGTCATCCCGGCCATCGTCCGCACCTTCGAGCAGCCGGATGTACCATCTCTGCTGCGCAAGCAGGCGATGCAGACCATCACGCAGCTCTCGCGCAAGCTCAACTTTGCCGACCACGCCTCAAGTATCGTGCACCCAATTGCTCGTGTCCTCGCGTCGCCGGCAACGCCGTCTGACCTCCGCAACGTCGCCATGGACGCCCTGTGCGCGCACATGCTGCAGATGGGGCCCGACTATGTCCTTTTCGCCGGCCTCGTCAACAAGGTGAGTACTGGCGTTGCCTTCCCGACCTCGTCTTACTGACTCGCTGTGCTCGCAGGCTCTCGTCCGAAATCGCATCGTCCACCAGCAGTACGACCAACTCGTCTCGAAGCTGCTCAAGGGCGAGCCTCTCCCACAAGACCTCTCTTTTGGCGACCCGTGCGTGCCGTCACTGCTAGCCTCCAAGCCTCGCTAACGGCTTGCTTTCCGCAGGGTCATCATGCCGAGCAACGAGGCGACGGTTGCAGCGGATGCCGGCGTCAGCAAGTTGCCAGTCAACCAGGTCGCCCTCAAGAGCGCCTGGGAGCCTGTCGACCGAGCCAAACCGGACGACTGGCGCGAGTGGCTCAAGCGGCTGAGTGTCCAGCTGCTCAAGTCGTCGCCGTCGCACACTCTTCGAGCATGCGCCAACCTCGCCGAGGTCTACCCGCCGCTCGCCCGCGACCTTTTCAACGCCGCCTTCGTTTCCTGCTGGACCGAGCTGTACGACCAGTACCAGGAGGAGCTCGTCCGAGCCATGTCGACCGCCCTCGCATCGCCGACTCTGCCGCCCGAGATCACGCAGACACTCCTCAACCTCGCCGAGTTCATGGAGCATGACGACAAGCTCCTGCCGATCCCGATCGCAACCCTCGGCGGCTATGCCCTCAAGTGTCGAGCGTACGCCAAGGCGCTGCACTACAAGGAGCTCGAGGTCCTCCAGGACCCGTCGGTGCAGACGATCGAAGAGCTCATCCGGATCAACAACTCCCTCCAGCAACCCGACGTCTCGATCGGCATCCTCACGCATGCGCACCAGGTCCACAACCTCGAGCTTAAGGAGGAGTGGTACATCGAGCTCGAGCGGTGGGAGGACGCGCTCGCCGCTTTCGAACGCAAAGCGCAGGAGCAGCCCGACTCGTTCGACGTCACGCTCGGCCGCATGCGCTGCTTGCACGCACTCGGAGAGTGGGACTCGCTCGCCGGTCTCGCGCAGCAGCACTGGACGCGCGCCTCGCATGAACAGCGTCGCAAGATCGCCCCGCTCGCCGCCGCCGCCTCGTGGGGTCTCGCGCAGTGGGAGTCGATGGATGCCTACATCTCGGTCCTCAAGCACGACTCGGCCGACCGGGCGTGGTTCCGCTCGATTCTGTCGATCCACCGCGGCCAGTTCCACAAGGCGCAGAGCCAGATCAACAAGGCGCGCGACTTGCTCGACACGGAGCTCACGACTCTCGTTGGCGAGTCCTACAACCGAGCGTACGACGCCGTCGTCCGGATCCAGATGCTTTCCGAGCTCGAGGAGATCATCTCGTACAAGGAGGCGACCGCGGTCGGCAACAACGAGCGACGAGCCGTCATCCAGAAGACCTGGATGAAGCGTCTCAAGGGCTGCAAGCGGGACGTCGACGTCTGGCAGCGCATCCTCAAGGTCCGCGCTCTCGTCGTCACGCCGCGCGAGAACACCGAGATGTGGGTCAAGTTTGCCAATCTCTGCCGCAAGTCAGGCCGCCTGGGGCTCGCCGAGAAGACCCTCAACTCGCTTCTCGGCGACGACCAGGCCACGATGGGCGGGCCGGCGATGTCAGGACCGCCGCAGGTCATCTACGCCCACCTCAAGTACCAGTGGGCGACTGGCGCGCGCGAAGAGACGCTCGCTTTCCTGCGCGACTTTACTGCCAAGCTCTCGACCGACCTCGGCATCCACCCCGACGGCGAGCAAACCGCCAACGCGGAGGTGGTCAACTCGGGGCGAAAAGCCGAGTACACCCGCCTCCTCGCTCGCTGTCACTACAAGCTCGGCGAGTGGCAGAGCGCGATGCAAGAAGACTGGGGTTCCGTGAGTGGTGCTCGACAGCCGCTCTTTGCGACGCCTCACTGACGCTCCGCGCTCTCGCGCAGGAAATCATCCCCGACATCCTCCGCTCTTACCTGCTTGCGACGAGTCTCGACCCGACATGGTACAAGGCCTGGCACGCGTGGGCCCTCGCCAACTCGGAAGTCGTCGCGCACTTTGCCAGATCGCAAGGCGAGCAGGATCCGACTCGGCCTGGGGCTTACTCGGTGCATCTTGTGCCTGCCGTCCAAGGTGTGTACAGGAGTGCTGGTCTGAGCCCGCATCGACGCTAACGAGCTTCTCGCACACAGCCTTCTTCCGCTCGATTGCCCTCTCGCCTGATAGCTCATTGCAAGATACGCTCCGCCTCCTGACTCTCTGGTTCAAATACGGCCACGTCAACGAGGTGTCCAACACGATCATGGAAGGATTCCGGTCCGTCTCGGTCGACACCTGGCTTGAGGTCATCCCGCAGGTGCGCAACGCTCGTGTCCACCACAGATCGGGATCTCAGCCTGACTCTCGCTTCCCATAGCTCATCGCCCGCATTCACGCTCCCGATCCAAGCGTGCGCAAGCTCATTCAGCACGTCCTGACGGACGTCGGCAAGGCGCACCCTCAAGCGCTCGTCTATCCGCTCACGGTCGCCTCCAAGTACCCGAGCGAGACGCGGCGACGAGCGGCGCTGTCGATCATGAACAAGATGCGCGACCACAGCGCGTCGCTGGTCGAGCAGGCCGTCCTCGTCAGTCAAGAGCTAATCCGCGTCGCCATCCTTTGGCACGAGCTGTGGCACGAGGGTCTCGAGGAAGCGTCGCGCCTCTTCTACGGCGACCACAACATCGACGCCATGTTTGCGACCCTCGAACCACTGCACGACATGCTCGAGAAGGTGTGCTTCCGACTGAGCGCTGGCCGAACTGCGCGCTAATTCCCCTTCTTCCGCAGGGTCCGGAAACGCTGCGCGAGATCTCCTTCGCGCAAACATTCGGTCGCGATCTCGCCGACGCTCGCGAATCGTGCAGGCGATACCGCCAGTACGGCCAGATCGAGGACCTCAACCACGCGTGGGACCTGTACTACCAGGTGCGCCAGTTCCGCCCCAGTGGCACCAGCTTGTCTTGCTGACTCGCATTCCCGCAGGTCTTCCGCAAGATCAACAAGAACCTCCCCACGCTCACTCTGCTCGAGCTGCAGTACGTCTCGCCCAAGCTGCTCAACGCCAAAGACCTCGACCTTGCCGTTCCCGGTGAGTCTGCTTCTCGCACTCCCGTGAGCGCTTACACTGACCACCTGCTCGCGCGGCAGGTACCTACGTCGCCGGAAAGCGCATCATCCGCATTGCCAGCTTCGGCGCCAACCTCGAGGTCTTTACCTCGAAGCAACGGCCGCGCAAGCTTCGCGTGTTCGGCAGCGACGGCATCGAGTACAATTTCTTGCTCAAGGGTGCGTCGTCTGCGATGATGTTGCCTCGAACGATGCTGACTCTTGGGCGCGCGCAGGCCACGAGGATCTTCGTCAAGACGAGCGAGTCATGCAGCTCTTCGGCCTCGTCAACACGCTCCTCCAGAAGGATCCGGAGACGTTCAAGCGCCATCTCACGATCGTCAAGTACCCCGTCATCCCGCTCTCGCCGAACTCGGGTCTCCTCGGCTGGGTCAACAACACAGACACCCTCCACGTTCTGATCAAGAACTACCGCGACTCGCGCAAGATCCTCCTCAACATCGAGCATCGCTTGATTCTTCAGGCGCGTCTGGCCGTCTCACCGCGAGAGCAGTGCCTCGACTGACACCACCTCTCTCTGCAGATGGCGCCCGACTTTGACCACCTCATGCAGATGCACAAGCTCGAGGTGTTCGAGTACGCCCTGGACAACACGACCGGCCAAGACTTTTACCGCGTGCTCTGGCTCAAGAGTCGCAATTCGGAGGCGTGGCTCGACCGGCGAAGCAACTACTGCCGGACGCTCGCCGTCATGTCGATGGTCGGGCACATCCTCGGTCTCGGCGACCGGCATCCGTCGAACTTGCTCATGGACCGCGTCACCGGCAAGATCATCCACGTCGACTTTGGCGACTGCTTCGAGGTCGCGATGCAGCGAGAGGTGCGCAACGAAGTCGTCTTGAAAATGAGCTCACGGCTGACCGGTCCTTTTCCCGCAGAAACACCCGGAGAAGGTACCGTTCCGTCTCACGCGCATGCTCACATCGGCGATGGAGGTGTCCGGCATCGAGGGGACCTTCAAGATCACCTGCCAGCACACGATGCGCGTCCTTCGCGAGAACAAGGAGTCGATCCTCGCCGTGCTCGAAGCGTTCGTCCACGACCCGCTCATCAATTGGAGGCTCGTCCAAGGCGGGCGGCAAGTCGGGAACAACGCCGGACGCGGCGGCGAGAACGCGCCGGCAGGTGCGCGACGACCGCGCGGAGACGAGACCAACATTCATGACGGTGTGCTTGCTTTCGCTGTCCTCTGTACGAGCATCTACTGACGTCGTCTGGTGCACCGCAGACGGCGCAGTTGGCCAGATCAACACTCGAGCCGTGCAGGTCATCGAGCGCGTCCAGCAGAAGTTGACAGGTGCGCCCGCGTTTCCGCCTTCCCGACGATCGCGCCGTGGCGTTTGTGACGGCTTGAGCTGACCGTCACACGCGCCGCCCCCGCAACAGGCCGCGACTTCAAGCCGACGGTCTCCCTTTCGACCGAGCAGCAGGTCGACCGCCTCATCGACATGGCCACCAAGCTCGAGCACCTCAGCCTCATGTTCATCGGGTGGTGCGTTCGCTCGCTGGTATCGTTGCGGTGTGCAGGATGAGCCGCTGACTCCGTTTGGACTGTTCCTGCTGCCATTTCGTCGACGAATCGCCTTTCCTCGACCTGGATTCGCTCGCGCGCCTTGCTTTTTTTTTCTCCTTTGCTCAAAAAAAAGGTGCGCTTTTTGGTGAACAGCGAGATACGCGCAGAACTGGTCGATTCGCGGAATCTGGACGACCTTGGCCGGCGAAACCGCCTCTGCATGCCAGACTCCGCCACTCAGCACGTCCGGCACCCTCCTCCTTCGCCTCACAGACTGCTATCCTGCTCGAAGCTACTGTACGTGCCGTTCCTCTTCCGCTCTCTCGCTCTCGCCGGTTCTCCCCTCGCTGATTTCCGCTTGTGCTCCAGCTCGACGCCTCGACGATACCCGCTGCCCGTTCCATACCCTACCTTTCCTTTCTACCATTACCGTACCTCTGTGTCTGTACAATTCTCGGCAACACTTCGCCGACTTCGCACGACGTACCGACTTGACCTTCCCAAGGTTGGCTGGCGACCGTTTCCTGCCGTGAGAAACAGCTCGATAGACGTGTTGCAGCTCGTCAACTGTGCCCTTGCGGCTCTGTATCGCTCTGGATTTGTTGGACCAGGAAGCGCTAAGTATCGCTGACTTCACTCACAACTTCCGGTTGTTCTCGAGTTTGGGAACGGTTTCCACTCAAGTACGCTTCTTCATCGCTTCGCAGAACCGCCCATCTTGCGAGAACCGAAGCTCCTAGCGAGGACACCCTCCTCGCCCTCTCGTGTTCCCCTCTCCTCCTCCTCCTCATCATCATCTTCCGCTCTTTCGCTCTTCGTCTGCTTCTAGCTCTCCAGAACCACCATGTCCCGTTCTGCCAGTCTCACGGCGTGAGTCGCGCTCGCTTCCGAGCCCTGTGGACGCCGCGCGAGCCGTTTCCCGCCTCATCATCTCGCTCACCTTGTCCGCCATTGCCACCGTTACAGCGCCGCGGCAAACCGCTGCCAACCGGGCTACTCAGCGTACAACCTCAATGCAACTGCTGTGCGTTCCCTCTCTGGCCACGAGGCTCTCAAACTGCCCCGAGACGAGCTGACCCTCCCCGCTCAGTACCAACCTTCCGCTCGCTCCGGTCCTCGTCGCGCCGCACCCTCTGTTCCGACGCCTATCAGTCCCACTCTCTCGAGGCCGGCGGGACCAGCAAATCGCAGCTCGTTCGGATGTGAGTCGCCGCAAAGCCGGATCAAGCGAGACGTGCTAACGATGTCCCTCAACCACAGCGCTCGAGCTTGCCCTTTGCCTGCATGCCCGAACCGAGAACTACCCATCTGCGTTTGTCCAGCACGTTCCGGCTGTCATCGGCTCTTGGGACCACTATTTGAGGAGGGGATCCTCGCTCAAGGCGAAGCTGGGGACGAATTGCACGTCGAAAGAGTTTGGGTGCGTCAACGAGAAGGACAAGAAGCTTCTCTTCTTCATCCTCCCCGTCGACTCGACCCAGCACCGCCAGGTCAACGCCGTCATGAACGGCTGCCAACTTCGCCTGCTGAACTTCACGATCGAGCTCAAGTTTACGGCTGTCGCTTCGAGCAATCAGCTGTCGAAGGAGCGCAAATGTCAGCCTTGCTCACTTCCCGAACGGAAGGCCAGCGAAATCGCAACTCACGTGCTTCTTGTACGCCCTTTCACACAGCAAGCACCTGGGCCTCCACTTCCCGCCCTTTGTGTTGTCCGCGAGCGTGCTGTAGATGAGCGAGTCGCGGTATTTGTCGTGTGGGCACACTCTCGCGGGCTGGTGCGTCGCTGAGCAGGCCGCCGTGCAGGGCTTGTTGTACGGAACGCCCGTGCACTTGCCGTACGTCGCCGTGATCTGCGTTCCTGGGTACTGCTGCTTGAAGGCGGCGAGCGAGACTTGGGCTTCGGGAGTGAGGGTCGTCTGTGTGTGGTGGCAGAGTGTGGTGCGGCTCGGAAACGTCGACAGGAGAGCGTTGGACATGGCTGCAGCTGCTCAGAGTCCCGTACGAAGCTGCCAGTGACGAGTGGTGGGTGTCGAGAGGACAACCTCATCGAACGGTGCTTTTGGCGGACGCCATCCACCTCGCACAGCTCGTGGTGTCTTCTACTGGCACAGAAGCTACCCTTGTGGCCTCTCCCACCCGCCATGCGACCGTCCGCCCTCCCCTCGCTGCTCGCGCTCCTCCTCGCCGCCCTGCTCTCGAGCCGCTCGAGCGCCGCAACGCCGTCCTCGCGCGTTCGTGTCGAAGCGGGCGAGCCGGATGGCGAAGGGAGACCGACGATCAGCCTGTCCATCGACCCGGCAGAGGGCTTCACGTGCGTTGCGACCGTCTCACGCCTCCTCCCCACATGCGCGAAGCTGACTGGTGCGAGACGCGCGCAGGATGGTCATGGCGTCGTACAAGCGCGACGAGAACCTTCCTCCACTCATCAAACACCTCACGACGAACCCGCCGTGCTCCCTGCGACATCTTGTCATCGTGTGGCAGAACGTCGGAGTCGACTTGCCAGACTTCCTGAATGCGACGGCGCTCGAGCGGTACTCGACGTCCGGCGTCGTTGTCACTGTGCGCAAAAGCAAGAAGAACAGCATGAACGAGCGGTTCAGGCCGATGCTCGACTGGGACGAGGAGATCTACACCCGCGCTGTCATGATTGTCGACGACGACGTTGTCCTGCGAAAGGATGCGCTCGAGTGGGGTTACCAGGAGTTTGAGAAGGCGGCGCAAGTGGGAGAAAGCCGCCTGACTGGGTTCATGGCGCGCGACTTTGACGGCGAGCAGGGCGACTGGTCGTACACCTTGCGGCCGAAGAAGACCTACTCGATGGTCTTGAGCAACGCTGCGTGGCTGAAGAAGGAGTGGCTTGAGAAATACTGGGAGGACTCGGCAGAGATGCGGTCGCTGCGGGACTATGTCGACGAAGGTACGCTCACGCAAATTCCGCTCGTTCTCTCCCACCAACGGACTTCGACCGCCTACAGTCATGAACTGCGACGATATCCTCATCAACTACCTCGTCTCGAACATCACCGGCAACCCTCCCCTACTCCTCCAACCAAAGACACCGCTGCGAATCATCGGCGGGGACGGCATGTTTGCGCGCGGCTCGATCGCTGTCGACGAGGATGGCGCTGAGGTCGACGAGGAGCCTGTATCGGACACCGGCGACGTCGCTGGCATCCCCTCCGCCGGCCACTTCTCCCAACGCAAGCTCTGCCTCGAGCGGTACTTCCAGCACTTCGCCCAATACGCTCCCTCCGGCGCGTCGTTACACTATCCGCTCATCAAGACGAGCACGTCGGTCTCGCAGGACGTCGAGGATCACTCGCGGTGGCTGACGCTGAACGAGCCGTGGGAGGAGATCGTCTGGAATACTGCACCTCTCGGCGAGCGGGAGGAGGAGCCAGAGGAGGAGGAACTCGAGGAGCTCGACTTTGACGACGAGGATGAGCAGGCGGAGAAGCAGGCGTTCGAGGAGATGCTGCAGGGGATGTCGGACGAGGAGATCGACGACCTGCTCAAGGAGATGCAGGAGGCAATGGCGAAGGAGGACGGGCTGGGCGACATACCCGAACTCGATCCGAGCGTGTTTGAGAACCTAGAGCAGGAGCAAGGAGGCGAGACGAGTAGACCGCATGCGCATGACGAGCTGTAGAAGCGCCCGATTTCGCATCATCTAGTTCTCACAACGTCTACTGTCCCTCCCAGAGATGCCAGTCGAGCTTACCCTCTCCGCGCGGGACGAGCACCATCTCCCAGCCGCCCTGGTCCTCAACCCGATCTCGGTCCGCCTCTTCCTCCTCGCCTCGTCCTCGTCCGCGTTTGCGCTTCTTGCCGTTCGGTCGCTTGCTTGTGCCGACGACGGGTACGGTGGCAGCTGAAGTGTGCGAGAGCGACGCGTGAGGGAACGGTCGGAGCGTGAGTGAGACAAAGGGTTGCTTTGCGAGGCTGCGAACGAAACAGTCAGCGTGAGCGCCGCCGGTACGCAGGACAGGACACGCACTCCGCGTGTTCCAACATCCGCTCGACTGCGATCAAGACGACCTTCGGATGCAGCAGCCCCTCCCATCGCAATACCTGGACCTCGCCCTCCTCGCACTTCTCCCTCTCGAGTCCCCACTCGTCCTCCTCCGCTTCGTTCGACCATCGCAACTTGTCCGCCGCTTCTCCTCCTAGCGAAGCCAGCCCAGCCCACTCGCGGTACGTCTCCCAGAACGCGGTCGGGTCGTCGCCGTCGTGCGAGGGACGGAAAGCGCCGGAGCTGGTGCGCGGTTTCTTGGTGAGAGAAGGCGGTGTGGCGGGCGGGAAGGAGGCGACTTTCGGGACTGAGATTGACGAGAGGGTGTGCGAGGTGAACGAGGGTCGAAGGGAGTGGCAGGTGGTCTTCGGGAGTGAGACCGGTCGCGGTTGGTCTGTGGAAAGATCGTAATCAGTGTCTCTCGCTCACTTTTCGCTTGGGAGGACGCACCCTGCTCGTCTACATAGCTCATAATCAAGTCGAAGCGCTTCGACGGCCGCTCAGCAGGTTGTCCGCCAAGCTCGTCGAGCAAGTCTGTCCGTCCCGGCCAGTTGGCGAGAGCGCGCTCGACTCGCTCGAAGCCTGGCTTGCCGGCGCGGAAAGAGGGGTCGACGAGCGAGATCTCGACGACTATAGGACAGCAGGGTCAGCTGATGTTGCGGGTTTAGCGAGTTTGGCAGACGAACCGAAACGTTGTCGCAGAGTACCGTAGGCTGACGCTCGACCAGGCAAGCCCAGCAATTCGTACGTGTCCTTTGTGAGGCTCAGTACGAGTCGGCCTGGAAAGCAAAGTCCGTGAGCAGCGCGGCAGGACCGTCAGGATGGAAGGACGCACCTCGCCCGTCAATGCAGACGACGTCTGCGTCCTCAGCATCGTCAAGGCTCAGGCCGACAAGGCTGCCTACGGGTCAGTACGAGATGTGAGCAGGACATTGGAAGCGAAGAAAGAAGGGGACCGTACCGCTCCGCACGAAGGAGTTCAGAAAGTCGGGAGTGAGCAGGTCGCCCAGGTTGACGCCCTCGCACATGGTAAAGCTTCCGCTCGCCTGCAGTGCCCCCTCCAATGTCGTAGCAAGTGCAGCGGAAGTGCTCGCAGCTGTTGAAGGGATGATCGCTTCGAGCTGTCGGGACAAGCGAAGGAAGGTCAGCTCGTCTTCCGATCCGCTAGAAGCAGGACTTGCCTGCCAGCCGAACGGAATGCGTTCCACCGCCTTTCCCAGCCTTGCCCGTGCGAGTGCTGAAGTGGTCTCGCCTTCCTCGACCTTGCCCGGGATGAGGAGCTCGCCTGCCGAGTAACGCGAGCGGTCGGAAGGCGGCGGCGGTCTGTAGCTCGCCTTCTTGTGGTGTGCGTTCATGTCGCAGCCAGTCTAGCCAAGCAAGCGGGTGCACTCGTCGAGGATCTCGTTGGAGGGAAGTGAAGAGATGAAGTTGATAGAAAAGCGAGGGACGCTCGCCTGGCGCTGGCGATTTTGCTGTGGCTCTTTGACAGAATACTCGTGCCTAGTAAACCTCGCCAGCATGACCTGCGCCTGTCGTTGACGCGAGAGGATCGCGTTGTCCTCGTCGTCGCTGGCGAGCGACTTGCTGTCGTCCACACACCGCCAACGGCCCAGCTGGGCTGCTTGCTATCTCGCCAGGCCTCCTTACAGCCGACCAAGCCCGTCAGCCGCGCCGCTGGCCAAGTAGAACCCTCCCGCTTCTCCTCCTCCCTCTTCCCCCGCCCTGCCCGCGTCTACCGGTCCATCGCACGTCGCCCGGCTCAGCAGGCGTCAGAAGGATCGTGCAGTGGCTCTTTGGATTCGGTGAGTCGCGCGATCATCTTTCTGGAACAGCGACGAGCGGTCGCCTGCTCAGATCGCCTTGCACGCCGGCGATGGGGTGAAAGGGAGGGACAAACGGAGGAACAGCGCTGACTGGGTCAACCTGGACGCTCACAGGTGGACTATCAGCACTATCTAGCTTCGACTCGCCCTTCACAACCGCTGGAGACGCTGTTCTGCTGCTAGTTCCGTCCTTCCCCTCCTCTCCCACCCAACCGCGACCCTGCCGCCTCGACCTGCGAAGCCCGCCAGCCGATGGCCCAGCAGGTGCGTGGACACCGTTGGACGCCTGAGTGAGGAACAGAGCGGCTGACGTGCAGCTGGAACCGCAGCCCCGGCCCCCGTCGGCGGGACCTTCGTCGTTTGCCTGGGAAGGCGATGCGACCCTACACTCGTATGTCCGCCCGCTTTCCTCCCTTGTCGTCCAGCTCGCTAAACTGACGCATCTCTGCAGGTACTGCTACGATTACATGCGGGCGAGTCTGTACCGAACCCACGTGTGTTTCCTCAACTGACGACCCTCATTTTCGAGAATGCAGAAACGAGGATGGACGGAGGCTGCAGCGCGGTTTGCCAAGGAGGCTGGAATTGATGAGGACGGGTGGACAGGACCGCCGATAGAGGCGCCCCAAGGATTGCTCTACGAGTGAGTAGCCCTTTCTTCTTTCGCACCTCTTCGCTCACCTAAACCGACGTCGCTTTCGCAGGTGGTGGTCGGTCTTCTGGGATGTCTTCATCGCTCGTTCACAAAAGTCGGGCGCGCAGAACCCGCATGCGGTCGCTTACGTCGACGTGAGTTTCCCAACTGCGCTTCTTTCGGATCGACTTCCTGCTGACCGGTTCCATGCAGGCCATGCGCGCGAAGCGAGATCCGCTCGTCGTCCAATTCGCCGGCGCCAACCCCACACCGGCCATGACTCTTCCCCGTTCCCTCGCCCACCCGCCCCGAAACTCCACCTCCATGCACCAACCTCAAGCCGGCCCGAGCGGTCCTCCTCGCGCGACGTACAGTCAGATGCATGTTCTCGAGCAGCAGGAGCTGCAGGCGCAGATGCAGCAGCAGCGCGGACGTGGTCAGCCGCTCCAAAACGCTGGTCCTGGTACACAACGACTTGTCGCCGCGCACCAGGCTCAACCCGGACAACCCGCTGTCGGCTACTCGAACGGCTCGCAACCGCCCATGTCGCAGCCGTACGGCATGCATTCGGCGCCTTTGCAGCAGCAGCCTCATGCCGGCGGCGGCGTACCCGGTCCTCTCATGCAGCCGCCGCAGAACCAGTCCTTCCTTCCGCAACATCAGCAACAACAGCAAAACCAGCTTCCTCAGCCTCCGCCCTCCTCGAATCACGGCTCACCGCGCCTCTTGCCGGCGCAGGCGAACGGACGACCGGGGATGCAGACGGGTGCTTCGGCGTTCCAGACGGCGATGAGTGCTGTGGGGTTGGCGGGTAGGGATCCGGAGTCGCTGTCAGCAGAGGAGCATGTGCGTCCCTTTGCTTGCCGGACAGCGTGCAGATCGTGCTGACTTGTCTTCGCCTCTCTCAGAACGCTGTCGCGGCGCAGATGCGACGAATGGGTGCTCTCCCACCTTCTTCGTCGTCGGCGCAGGGCATGATGCGGCCCGGTCAGCAGGGTCAGCAGCAGGTGCGGATGGTTCAGCAAGGCCGACCGCAGCCTGAGCGCCAGCTGAGCGGACAGCTCTACGTGAGTTTGCTCACATTGGTCCAGCTCGTTCATCTCGCTAACGGTCTATGCGCGAGCAGCAACAACAGCAGCAACAGCAGTTCCAGCAGCAGCAGCGTGTCGTTCAGAACCCCTACGGCACGCCAGCCGGCGCCGGTCCCGCCTCTCCAGCCTACTCCGCCCCGTCCCCTTACTCTACCCCTCACGTCGCCCATATGCAGATCCCGCAGCAGCAGCAACAGCAGCACCAGAACCCGAACCAGTTCGCCGCCTCGCACAGCTCGCCTCAAGGAGAGTTCACCGCGCCGCTTCCGCCTGGTCGCAACGCTGCGCAGAAGAACCGGCCTCCAACAGGCGGCGCGCAGGGTCAGAAGATGCCAACGGGATTGACGAAGCGGGCGGGAGGGAACATGGAGGAACCGTCGCCTCGCAACCGGAAACGAGCGCGAGGCGCGACGGGAGGCGAGCACGATCCGGGCACGCCGAGCGGAGGATTCGATCCGGGAGCGGGCAGTCCTGCGCCGATGATGGGCATGCAGGCGTCGCAGCAGAGCGGCCAGATGTTTGGCCAGGACGGCGTGCCTTATCGTCCTTCGCCCAGTCCTTCGCTCATGCAGCCGCCGAAACCGCCTCAGCAGATGGTTGTGACGGGCCCTTCGCCGCAGCCCCAGCACTACGGCGGCGGCGACGCGATCAACGGCGCGGGCATGGACAGCGGAGGACAGGGCTACCCCGTCAACGGTGTCAGCCCTGGCGCGAATGGGTCCCTCAGCCGCCCAGCATCCGCCGCGTCGAACCACCACTACTTGTCGCCGGGCCACAACGGCGCTCCTCAGCAGCAGCAGCAACTCGGCCTCGGCCCTCCACCAGGTCCCGACCAGCGTCGCTCGCCTATCCCGCCCGGCGGTCACGATGCTGGCGGACCTCGACCTTTCGCCGGCGCGCCAAGCGCCTCGTCCGCCTCGTCCACGCCTCTTGCACCCCTCCCGCCGCCTCTTGGACCCGAGCCGAACGGCATTCCCGTCGGTCCTCCTTCCGGCCAAACAAACGCCAACGACTCGTCATTCCAGTTCAGCCTCGGCGAGGACGTCTTCACCGGCCTCGACTTTGACAGCTTCCTCAACAACGACATGTTCGCCGAGGAGACGGTCGGCTGAGTCTCGTCCTCTCCGCCGACCTCCGCCTTCCCCTTCTTTCTTTCTCTTCCCTTGTTGCTTTGATCTCGGTTTTACCAGGGTGCACATAGTGATGTCTGTGTTAGCAAGTCGTCTTCGATCCGGCCATCCGGCGCTCACCCCCGTTCCGCCTCTCTCGGACGCTCAGGTCGGCGTCCGAACCCATCGAAAAGTCGTTGTTACCCCCGCTTCTGTGTCGGTATGTTACCCTACCTGTTCTCACTCTGTTTCTCAGGCATGCCTGAAGGCGGGACGGGACACTCGGATCCTCCAAAAATGCATAACCCGGTTTACGACTCTACGAGGCGCGCTGAATGCGGTAGAAGAGCAAGTACGATGTCTTCTCGGCTTCTCGGAAAGCGCGCTCGAGCTTGGCGGGCGTGTCGAGCGGGCGAACGCGCTCGTCGTCGATCTCGAACCAGCACGACGAGTGCCGGACGAGAGCGGTGTCTGCGGGTGAATGGGTCAGCGGCGGAATGGCGGCGAGAGGTACTCCGACGCACAGTGTCCGTCTTCGATAGTTGCGCCGAGGTGGCAGCATACGGCGTACAGCTCGTACGTCGTCTCCGGTTCGTGAGGCAGGTTGAGGTGGAAAGGCGGATTCGGGGCGAGCGCAAGGGGCGGAAGCAGGTGCGCGAGGCGGAGGTCAGTTAGTGGGAACGAGAGGCGAGTAGTGAGCTTGTCGGAGAGCGAGGTGAAGCGTTTCAGGTGGATAATTCTGCAAAGGCGAGTGTCAACCTCGAGAGACGGGAGCTCAGGCGCTCTCACCTACAGAAACTGGGGCAGACGGGCTACTGAGAGACGCTTCGACGTCGGACAAAGCCTTCGACAGCGCGGGCAGTTCCTGCGCGTGGGTACAGGTTAGGCGGCGGAGTTTGTCGCGAGTTCGCACCGACGCACCAAGCGTTCTCGCCAGCTAGAATCTCCTCCTGTACGAATCCTTCTATGGAGGTCGCCAGCGAGACCGCGTCGTCGGCTTTGCGAGGCGGAGGAAGGGAGAGAGACAGAGTCTGGAAAGGGCTGAAGGTCGTTGATACCTGGGGGATACGGGGTCAGCGGTTGCAAACGGTTCCTGACAGAGGACGCTTACCCTGTGACAGTCTAGACACTCAAGGCGATTGCGTGTCTGGCCTGCGCAAGGAGGAAGAGCCAGTTTCAGCCGGTTAACCTCCGCAAAGTAGGCGAAAGAACGCAGACTCGCCTTGGAAGAAGTCGATAACGACCGAGTCGTTGCGCTCCCGGTACACTGACCATTCGAGGTCTGCGGCGACGACTTCGGGCAGCCGGCGAAGGTGAGCTTCGTAGCCTGGTGACGGCGGACGAGGCGGAGGCGGATCGAGGACGAGGTTCAAGTCTTCGTGTAGTCCATCTAGGAGCGTTAGGAGGCATTCGTGAGCATCTTGCTGGTCAGAGGCGAGGTAGTCCGGCCGGAGACGACCGAGGGCGGCCTGTCAAGGCGTGATCAGCGGGCGACGAGACAGTGTGCGGACTGACACTGACCCGAACCCGTGCAGGAGAGGCGGCAGGACCAGAAGGTACCTTGAGCGCACGCAGAAGCAGTGCTGTCGCCTGCGGTGTCGAAGGTGAGCGCCGCCCTCCTCACAGTTGGGCAGATAGATGTACTTCGGCTAAAGCGCCTTGCGTTCCTTCGCGGTTTCGCCGATTAACCTCGTGCTCGTAGTCGCCGCCTGCGTTGAGCTCAGTCAGCCTCGAAGAGCGGGAAGGCGGCGAAAGAAAGGCGCGGCGGACTGAGGAAGAAATCGGCGAGAGGTGTGGTCGCTGCGAGCGCCTGGACGACGCAGGCAAGATAGCATGTGTTGCCAAGGTTCCGCAGACCGCTCACTCGCGGCTGAGACGAGCCTGAGCTGCCAGCCGAGCGGTCTTTGGGATGGGCGGGCGCAGCGAAAGTGTTCGGCAGGTCTCTCGCACCCAGTCCGCTGGTTCTCGCTTCGTCGTCCGAGTGTGAGCTCGCATAGGACGCCAAGTCGCTCGAGGCGGGCGAGTTCGGCGGGGAGTCGTCGAAATCTGGCGAGCGAGGTCGGCGCGAGGAAAAGCGGTCGTCTTCTTCCGCTCCACGGTACGACGGCGCCCTTGGCGGATTGGGAGCAGGGGAGTAGGGTCGGTGAGCGGTCGAAGGCTGGTGGTAAGGTCGTGGCGGCTCGGAAGTCGGCGCACTCGTGAGTCGTTTGGAACGCTCGTTCGGCAAGTCGACCCCTCTCCCGCCTTCGCCTTCTTCGGACGAGTCTGACAACGTCGAGGACTGTGAGCTGCGAGAAGTGCGTTTCGACAAAACTGGAGTAGCCGTCGAACGCCTCTCCTCGCCAGCAGGTCGTCGCTCATCTTCGAGACTGGTCCGCTTGAAGAGGCCGACGACGCTCTTCCGCTTCTTCAGCACCGCCCGCAGACCCTTCCCCGACTTCTCGCGAGCGTCTCGAGCGACGGCTGCCCCGACGACATCCGCCATGTGTCGAGGCTTCGCGTGCCGCTGCTCCTCGAGGACGGCTTCAACTGCCGAGCGCATCGTTCGGCTGTTCCCGCCCAGTCCGAACTTCTTCAGCGATTGCTGTTCTTGCTCTGGGGTGCGCTGAGCTGGTGGAGGCGCCGAGAGTGACAGAGTGGTCTGCTGGGATGGCGGTCGAGGAGGACGAGGAGGTCGCGGCGGCGGCACATCGTCGTCGGGGCGTGCCAAGACGCCTGAAGCAGCTGGGATCGAGCGCCAGAACATGCCGGCGAATGCAAAGGAAGGAAGGGCGTAGTTACTGGGAGGCGTGAGCAACTCCGGCGACTCCGCGGACGAGGAGAGGAGGCGATGTCGGACTTTCGCGGACGGCCGGGAGGTCGAAGGTGGATACCAACCGTTCGCTGATTGCTCTGCAGCGTTCGGTAGGCGCACCAGAAGCCAGGAAAGCCAGGAAAGCGAGACCCTGACCTTCTCAATCTCGCGAGATGTCAACGCTGGCGAACTCGCTTCACCAGTCCCCTGCGCGTGTGCGGGCTCGTCAGCGGCTGTAAGAGAGTATCAGGAAGCTATCTAAGTGACCAGAACGCGCCCACAGTGGTGACACGCAGGTTGACTTCACGCGCGAGGTCGTCCTCGCTCTTTCCCTCCTTCACCTCACTCTCTCCCGCCAAAACCGCGTAAGTCGGGCTCGAGCGCGTGCGTATACACTCTAGTACTCACCGACTGACACTGGAACGCGTCCCGCCCGCCAGAAACGCGCCGTCGCCTCGCACTCGCAACTCTCCACTCGACTTCACCCTCGACTTCACCTCGCACACTCGCACGACATGGCTGGCACCGGAGGCAAGGGCAAGTCCGCCAAGGGAGAGGGAGACAAGAAGCACTCGCGCTCGGGTGCGTCCAGTCTACCATTCTCGCGCTGCTCGCAAGCGGACGTCGACCCTTGCGTCCGCTCGCAGCCAAGGCTGGCTTGCAGTTCCCCGTCGGACGCATTCACCGTCACCTCAAGAAGGGTCACTACGCGCAGCGCATCGGCGCAGGCGCGCCAGGTGCATCCCCGCCTGGTCGATCCTCGAGCGAGCCGAGCTGACCTTTCTCGAACGGATCTCACACAGTCTACCTCGCCGCCGTCCTCGAGTACCTCGCCGCCGAGATCCTCGAGCTCGCTGGCAACGCCGCGAGGGACAACAAGAAGACGCGCATCAGTCCGCGCCACCTCCAGCTCGCGATCCGCAACGACGAGGAGCTCGACAGGCTTCTCGCTGGCGGTGAGTCCGCGCGAACAGGCGCTCCGAAGCGACGTTGACTGACTTTGATTCGTCGCGTGCGCGCAGTCAACCTCCGCGAGGGTACGCCGTCGTCGCTTCCTTTGCCGCGCGCAGTACTGACCGTCTCCTCCCTTCGCAGGCGGAGTCCTCCCGAACATCCACCCCAACCTGCTTCCGAAGAAGGGCGAGGGCAAGAAGAAGAAGTCCTCGGGCAACGAGTCGGACTGAGCGCGCTCGCTCCGGCTGCAAGAGCAGGTTCCTCGCCTTCCTCCTCCTCGCTTAGTGCCTGTTGTCGTGATCCTGCTTGTTTCGGCTTTCCTGCATACGCTCGCGCATCACTTGTAATGTAGAACTTTGCGTGAAGCAGCTCGTCGAGAGAAGCGAGGCCTCCACCGGCGGTCGAGCGAGTGAGCGGGAACGGTCTCGGCTGGCTCGTTGAGGAGGCGCTGCGACTGCGACAACGGCCATCGTGCGGAGTAGCAAGGTGAGCGGAAACCGGATGAGCACGACCCGTCAAGCTGCGACTTCCTCTCCTCAACCTCTTCAGCTCGCTGGACGGTTCGAGGGAGTACTGCGTTGCTTGTGATTGCACACTGGGCGTTTTATGTTCTGTGTTTGTCGTACGAGATACCGAAAGCAGACTGCGGGAGGACCTGAAGACCCGGGAGGAGAGCGGCGAGGTGGACGAAGGCGCTTAGAGCGGGTTCGGCTGGGAGAGGTTGATGTGGATCGCCTTGACCGCTGTATAGTTAGCCAACGCGTAGCTACCGAGCTCGCGCCCGATACCAGACTGCTTGAACCCTCCGAAGGGAACCTGCGAGTTGAGCTGGTTGTCTGCGTGGGAGGAGGCGGAGGTCAGCCAAACGCCTCAGGAAGGACGAAACTGCCGCTACGTACAGCAGTTGAGCCAGACGGTACCCGCGTGCACCGAGTTGGCAATGCGCATCGCGCGCGAGATGTCGCGGGAGAAGATGGCGGCGGCGAGACTAGGTGGGAGGAGTCAGGAACCGGCTTCTACTCGACGTGCAGGACTGGTCAATTACGCACCCGTACATGGTGTCGTTGGCCTTGGCAACCACGTCAGACTCGTCCTGTGAAGCGCGGCAAAGTCAGCGAGAGAAGTCGAAGGAGGGCCAGACTCGAGCGCACCTTGAACTTCTGGACGACGAGGACCGGGCCGAAGATCTCCTCCTGAGCGATGCGCATGTTGGGCGTGACGTCGGTGAAGATGGTGGGCTCGATGAAGTAGCCCTCGTCGCCGTGGCGGTTGCCGCCGACGTGAACCTTGGCGCCCTCGTCCTTGCCCGACTGGATGTGGGCGTTGATGCGGTCGAACTGGAGCTTGCTCGTCGCCGGGCCGACGAACGAGTCGGCCGCAAAGGGCTGGCCAACCTGCGAGGAGACGAGTCTGAGCGAGATGCCGAGCGGGACGAGACGAAAGCCAGACGCACCTTCATCGACTTGACCTTGGCCGTGAGCTTCTCGAGGAACTCGTCGTAGATGCTCTCCTGGACAAAGATTCGCGATCCGGCGCAGCAGCACTGTCCGGCGTTGAAGAAGAGGCCGAACGCGGACCACGAGACGGCCTGCTCCATGTCGGCGTCGTCGAAGATGATGTTGGGCGACTTGCCGCCGAGCTCGAGCGTGACGGGCTTGAGGTTCGACTTGGCGGCGGCCTGCATGATGGTGCGGCCGACGAGGGTCGAGCCGGTGAAGGCGACCTTGAGGATCTTCATGTGGCCCGAGATGGCGGCGCCGACCTCGTTACCGTAGCCAGTGACGACGTTGACGACACCAGGCGGGAAGACCTTGGCAATGAGTTGCGTGGCGTAGAAGGCGGAGAGCGGAGTCGTCTCGGCAACCTCTGCGGGCGGCGAGTTGCGTCAGTCTCGCGCGGTGAGGAAGTTTTTCGCAATGGACACGCACTGATGACGATGCAGTTGCCGCAGGCGAGAGCGGGGCCGAGCTTCCAGGCGAACATGAGGAGAGGGAAGTTCTGCGAGGCCTGGGTCAGTCTCGATCCGTGCGAGCGCTCGAGAACGAAAGCGAAGATACCCAGGGGATGATTTGACCTGGAGAACGAGATGATTGTCAGCGAAGGCAACGAGGACTACAGCAGTAAGCGCGCTCACCAATAACACCGATCGGCTCGTGCTTGGTGATGGCCATCTTCGAGTTGTCGACCTCGATGACCTTGCCGTGCTCCTTGTCGGCCCAGCCGCCGTAGTACCTCAGGCAAGCGGCGGCCTCGGAGACGTCGAACGCCTTGGCGATGTTGTAAGCCTTGCCGTTGTCGAGCGCCTCGATCGACGCGAGCTGCTCGACGTGCTGCTCGAACAGGTCGGCGAGCTGCATGAGGAGCTTGCCACGCTTGTGGCCGGGGCAGCGCTCGCCCCAGACGGTGTCGTACGCCTTCTGGGCGGCCTCGACGGCGCGGTCGACATCCTCGGCCGTTCCGCGGGGGACGTGGGCAATGACCTTGTCAAAGGCGGGAGCACGGACCTCGATGGTCTCGCCGCCGCTGGCGGGCGAGTACTCGTTGTTGATGAAGAGGCCGACGGGAAACTCGAGCGACTTGAGCGAGTGGCCCTCGGGGAAGGTGAGCGATGCAGTGAGGTTGTTCTGCAAGAAGTGTGCTGGATCAGTACGCATCACCAGCGTCGATGTGAGCTCGCGCAGGACGCACCGACATGGCTACACGTCGTGCAAGGTTAGCGCGGGTGGGAGTGGGGGCGACGAGGCGAGGGGGAGCAGCGGAGCCAAGCCGGTCAGATCTGAGGAGACTGCAAGGTAGCACTAGAGTAGTAAACGTACTGTGGATGTGCAGTGAGCCGTGCGATGGCGGTGGGAAGGAGGGAAAGCTTGTCGGAGGTGGAGAAAGTCACCCGTTCACTTGCGGGGATGCCGCGTGGGGATGAAAACCGAGAGCGATTCCTCCGAAGCTTCCGTCTGTCCGTCGCTCCTCGAACTTCTTGGCGCCTGGACCTCCCGTCGATATTGGCCTTCGGGAGGAAAGTGAGTTCTCGCGAGGAGCGTCGCCTTGAGCCTGCCCAACCAGTGCGTCCCTCGCTAGCACTGAGTATCAGCGCTGAAGAGTAGGCGAGTTGTGTGAACGAGACGTTGCAAGCGAAAGCGAGACGAGACAACGACAACGAAGCGACAAGCGGGACACACACAGTCCTTCTCGATTGGCGCACGGTCCCAGCACTCATTCAGAGCTCCGTCGACTCCTGCCACTGCGACTCGGCCTGGACGTCGACCTTGTGAGGCGCCTTCTTCGCGCCGCTGCCGGCCGACGACTTCGACGCCTTGCTGCTGCTCTTGGGCGTCCTCGGCGTGGCCGACTGGCGAGGGTGCTGGCCGGGAAGGAGGGCGGGCTGCAGGTTCGGGAGGACGCCGCCTGAACGAGCGGAAGTTGCGAGAGAGTCAGCGAGTCGTGAGCATGTCGCAGACAAGCCGGCGCTGCTTACCCTCAGCGACGAGGACTGCGAAGCAGACCAAGCTGTCAGCCTATATCAACCCGAGGGTGCACAATTCGGACGCACCGTTGCCGAGAAGCTTGTCGAGCTCCTCGTCGTTGCGGATGGCGAGGACGAGGTGCCTCGGGATGATCCTCTTCTTCTTGTTGTCCTTGGCGGCGTTGCCAGCGAGCTCGAGGATCTCGGCGGTGAGGTACTCGAGGACGGCGGCAAGGAAGACTGCGAGAACGGGCGAAAGCGAGGTCAGCGAGAGGAAGAAGAGGAGAAACCTGTATGAGTGAATGCGGACGCACCGGGAGCTCCAGCCCCCAAACGCTTCGAGTAGTTGCCCTTGCGGAAGATACGCTCGGTCCTGCCGACCGGGAACTGAAGGCCAGCCCTGCCTGCTCGTGCGACGAGGCAAAGAAGGTCAGTCCTCGTTCGAAGCCTCGCGTCGACTCGGACGCACTCGAGCGCGACTCGGCGGCCTTGCGGATAGTAGGCTTGGACTCGGCAGACATGACTAGCGGGGTGTAGCGTGCGAGCGAGGTCGAGCGAGGAGAAGCTGATCAGGCGCGGGAGAACGGCGGTGAGCCACAGCGCGAGGGGCGTAGAAGCACTGTGTGAGGCCGTGCGAGCTCACCTGCGTGTGTACTCGGCCGGCGAGCGAGGCGAGAGCGAGCGAGTGAGAGGAAGGAGAGCAAGCGGGGACAGAGGCAGGACGACCCAGGCAAGCGAGTCGCGACCGCTTCGCAAGGGTACGGAGCAAGCCCAGACAATCATATGACGCGATCCAGCGAGAAAGCGAGGCGCGCGAGCGATCAAGTGACGCAAACAGACGAGGGAAGGTGAGGAGGCCAGGAAAGCGCCGTCTGTCGCGCCTGCAAACGGTGGAAACGAGTCCTACCGTGGCATATGCAGCCGAATACTATCCGAATATCGCATCAATCTCGTCCCCGCCGCCCTTCCTGACCTTCTTCTTCTTCTTGACCGCCTTCCCTTCTTTCGCCGAACCCTTCCCTCCGAGCGTCTCCTCCGCCTGTCGTGGTCGCTTCTCTGGCTTGGTTGTCACGGGTTCGGCGGACTGGACGACTGGTTCGGGAGAGGGTGGTCGAGAGAACCGGAGGAGCGAGGACGACGCCGGAGTAGCTGAGCGTGACGAGGGCGCGCTTGGCGCAGGCGACGGGTTCGCGCTCCGCTTTGCCGCCTGAGGTTTGTGAACGTGTAGTGACTGAGGAACACTAGATGAGATAGGTACTGCTGGTGGAGTGGCGGTCAAAGGTGTCTTGGCGGACGAGGCGGTTGAGCGAGCGGCTAGGCTGCTGCGCGAGACAACCGCGCCGACGTCGTCTGTACCGTTGCTGCGATCTGTTCCTGCCGGAGATGGCGCAGACGAGGCCGCATCGTCGAAGTCGGCACGCAATGCTGGTCGGGCGGCGGTCGTGAGGAAGCGACGGAGGGTGCGAGGCAAGGCGCCAATGTGAGGCCTCAAAGCAGGCGTGAGCTACAGGAACACGCGTCAGCGAAGTCTGGCTCCGTATGAGGGTGCCTCACTCACGCCGTTCGAATCGACAAGGGCCTGTAGCGTCTTGGCCGTCTTGTCCAGCTCGTCGAAGAGGACCGTGAAGAGCGAATGCAGCCTCGCAGCCAGCGCTACGACAACGAGCGCAAAGGCGAGGAATGCTCGAGACTCGACAAGCTGCTCAAGGATGCTGTTGCGCGCGAGTCGTGAGCAGGTGAGACGGGCGGAGGAGGAGGTGCAACCCACCCTGCGCAGTTGAGGAGCACGGAAACGTTCTGTAGCACCTTGTAGTCAGTATGAGTATCGGACAGAGTCACCGCGAGCGAGCGCACCTTCTCGACGAGCAACATGACCCTCGGTAGCCGCAACAAGCCGTCACAGACAGTCTCGCGGGTCAAGACGCCCGCGTCGTCCTTGTCCGCACTGTCCATACAGGTCAGCGCCCTGCACGGCAGAACGGATGAACGTCCACGCACCTCAGGGAGCAGACGCCCAACCACGCCTGCAACTCCTCGACGGCCCTGCTCGCCGCTCGGTCTACCTCGACGATTCGTTTCCACCAGCGCTGTCCCTTGTGCTGGTTCTTGTGCTTGTATGTGAACCGACGCAGCAGCGCGGCCTCGTCGGCGAGTTGAAGGGTGGTCCGGCGGATGGGACGAAGGGAGGACACCAAGCCAGGGAAAGCGGGCGGCGCCAAGCTGGATGGCTTTGGCAGGTCCAGCTGGACAGCGGGAGCACTCCTGGGCACGAGCTGGTGCATGTTGCTGACGTGAGCACGCCGTCGTCGCTGGCTGACCTTCGCCGCGACTCTCCCGCTCGACCATCTCGCTGTCAACGCTCGCTTCAGCTCGCTTCGCCCTTCGAACTGCTTGCGACTGCTCCAGTGGACCGTCTGACTCGACTCGCGACCGTATCGAATCACCCGGTGCGTGTGTCTTGCCCCTCACCGCCTCATCTTTGTCCAAGCTGAGTCGTTCGTACGTCCGCCACAGATTGCCTAGGAGCACGATGAGCGCCGGCGTAGCATACGTGGGACCGTCTGGCCAGACCGCATTCGTCCTCTGTGCCGGTGAGCTCGCTTGCGATCCACTCCACCTCGAAGCTGATGAAGCTGACCTGATCCCGAAACCGCTCGCCCACGCAGATTGTGGCACCCCGATTCAGCCCAACGGTGCCAACCTTTGTGTCAACTGCTTGCGCAACTCGTGCGTTTTCGCCAGGCATCCGGATCATGCTAGACTGTAGCTGACCTCGGTTGTTCCTCCTCGACTCGACAGCGTCGACATCACCGAGGGAATCCCCAAGCAGACGACTCTCAGCTTCTGTCGTGGGTGCGACCGGTACCTCTCTCCGCCTAACCAGTGGACCCGCTGCGACCTCGAATCCCGCGAACTCCTCGCCATCTGCCTTCGCAAGCTCAAAGGTCTCTCGAAGGTCCGACTGATCGATGCCGGGTTCATCTGGACGGAGCCGCACTCGCGAAGGGTCAAGGTCAAGTTGACGATTCAGAAGGAGGTGTGTAGCGGGACTGTCAGGACGAGTCTCGGGCAGTCTAGCTGACACTTCGTCCCGCAGGTCTTCTCGTCTACGATTCTCCAGCAGATCTTCGAGGTGGAATACGTGGTGCAGGGCGCGCAGTGCCAGGACTGTACGCGTCTCGCGGCGAAGAACACATGGCGCGCGATGGTGCAGGTTCGGCAAAAGGTGGACCACAAGCGGACGTTCCTCTACCTCGAGCAGTTGATCCTGCGGCATAACGCCGATCGGGATACTCTCCAGGTCGCGGAGGTCAAGGACGGATTGAACTTCTTCTACGCTAGCAAGCAGCATGCGCTGAAGATGGTGGACTTCTTAAACGGTGTCGCTCCTGTCCGGTTTGTCCTTGTTCTCTCTCTCCCACTCACATCGAAGTAGCTGAACGTATTTCACGCACAGAACAAAGACGTCCGAACAGCTCATCTCGCTCGACACCCAGAACGCGACGACGAACAAGAAGGAGACCTACTCGGTCGAGATTGTCCCCATTTGCAAGGACGACCTCGTCTGCATGCCCGCCAAGACCGCTCGCTCGCTCTCCAACATTGGCCAGCTCGCCGTCTGCCACCGCGTCGGCAACCAGGTCTACCTCATCGACCCCCTCACCCTCCACCTCGCCGATATTTCCGCCGGGCAGTACTGGCGTGCTCCCTTCCCTCCCCTCGCCGACATCACGCAAGCCGTCGAGTTCATCGTTCTCGACATCGAGCCTACTTCTCACCCTCCCAAGACGGCCAAGGGCGGTCGCTTCCTGCTCGCCGACGCGCAGGTCTCGCCTATGGGCGGCACCATGTCCTCGGACACCATCTACCATACGCGGACGCACCTCGGCTCTGTCCTGAAACCGGGCGACACGGTTCTCGGCTACATGCTCTCGAACTCGAACTTCAACAACGACGCGTGGGAGACGATGAACCAGGACCGGGTTCCTGAAGTCGTCCTCATCCGCAAGACGTACCCGGCGCGCAAGAAGGCCAAGCGTGCACGCAACTGGAAGTTGCGGTCGATGGTCAAGCAGGTTGGCGGCGAGGACTTGGGCGACACAGCGACGATCGGGTTCGGGCGCGAGCGTGCGGAGCCCAAGTCGAAGCGAAGCGCCATCGCCGACCAGGCCAAGGCCGAGCAGGACTACGAGCGCTTCTTGCAAGATCTCGAGGACGACGACGAGATGCGCAAGGAGATCCACTTGTTCAAGGACCCGAACGCGGCGCAGGCCAAGGCGGACGCGATGACCGACGACACCGATGAGGAGGAGGAGGAGCTGCCGCAGATCAACGTCGACGAGCTGCTCGACGACTTTGAGCAGATGGCGATTGAAGGCGACGAGGAGCAGGGAGGGGAGGAGTAGCGAGCTGGTGGTTCAGGCTGTCGGGGCCTCTACCGTCGTGCAACGTTAGATGCCTTGTTGTAGCATCGCCAGCCCGCGTTTTCGCTCGTTCCTGGCCCATCTTGGGGAGTTGCTAGGGAAGAGAGGACGAGGAGGAGAGCGGCGAAAAGGCTTCCGCGCTTCTTCCGGTGCTTGGTACGGCGGTCATGGCACCCAACAGATGTACTACAGTTCTGTTTCTCACGACTTCCGACGACGTCGCATATTGCGACCTTTCGTAAGAGTCGCGAAGTCCCCCTCTCCTCCTCACCACACTGCTCTGCTCGCTCTGCACGCTCAGCCGGGTTGATGGCTGACCCGCACAGCGTCCCACTGCCTGCCTCGCGCGGCTCGCTCGACTCTGTGCGCGGCGAGGCGCCCCAGGCCCACCCATCCTCATCGGCCCCTCACGCGCTGGCAGCCGTCGACGAGGCCGACACATCGGGCGACGCGGCCTGGTTCGATGACGGTGGAGGTGGGCATGGTGCGGATGAGGAGCACGAGCAGCCGGACGCGCCAGAGGAGGAGGACGAGCAGGGACCGACACACGAAGGTGGGGAGGAGCGTGTCGACGAGCGCGAGGCGCATGAGCTGCCAAGCGACCCGGACGAGCGGTTACGGGTATTGGAGGACGAGCTGGACCGGACACGGATGGACCGCGACGCGTGGGAGGCGCAGTATCAGGGCTTGCTGGCCAAGCTGACGGCGATGCGCAACACGCTCGGCGACAAGCTCAAGCAGGATGCGGTGGGTTCCCAGATCACACCTCAGTGTGCTTATGATCTGTACTGACGCTCACAACCCGCAGGACGAGCTCGACAGGCGAGAACAGGAGATTGCGGACCTGCGAGCGGCCAACGACGACCTCTCCACGACTCTCGAGACGCTCAAGTCCGAGCTGATCCAGTCTCACGCCGACGCCGACGCACTACACTCGGAAGTCGAGCAGCTGCGAGCGCGGGCGTTTGACTCGGAGCAGGCGGTCTCGGACGAGGCGCAGGAGCGGGAACTCGCACTGCGAGAAGCGCAGGAGGACCTCGAGCGGGTGCGGATTGAGCGGGACGAGTGGGAGCAGGAGGCGATGCGTGAACGCGTGCGGGGAGAAGAGCTTGCGACGCGGCACTCGCAGATTGAGATGGAGTACGCGCAGGCAAAGGCGGAGCGGGAGGTCTTGCGGGAAGAGCGGGACCGCGAGATGGAGAGTGCGGCGAACTTGCATGCGGTGTTGGAGGAGTTCCAAGCAGGTGCGTCGAGACGCCTGCGGAGCGACAAAAGGAGGCTGACCGCTTTGACGTCGCAGCCAAGGACAACGAGCTGCAAGCTCTACTCGGCGACCTGCAAACTCAGTTGCACGAGACGCAACAAGCTCTCGAAGGATATCGGCGACGGGCAACGCAGGCCGAGACGCAGCTGCAGAACGCTCAGAACGACTCGGAGAAGGTCCTCGTCCTGGCTCAGGAGGTCAAGGAGAAGAACCTGCTGATAGGCAAACTGCGGCACGAGGGTACGTTGCCGCGAGTATCCTCACGGTTGTACTACGCTGACAGCTCCCTGCCGCAGCCGTCATCCTGAATGAGCACTTGACGGAAGCGCTGCGGCGGCTGAAGAAGGACCAGAGCGAGACCAGCGTCGACCGGTGCGTTCCTTGCAGCCGCTCTCAACTACTAGCACTGACCCGCTTATTGCAGACGGCTGGTGTCGAACGTTCTCATCACCTTCCTCAACACTCCTCGCGGCGATGCCAAGCGATTCGAAATGCTCCAGCTCATCGCCTCGATCCTCTCCTGGACCGACGACCAGCGAGAGAAGGTCGGCTTACAGCGGGCGTCCGGTGCGCTGTCGGGCAGCAGCATCATTTCAAGCGGGCGAGGGTCGAGCGCAAAAGGACATGCTCGGAGCGGGAAGGGGAAGGCTGTCGATGAAGGCGCGGAGAACGAGGTGCGCCGATCGTCTCGTCTGCTTGCGGCTGGCGTGCTAACCATCTGTCACGCTGGCAGTCCTTTTCGAATCTTTGGATCGAGTTCCTCCTCAAGGAAGCCTCGACCGGGCAGGGTGCAAAGCCAGCCGCTCATACTCCCTCCTCTCCTCCACCAACGTCGCCAAACGGCACGCAAGCACCTACTCGCTTCGATCTGCCGCCACTCGGCTCGCCACCACTGTCCGCCGCTTCGACCCGGCGACCAAGCCTGTCGAGCATGTTCTCCAACGGCGGAAGCTCGACTGCCCCGACTAGCTCCGCGCCGCCCAGTATCAAGGAGGAGGACGCAGGTTCCTGAAGCAGTTATCGTTCTGTGTCCGCGTTGTACATGTGCTCCTCGTTGTCGCCTCGCAGTTCTCCTTCATTTCTCGCATGGATTCCTGACTCGTTTAGCCCGGCGCGAGAGCGTGTCTGTCGTCTCTACGATGCTACTGCTGACTCTGCTAGTCCTCTCACGCTGCGCGCTCGGTGCGACTCGCCGTTGTTCTCCTCTCGCTCTCTCTTTCCGACTCTCCACTTCACTTCGCGACATCGCCTCGCACAGCTCGCCCACCTGTCGCAGCTCGCCTCAGCACTCACACAGCCACGATGCCCGCTCCCTCGACGTCTGGCGGCAAGTCCACGAGCGCCATGACCGGCCACAAGCCTGTCCGCGACTCCGGTGCGCTCGCCTCTCTCACACGGCTCGGAGGCGCGTCGAGCTGATTGCATAGCGCGTCTTCATCGCAGTCAAGGCCGGCCTCGTCGTGCGTGCGCCCTTCGAGCCGTTCCGTCGCCGTACGCGCTGACCACCCTCCTCGCTCCCTTGCAATAGTTCCCCGTCGCTCGCGTCAAGAAGCAGCTCAAGCAGGGCCGCTACGCTGACCGCATCACGCGCACGTCGGCCGGTGCGTGTTCAGGCGTCTTGCTTTGAATCGGGATTCGTGGGCTGACCTTCGTTTCCTCTCCCGCTCATCTCACCCGCTTCGGATCGCCTCGGTCGATTCCGCTCGAGTAGTCTACCTCGCTGCCGTCCTCGAGTACCTCGCTGCCGAGATCCTCGAGCTCGCCGGCAACGCTGCCCGGTGCGTGCGAACCTCAAGTTTCAGATACTCGCACAGCGCGTGTGCTAACGCTCACCTCCGGACGCGCCAGCGACAACAAGAAGCGCCGCGTCATCCCGCGTCATCTCCAGCTCGCCATCCGCAACGACGAGGAGCTCGCGAGGCTCTGCCAGAACGCGGTCATCTCGGAAGGTACGTTCCGCCGCCGCTTCGCCTCCTCAAGCGCCTCCTCCTTCGCAAGGGAACAAGCTGACCGGCTTCTCATTGCGTGTGCAGGCGGTGTCTTGCCGCACATTCACGGCGAGGTGTGTCGCTGTTTTCTCTGGAGTTCGTCGGCACACGCTGATCGACGTCCTCGCGCGCAGCTCCTCCCGGACAAGCATCCTCGCAAGGGCAAAGGGAAGGGCAAGAAGTCGAAGCAGGGCGAGGAGTCTGACTGAACGCTGCTTCGCTCTCGCTTGAGAAGGTCACGCTTGTTTTCTCTATCCCTTTCCCTCGCCTAGCGGTAGACGCAGCCACCTGTTGTTGTGTCGAACTCGCCTGAATAGTACGTGCAACGAGTCCCTACCGCCAGCAGCGTGCGAAGCCCTGAGGTCCGTCTGCGCTCATCTCCATGCACTGCTTCCCAAGTTACGCTCATAGACACAGGCCCGGGGCAGCGGCGGATACGCGAGGGGTCCATCGGCGGTGTCAAGCCGCGAGCGAAGGCGGGGGCCGGTGAGGGCGAGGTCGGCGAGCGAGGCAGGCGAGAAATGGTCGAGCGCGAAGCGAAGGTGGTCGAGCGCCTACAACGCAGGATCCGGAGCGTCAGCGATGCGCACACGTAGCATGAGGCGTGTGCCCAGGCCGGCAGCACAAGAAGGGAGGCGTAGTGGCTGAAGCTCACCTGCCCGTGAACCGAGATCTTCGTCTCGAGCCACCCTCTCATCGCTTCCGCCAAGTCCTCCCTACGTTCTAGCCGGATCCTGTCCATCTCTGCTGCTGTGATGTTTAAAGCCGTCTCGCAGCGCGCGAGTTGGTCAGAGATGGACGGGTTGATGCCGGACAGGCGGGCGAGGCGGCGGTAGTTCGAGATGAGCGAGCGGTGTAGCTCGATGAGGGGCTGTGGATGGTGTGGTATGAGCCCAGGGTACAAGCAGGGAAGCTGCGGAACGCACAGCGTATTGCGAAAACGGTGCGCAGACTGACAACAGCTGTTCCTCGACGTCGACCAAGCCGGTTCTCGCCTGTCGAAGTTCGAGGCCGAGAAGACCGCGAGTCAGTCGTCACGCCCTGAGATGTACGGCGAGAAAGGGGAGGACGCACCGTCGTGTCCCCCAGGTCTGCAATGTTCGCGCATGCTTCTCCCGCTGCTTGTACAGCTTTCGAGACGCCGAGGGCGGCTGTTTTGCGAAGAGTCAGTAGCTGGTGTGCTTAAGGCGCTCCGGCGCACTCACGCTCGTCGTCCTCCTTCCAGCTCAACGCGCCTGCTTCGTTCTGCAAAGACCAGCTCTTCGCTCGCGTCCTTGGTTCGTTTATTGAGCCCGCTTCTCCAGTAGCTAGGCTCGGGATCGCCGTGGGAGGCAGGGCTGAGCCGGAGGCGAGCTGGACAAGCGCATGCGCAAGCTGCTGCAGCGTAGCGGCGGCAGCTGTGGCGCGAGGCCGTCAGCGACGGTCGCCGCGCTTCGAAGGCTTGGCTGGGTAAAGTGGAGTCGGACGCACCTTGTTCCTGCTCCCGCGCCATCCTGACAGCCTCCGCTACTATGCGCACCCCACCGCCCAGCTCGACCGCCTTGCAATGCCGCTCAAAGCGGTCGCAGACGTCTTCTGCTTCGGAGAGATCGATGTTGAACGCTGGATGAAAGACGCGAGTCGGAAAGAGAGGCTGGAGAGGCGGAGGCGGACGAGGTGTCGACATGAGAAGGTGCGCCGAGAGTTCCTGCGCGGACCAGCTCGTCAGCACGACCCGAGGGGCGACTTGTTGCCTATGCGGGCAGACGCACCTTCTCGCCCTCAGTTGCAAGGAAGCTCTTCATCTCCTCGCTCTCGCCGAGGACCGGGTGCCCCAAGCAACGCCTCAACCAGCGCTCAAGCTCCTTCCTCCTCCGCTCGAGAAGGGCGGGATCGAACCGTGCTGCGCCGAAAGCAAGAGGGCCTTTTGGCGGAAGAGGCGGGACGTAAATGAGCGGCGCGAGGAAGCGAGAGACGAGGAGGGTGTGGAGGGCGGCAAAGTGCGAATATCGTCGCTCGACGCAGAGAGTCTGCGGTGGGGTCGCGTCGTCATCGGCCTCGGCTGCGACGGTCGGGAAAGACGTAGTGACGGTGTAGACGACGAAGGGCGACTCGTTGAGCGGCGAGCACTTCTTGGGATCGGTGACGAAGACCTCGGCACGTCCACCGGCCTCCTCCGTGCCGCGCATCCTCCAAGCAGGCCCGGAGTCGATGTCGAAGCACTGAACGGAGCCCTCGCCATGCTCGCCGTAATCACCCACCTCGTCGAGCTCGTCGCCCTCCTCAACCCAATGCAACAGAAGCGTCCTGCCGTCGGGCAGTTTCGAGGCTCGGTGCGTCTCGAGACGCGGTAGGCGCGGCTTCGTTGGCACTGAGGCGGCTGCAAGCGATGAGGAGGCGGAGGTTGCGGCAAGAATTGATGCACCGGGTATGGGAGTCCGTCCGAGAGCAGGGAGAAAGCGCGAGAGGGTCGAGGATGAGGTTGAGGTGTCGAAGAATGGTGCAAGGCCGATGCGGAAGAGGAAGGACTGGGTGAAGGGGGCAGGTACAGCGGGAGGTCGAGAGCGAATTGGTGCCGCCATTTCGTCGAGCATCGCAGCGGCGTTGACTTGCGGGGAGCTGATGGCGTCGGCAGTGGCGTTCAGCACCTCGTTGACGTGGCCTCGCTTCATGGGGTCCTCGTCGTCAAGTGGTACCTGCACCTTCTCGACCTCCATCTCAGGCGCAACGCTCAAGTCGCTTGCCACTTCCACATCCGCCTCAACCACGCCTATCTTGTCGCCAGCTGCGACCCAAGTAGGCTCGAACTCGGTGCCGCTCACGACGACATGACGGCCGATCGAGCGAGTCGCATACGGTTCGGGCGAGTCGACGTCAAGCGAGCCACAACCAGCTGTTTCTCCCGCAGTCGAACTAGCGGAGGTGATGGTGTTAGAGGCCGGGCGAAACCGAGCGCTCTCTTGAACGGTGTTGTACGAGAGTTCGGAGTCGAGAGGAGGAGGAGCGTTTTGACCATCGACGTACTGCGCGAGTCAAGCTAGTCAGCCCATGTGCGCCAGTAATTCGAGAGCACACGTACGGCGTACCATCCCCTCGGCACCAACCCTCTCTTCGCCTCCCCCTTGCTCTCAACGAACCCGAGACTCCATCCACCGCCAACATCCTCGATCTCGATGAGCAGATGCTCGCCTCGGAGAAACGAGAGCTCGCCAAACTCAGCTTGGCCGGTGAAAGCGTGAAGGGCGATGGCAGGCGACGTGGACGACGGGATCGGGAGGAGAGGAAAGTTGGAGGGTAAGACGACGTCGACGTCCGAAACCTCGGTCGCTGGCGGTGCAGTGTTGTCGGACAGAGGGTCTGGGAGAATCGTCGCCGAGGAAGGGAGGAACGGGTTCGTCGAGGACGGGTCGAAGTAGATGCTCTGCCGCCCGTCTTGTGCGCGCACCTTGATCGTCGATCCCGCTCGCAGTTTCCCCACGGGTGTGCGGAACGCTTCGGTTTGCTGGGAGTCTGTCGAGGTGGTCGACGGCGAACGCGGTCGAGGAAGTGAGGGTGTCGGTGATGCGGGTTCCTCGGGACGATCGAAGAGCGCAGCGAGCGTTGACTTGGCTGGGGCATCCGTCGTTGCCGCTCCGCCCTCGCCATGACTCTTGTCCACCGCGTCGACGCTCTTTGCAAACCTGATTGTCCCCTCATCCGCATCAGACTCTCCACTCACTGCAGCTCGCTTATCCTCCTTCTCATCCGCTTCTCGCGTCCTGCATCCTCCCCCAAGCTCCACAGACACTCTTGAGTCGTCATAAGCAGTCACGACGCTCCAGCGATCCGGCAACGCTCCCCTCTTCCCTCCTCGCACCCTTCCCTCACTCCTCCCGTCCTCATCCGCCTCGGCACCCCTGATCCGCCGAGCAGTGGATAGGTACAGCGGTTTTGGCGGTACAGGCGGAGCAGTCGGTAGACGGAGAGTCGGGACGGACGCGGACGGGTGTGAGCGAGGGGAGAGGATGGAGGGTTGCTGAGCCGGCGGGATTGGGCGGAAGGGCATGCGAGCTGTACAGCACTTGCGCTCGAGACCTGTGGAAGTCAGCAGGATAGAAAGCAAGAGAGAGCGAGAACACGAGGAGCGTGCGCTGGTGGGGCGGGAGGCAGAGGAGGACGAGGCTCGAGCGGTCGCATCGAGGAAAAGGGGTGGAGGAGCAATTGAAGCGATACAACAACCTGGCACTGCGTGTACGACAAGAGTGGCGGAAGATCGGGGCGAACTAGCGGGCGGAAGTGGTCGTGCCGCCTCGCTTCTCCTCCTTCGCGCCGTCGACCATGGACGATGCCGCGTTCTCAGCGCCGACTGCAGCCGACCTGCGTAAGCGCATGTCACTGAAGAGTCAGAAGTGCACGCACTCGTCATCGGGTCGCCTGGCTCCTTCTTCAGCACCCGCGACTCGCCAAGGAAGCCCAGGTAGAACAGTCGTGACTGCTCGCTGCGTGTATTGGCCTGGATCCGGCAGAAACGCTCGATCAGCAATGCTTGTGCAGACGGCATTGCACGGCTGATGAGCGGGGCGTCCGGACTCACGAAGTACAGGTCGATGTCGCTGCAATTGGCGAACCTCGCTATCCGCACCGGGTACTCGACCGCCCCTCGCCCGCCTCCCTCGCTCTCCAGCAACTCCCACTCTTGTGCTGGTTTTGGTGTTGCAGAGGAGGCCTCATCGAACGTGATGCCCGACGGACCTCGGTTGACCCAGGCGCGGCAGAGGCAGGGAGAGGTCGAGAGGCGGCCGCCGCCTGTGCCGATCAAGATGGACCTGTGAAGCTTGCCGTTAGTTCGAGAGAGGGAGAGAGCGCAAGCGATCTGCGCTTACTTGATCCGTACGAGTTCAGAGAAGCGGACCTGCAGGCGACGAAAGTCAAGTCTCGATCGTTGCAAGCCTGACAGGGCGGACCTGACGCACATGTATGAGCAACTCGTCGTCGCCGTCCTGCGTCTCGATACACCCAGCCGTCCACACGCCTCCGTCGCCTGCGCCCGCCTCGTGCTCTGTCCCGACCAGCTCGTCGTTGGTTAGAACCGCGTCCTTCGAGTCGAGTGGTCTCAGCACGCGCTTGAGCGGATCTTGCACGGCGTCATTGACGTTGAGCGCGTGGGAGAGGTGGAATTCGATGAGCGGGAAGAGGGAGGATGACGAAGAGGTCGACGAGGACGCCTGGAGCGAGCCTGGCTGGGCTTCGTCGATGTCTACGGCGGTCAAGTCGTCTGCGCAGTTCATCGCGGGCGCTTCTAAGCTGAGAACGAGCGAGTTGAGCGAGGTATCGAGGGAAGCACCGCCTCGCTCGGGGGTTGGAAGAGGGGAGTTGCCCTCGACACGCTCGTACGGCTCTGTGTATGCTCAAAGGGGCACAAATTGAACCACAGAAGCCAGTCAGACCCCGCCGAACAAATCCCATCCTCGCAGTCGCCGTCCTCGCCCTCCTCCTCCTCTTCATCGGCCCGACACCGTTTGCACGACTCTCTCACCTCGACACCAGCCCGTGGTACCTCGTGTACTCGCCCAAGACACCGACTACCATGTCCAACATCGCTCGCCCGCAAGGCAAAGTCAAGTGCGTGGTCCTTGCTACGGAAAAGCCGCCTTTTCCCCACTGACCCCTCTTCCTCACCCCTCTACAGCGTCGGCTACTTCCCCAACTGGGCCATCTACGCTCGGAACTAGTGCGTGGTACTGCTGGGCTCAAGTGCGGCCTCTTGTGCTGATCTCCAGCTCTCGACCACAGCAAGCCCGACTCGATTCCGGTCGAAGACCTCACTCATCTGCTTTACTGTGCGTTCACTGAGGGAGCTGCGGGCCTTGTCGCCCCTTAGTAATGCTTGCTCACGCTCTTGTCCTTCTGTGCAGGCTTCGCGGACGTCAAGGAGGACGGCGAGGTACGCTTGACCGACGCATGGTCGGATGAACAGGTGCGTCTGCGCTTTCCCCACCGTGCTGAGCGTCTGCTTGGGATTATGAGACAGCCGCGGCTGTGTGTCACGTCGTGTTCAGGCCGCTGACAAGCGCTCCGCTTCCACAGATCCACTACGCTGGAGACTCGTGGGACGACGGCGGAGCCGCCAATCTCTACGGCAACCTGAAAGCGCTCTACCTCCTCAAGCAGCGCAATCGACACCTCAAGGTCCTCCTGTCTATCGGCGGATGGACCTACTCCGAGAACGGCCGCTTCGCCCGTCCCGTCTCGACCACGCAAGGCCGGTCCCGCTTCGTCGAGACGGCTGTCAAGCTCGTCGAGGACTACGGACTCGATGGACTCGACGTCGACTGGGAGTATCCGCAAAATGATGTGGAGGCACAGGACTACGTCGAGCTGTTGCGAATGTTGCGCGGCGGCTTGGACGAGTTGCAGCGCAAGCTGGGGGTCCAGCCGCCGAGCGGGTTCGAGTTGACGATTGCGGCCGTGCGTATGAAGCCACGAGGCTGGATCTCCTTCATCGCATATGATGGACCGCTGAAGCTCGACTCTCGCGTGTATGCAGCCCTGCGGACCGAGCAACTTTGAGAAGCTCCGCGTCCGCGAGATGGACCAGTATCTCTCCTTCTGGAATCTCATGGCGTGCGTTCCGTCTTTCTCAGTCGTCTCCGTTGCCGGCTGACCTACCGAGTTTCGCAGGTACGACTATGCTGGTACGCCTCGTCTCGCCGGCAATCGTTTTCCCACCGAATCCGCCGTCTTACGATCTTCCCGCTTGCTTCAGCTAATTGCTCTACTTCTTCGCAGGCTCATGGGACTCGCAAGCCAACCACCAAGCCAACCTCTTCCACCCCGACCCGAACGCACTCTCAACCGATCGCGCGATGAGGTTCTTCACAGACCCGAACAAGGGCGGCGTCAAACCTGAGAAGCTCGTGCTCGGTGAGCTCTCGACGCAGCGCTTCTCGTCTTCGTCGGCTGGAAGGTTGGCATGGCGGTTGGGCGACTAGGTTGTCGCGCGCTCATCCGTATCGCTCTTCGCAGGTATCCCGCTGTACGGCCGCTCGTTCCTCAATACGCAAGGCCCCGGAACGCCTTTCAGCGGCGTCGGACAAGGCTCTTGGGAAGCAGGTGCGTTCGCCTTCCTCTCTTTAATCAACGATTCTCCTGTCGATGCTGAGTCGCGCTCCCGGCAGGCTCGTACGACTACAAAGCCCTTCCCCTCCCCGGCGCTGAAGAAGCGTTCGACCAGTCACTCGTCACCGCCTCTTGCTACAACCCCTCGACCCGCGAGTGGATCTCGTACGACTCCGTCTCCTCTGCTCAGGCAAAGGCTATCTTCACCTGCGTCAATGGTCTGGGCGGAGCGATGTACTGGGAATTGAGTGGCGACAGGAAGCCGCAGGAAGGGGGGTCGATCGTCAGGACCGTCAAGGAGGTGTTGGAGACGCAGGGAGGCGGGCTCGACAGGCGGGAGAACTGGCTGCATTGCCCGACGAGCAAGTGGGAGAACCTCAGGAAGGGGATGCAGTAGCTAGATCTCGTTTCTCGCTGTGCACAGACACTTTGGTTCCTCTGCTCCGCCGCGAGAAGCATCAAGCGATAAAAGCGAGCTCCAGGATCGATAGCATTGCGCGACAACCTTCAAGCGGTACGGCCCGCCGTTCCCCAGTACGCTGCGGCTGCCTCCGCGTCCGTCATCTCCCTCGTACCGGCGGCGGCGTCTGGCGCAGTCCAAGCCGACGAAGTTGCCGCAACGCCTGCCGCGCTCGTCCCTCCGCCGTTCACCCCTCCTACGAAACCCGTCAACAAGTCGTCGCCGAGTGCATTGCCGTTCGTCGCGCCGAAGTCGAGGCCGCTCCCGCTCGGAAACTGGCTGCCGAAGCCGCTGAAGCCGCCAAGGTCGAACGAGATGTCCGGGTCGACGGCGGCGAAAAGCGAGAGGTGGTTTGCCGACGGGTCAGGTGCGGGGAAGGGCCAGGGTTCTGGGTCGAAATCGCTACCGAGCGGGAAGGAGAGGGCAGTCGAGGTCGGCGGGAAGAGGGAGGACGAGAGGTCGGCCGGCACTGGCGGAAGACTTGTACTCGCTGACGAAAGGGCGGGATCGAGAGGAGCACCGCCAGCCGTCTGCTGCCAAGAGGTTGGACCATCTGCTGACGAGCGGTTCTGAGCTCCAGCAGCATCGCCTCGCACCTTGCTCGGAATGTTGCGCGTCGGAGGCGGAGTGCCACGGTGCGGCGCTGAGTCCGCCGTGAGGCTTCGCTGGATGCGCGCAAGGACGTCCGAGAACGACTCTTCCTCCTCATCGTCCTCAAGCGGCTCGACTGCTTCGCCGTTCTCGCCTGCAGTCGCAGCCGCCGCTCGAATCAGTGCCTTGGCCGCTCTATTCGCCCGACGACGCTCAACCTCCCTCAGCAAGCCCGACAGAATCTTGTGGCCTTGCGGGACGTGAGCGGCGAGCGAGGGCGAACTTGGCTTCGCGGAGAAGATCTCGAGCGCGAGCTGCAGGGTCGACATCTTCGACTCGATCTCGATGGTCGAGAGGTCGTGCTTGATCGCTTGGAAGATGCTGTTGGGTGCCTGCATTAGCCATCGCCCGACGAAGCATGATCCTTGCTTACTTACTCCTGAAAGAGGACGAGAGCGGCACCGAGAACGTGTGTGTAGGTGTAGGGAACGTCGGAGACGGCGTCGCGGATGCTGCGGTTGGAACGTTAGCTTCCGTCCCGAGCGCGGTGAAAAGGCGGCACTCACTTGTGCGTCGAGACGACGACTGCGCGAGCCGACTTCAAGCATGCGTCCTGCGAGCGCACTGATGTCAGTGTCACGCTCTATCTGAGCCGAGGTGTCCGGCCACGTACCGCCGAGAACTTGAGGGCCGGGTTCTTCTGCGCCTTGCTGAATACAGGCCTGTGCAGCCTGAAGATCCGATTATGCAAGCCCTCGAGAACAAAGTGCCTCTGGAAGCGCAACATCGGCTGCTCATGCTCGTCCGCTGCGAGCGTCCAGCGCTCGGGCAATTCATCGAGAATAAGGCGGAATCCGGCGTCGAGGTCGGCGATCGTTTGGGCTGAGTAGTCCTTGACGAGAACGGTGCGGTCGAAGACTGCGCGCGCTTGGCGGGCTGTGGAGATGCGGACGCGGTCGGCGGAAGAGTCGGTCAGGACGGTTGAAGGGGCGGGAGTGAGGGCAGTCTTGGAAGGAGAGAGGTCGGCGTCGTTGACGTTGAGAGGGTCGTCGGTGTCGCAGTGCAGCGGCGAGATGGTGTAGTAAAGGTTGACGCGAGTCGCGAAGAGCCACTGCGCGGTCAATCCGGATCAATCAGTGGGCTGGGCGAAAGAAGCGAGACTTTGGCGCACGTCTTGGTAGACCAATACGGCCCACAACCGCTTCGCCATCTCTCGCTTGATCGAGTTCTTGCCAGGCGGAAAAGCCGGGTCGTCCGGCGGCATGCTGACCGCGACGTATCGTGGTCAGCAGCGCTCTGAGGCGGAGGGACGGGCAACTCACGTTTCGGGGTTCGAACCAAGCTGGTGGAGCTTCAGGACCTGCGCGAGCCGGATCGCAGATGAGAGCCAGACGACCCGCTGCGATGGTTCGCCTCGGTCGGCAGAAGATAGCTGGAGGTACTGCGTGTATAGGATAATCGTCTGCGGCGTGATCGTCGAGTCAGCGAGTTATTCTGCCGATTGAGGGACCGCTGATGCGCACCTGGATCGACCGAATGCGCGGCACGGTCTCGAACTCCGCCAATCTCAACGCCCTCACGCTCGCGCCAAACCACCGTTCCGGCATCTTCTTCAGAGTCTCCTCTCCATACGCCTCAAGCGGCTTATCATTCTCCTCAATCATCGTGCGAGTCGGGTCGAGCGCGAGAGGCGAGCGGGAGTGATGGAGCGAGTCGAGGGCGAGGGAGAGGACCATCAGGAGGAGCGCGAGCCAGGGAAGGTCGATTGAGTGCTGGCGATTCTGGTCGCATATCGTATGGAAGGCTTCGACTTCGGCGCGGAAGCTGTGGAAGCGAGAGGGAGTCAGTAGCGGTTAGCGAAGGGACTCTTGGAGGGCGAACGTACGAAGGAGCATGCAAGTGGTGGAAGAGCCACGCGACATTATCGAAGTAGCGCTCGACGAGATAACCGATTGCGTCCCTGCCCGGCAGTGTTCTCATGATCCTGTCAATCTCGTCCGCCCTCGCCTGGGCGACCTCTTCAGGCGTCGCGTCGAAGTCGACTGGTAGGTGGGCGAGGAGGGAGGGGGTGCTGACGGGATGAACGGGCGGGGAGACGATGCTGGTCAGAGCTTTGGTTAGCTCGACTTGCGGAGCGCCGAAGCGTGAGGTGGCGGAGGAGAGGGTCGCAGCGGCGGGGTTCGAGGTGGCGCGCATCAAAGAGGGCGGCTGAGGCGAAGGCATGAGGCCGTTTGGACGCGTCGGTGCCACGAGCGACGTCGCGAGACCCGTTGAGGCGGCCTCTGTCGGGCGGAACACTCCGTTCTCGAGCTGAACGGCAGCGTCTTCCGTCTGTGCGCGACAGCACCGTCAGCGAGCCAATATGAATGACTCAGAGAGAGAGAGACGCACATCGGAGAAAGCCTCGTCGTCCAATGCTCCAATCATCTTCCTCTTCTTCCCTCCGCCCCTTGCGTCGCTCACCTCGCCCGGCCTATCCTTCGGCACAACTGGCACGATATCCAGCGGTCGGAACGGTGCAAGATTAGGTGGTAAGGTGCGGAGATACTTCTCGACGTGCGCGAGACGAGCCGCGAGCGCTTCGAGGTCGCTTGTTCGTGCGAGGTTCGGGGGGAGGTAGACGTCGTTGGCGGGTTGGAGGACGTCCCAAGCGCATTCGGATGGTTTGCCGCGCTCTGCGAGATGTTGCGTCAGCCCTCGGAAGGGTTGCAAGAGGAGGGTAGGGACGAACTGGTGCAATTGCCGCAAATTGGCATCACCCTGTCGCACTGCAAGTCCCGTTCCGTGTCAGCGGGACATGTCAGGCGCCTCGAGAGGATACTTTGCGGACCTTGATCTTGCGCCTCTACGTCCGACGGCTCGACAGCGGTTAGCACGAGGGATCGGGAGGATCCGAAGTCGCACGCACCTTGCACTCCTTGCACGAGAGGGCCATCCTGCGTGTCCATTCTTCAATTAGCCTCTCCTTGACTCTCCCAAAGCGACCGCCCGCTCACCTGTTCCTGCGCTTCTTCGGTCTGCCCTCCCCACCTCCCTCGCCGTCCGCGCCGTCCTGCCCGTCCTCATCCAGCTCGTCTTCCTCGCCTGCAATCCCGTCCGCTCCTGTAGTCGCTGCAGCCTTCCCTTTGCCCTTTGCCTTGCCCGCAGGCGGAGTTGCGGCGTCGACTTTCCGCTTCGTAGGAATCACGGAGCTGGTCGAGGCGGTCGGCGCCGGCAGAGGGTGCGGTTGCGGGGTCGAGCTGGCTGACTGCGTGGGAAAGTCTAGCGTGCGTGGAATGCTGTCCATAGCGGGCCAGCCTGAGCGAGAACAGCAAAGTCGACGATGAGGAACAGGAGAAGGGGAGCGACCTCCTCGACGACGGCATCCTGTGCAGCTGTGATGACCGGGATAGTCTTGTTAGGAAGTACCCTTCACACACGAATACGCTGCGAATTAACCTTGTGTGTACGCCTCTCATCTCATCTCGACGCAATCCGACCTTGACCCGCTCGCATCGCGCTCACACGCTCAGACTGCGCCAAGATGGACGCTGCTACGCGCTAGGACTCGCTACAAAGCTAGATCTCGCTCTCTCACCCGCCAGAACCGCGTCGCCCGCTACCACCGCCTCGCCAAACGATGCGTATCGGCGAGACGCTCGGGTTCAGCAAGACGGCGACGTTCCTTGCGACGGTGACTGTCCATGAGCTCGTCCAAGGTGTGTACATTCCTGCTGGACTGCCCAATCCCGCCAACGAGCCGCGAGCTGACGGCTGTACTCCGCTCCCGCCTCCGCTTCCCGAACCCCTCCCACACACCCTCGGTCTCGCCAACTCGCTTCTAGTCCCGCTCCTGAACGCCAAATTCCGCATCAAGTGGAAGTTCAAAGGCGCGACGCACTCGTCCGCACTCGACGACCCCGCCAACTCGCATCACTCGGCGCGTGCGGCCGCTGGGTTCGCAGAGGCGAGCAGGCGGTTCCTCCATCCGAGGACAGCCGCGCTCTCTAGCTCGCAGGGATCGTCGGCTTCAACGTCGGATGGAGGCGTGACAGAGAAGGAGGGGGAACTGTCGAGGTCGAGGAGCGGGTCGCCGCTCGGGATGGCCTGGTCGTCTGAAGAGGGCGATGATGCGCGGACAGCAACAGGCGGGAGACCTCTCTCGCGAGGCAACACTCCGCCTGTCAGCCCTGACCAGGACCCTCGCTCGCGCTCGACTTCGCGTGACGGCGGCGGAATGGCTTTCACCTCGCCGTTCTCGAAGGACGGGCACGAGACGCTCTACACTTCGCCCCCTTCTGGCTCGCGGTCCGGCAACGGAACGCCTCACGATAGTCATCCTGCCTCACCCGACGGACCAGACCTGATGCGACGGCGAGGCGCAGGCGACCTTTCCTCCATGCCGCACACTTCCCCTCCCTCCGGCTCGAGTTCCCGCAATGTCTCCGGCCCAACCGCCATCGCCCACCGTCCCGAACCGAAAGGCACGACGACCTTCGTCCCGCTCCGCTCGCACACGGCCACCTTCAATCGTGAAATCACCTGCCCCGTACTCGTCACCCTTCGAGCGGTCGGCGGCGGCAAGTACGAGTTGCAGACCTCGCCTGTTCGGTTCGCGATCAAGCAGGAAGTCGTACTCGAGGACGGCAAGCGCGAGGAGGAACGGCTGGGAGAGGTCATCCTCGACTTGAGCCAGTTTGCGAAGCCGAATGGGGCAGCGGCGGACGGGGCCAAGCCGAGGCGGTACCTCTTGCAGGGATGCAAGAGCAATGCGGTGCTGCGGGTTTCCGTCAAGATGGAGTGGCTTGATGGCGAGCGGAACTTTGTCGCGTAAGCGCACCCTTCTCCTCACCAAGTCATCGAAGCTGACCCTTTCGACCATCTCTCAGTCCTATACCACGATCAGCGCAAATCGCGACTGGCTCGCCTGCTGCGAAGGGTCTCGTCTCGACGACCAACTCGCCTGCTAGTCGCTCAACTCTTTCCTGTGCGCCGAGTCTTCTTTCTGCCACGGCGAGCTAGCCGCTGACATACACCCCCTTTCAGTGAACCATAAATCTTCCGCGACCAACCTCAACGGCGCATCGACCCCGAACGGCCGACCACGCACCTCTTCCTCGACCACCTCGACATCCGCCTCGCGCTTCTCCCTCCGTCGCACCAACTCGGTCTCGTCCGCCGGCTCTTCGAGTCTCCAGAACGGCGCCGGCTCGCCCGAGATGTCTCGCACCTCGTCTCGACAAGGTCCAGCCAGTGACCGTCTTGCGGTGCCCGGCTCGGCCAGTCGGCAGGGAAGTGGCTCGTCTGCTTCGACCTCCGCCGGCTCGGCGCTCTCGATCTCAACTCCTGGCGGGCGGAACGTGAGCAAGAAGGCAAAAGGACGAGGGAAGGACAAGGACCACAAGAAGGGCGGGTGGCATCCCCCTCGATCGAGCGTTGTCGGCGCTTTCGCCTACTCTACAGCTGGATCGGCCGCGCCGTTCGAGACGGGTGTCGGAGCGAGCACAGGGACTGCGACGGACCGCTCGGCGACCGACGTGATTGACGCCATCTTCAATCGGCCTGCTAGGCCTACTTACTCGACTCGACCGAGTTGGGCGGTCGAGCGCAGCGATACCGAGGGAGGAGGAAGGATGAGCGGGACGTCGACGCCGACAGGCCGGCTCGGCGCGCCGTTCGAATACCCGCAAGGCGATGCGAAGCATCACCACCATCTCGGCATCAACAGCCACCACTTTGGCTTCGATCGCTTCAAGGGGAAGAAGGGTGCGCCGAAGGAGAAGGAGGAGGGCAAGCGCGTGCCGTCTCGAGCGTGGTCGATGCGGTCCGTCTCTGGCTCGAACAACAAGGAGAAGGAGAAGGATCTTCAGGAAGTCGTCAGTCCTGCGGGCGTTGCCGCTCTTCCGACGTTCCCTTCCGCGCGCGAGGACCCGCCAACCCCGATTGGCGCGACGTATGCCCAGGTCGAGGCGCCGTCTGTGCGGAAGAAGCAGGACGAGCGGGCGAAGCTCGTGCGCGATGTGACTTACGAGATCGGCGTTGCGCGAGGTGAACAGCAGTGCACGTATGATGCGCTGGACGGCGATACGAGCTCATCGGACGATGGAGATGGGCGCGACGGGCGGGCGGCGAGCGCGAAAGGCAGGAGTCATCCGCCGGGACCGTCAGTCGAGGTACAGCCGCCGACACCGCAGATCCCTTTCCCTCGCACCGACTCGTCGCCAGCACTCACATCACGAGCCACGATGCGTCCGAAGCCACCCTCACCGTCCTCATCGGCTCATTCTTCTGTCGCCAACTCGGCGAAGCCGCTCTCAGTTCGGTGGGGTGACCAGTCGACCTCCGCCTCTTCCTCTGCGGGCTCTACCTCTACCTCCGCCGCGCCATCTCCCGCGACTTCCGTCCTTCCGAGCCCTAGTCATCGCCAGCTACGCCACCAACGCTCGACCGATTCTGCTCTCTCAGTCGATCGGCAGAGTACGCGGTCAGCTCCGCTCGACACGCACTCATCGGCTTCCAGGCAGTCAAGCAACTCTCGTCTCGACCCACCGCCGTCCCGCCCGACATCGAGCCTCTCTTTCAACTCGTTCGTGACGCCGCCTTCTCCGCCGCCCGTCAAGGACAAGCGGCACAAGTGGGGCGTGCTCGGGGTCAACGGCGGGCGTAAGGAGCGCGAGAGGCGGAGCATGGAGAAGCCGGGAGAGAAGGCGCCTGGCGATGTCGAGTGGGGGAAGAGCTGGACGTGAATGGGAGGGGGAGTATCTGTCTCTGTACCCCAGCATCGGAGAGACCTGTAGAGCCCGTCTCTCCGCCTTCATTTGTGTTCTTGTTGACTCTTGCCTTTCGTCTGTAGCCCGTCCCTAACCTTCGCCTGTATGCCTTCCCAGCGGAAAAGTAGCCTAGTGTTCCTCTCGCTGTCCAGTGCTGAATCAGAGTAGGCATGGCAGTATGGCTACAAGCAACAAGAAGAGACCACTTGTTAGTCCGACTGAAAGGAAGAAGACCCGAAGATAATGGGCGGGTCGAGTGCTGCTGACACAATGCCGCCGTCGCGCGCCTTCTCGTCTGGCTCGAGGTATTTAGCGCGCTGGAGCAGGCTACGGAGCTGGTCGTCCTGCTGAGGCGCCTTGACCTTTTTGCCAAAGTCTGATGCAAGACTCGTCAGAACGGGTTCGCCGGCCTGAGTGGGCGAGAGAGGGCTCACCTGCGGGAGCGACTTGCGCTCGACGGCTAAGCATGGCATCCTCGAAGCTGCTTGCGACGACGAGGATCTGCATGTCGACAGGCTTGGTCTGGCCGAGACGATGCGCACGCTTCTCCGCCTGGACCTCGACTGCCAGAGAAGCGATGTCAGCGAGATGAGTCGCTTCGGGACAGGAAGCTCGACGCACGATCCGGTTTCCAGATAGGCTCAACGGCGATGATGCGGCAAGCTGCGGTGAGACCGAAGCCGCGTCCTCCAAGCTTGGCGTCGACGAGGATAGCCTGACACTCGCGAGCCGTAGTCGAATTGAAGCGCTGTGCCTTCTCACCGCGATCGCCCGAACGAGCGTGAGAACCGGCAAAGACAAGATGACGGATGCCGAGAATGTCGAGCGCTTCAGACAAGTTGGCGAAGACGATGTCGACGTTCGACGATGAGAAGATGATGAACTGCGGGACGGAATGTCAGTGTCCATCGCGAACGAAGCGAAAGGACTCAAACGCACCTTGTCGTCAGGATGCTCGCGCATCTCGCGGATGATGTGGTTGATCTTCGACGAGGTCGTGCGGACGAGGCCAATGTTGCGGAAGATGGAGTCGGCAGGGAAGGGGGCGAGCGGAGTCTGGTCGTTCTTCGAGCGCTTCTTGAAGAGCGGCGGCTCCTCCTCCTCAGGATTCGCCTGCTGCTGATCCTTCTCCTTCTTCTTCGGCTTAGGCGCAGCATCCAGCCTCTTCCTCTTCTCCTCGAACGTGATCAGCTCCTCCACAAGCTCCTCGTCGTCCTCCCACGCCTTCACATCGACTCGCCGGAGCTCGTCCAAGTCGACGCGCATTCGGACGAGCTCGGGCAGCGGGACAAGAGTGCGACCCCGAGGGTTGTTGATGGCCTTGAGACCTCGGAACGTTGCCACGAGCTCGTCATCGAGACCAGTCACCTCAAATGCGACGGATGGCGTGCCGGCCGTCAAGATGGTCTCAGGATCATCCAGCGCCTCCTGGAAGACTTCGAGCACTTTGCGCTCCATGGCACGCTCCTCCTCCGTCCATGCATCGCTCTTCGGACTGTCGAGCATCTTCTTGGCAAAGTTGCGCGCCTCGTGGACCAAGACCACAAACTCGTAGGAACCGAAGAACGTCGTCGAGGTCGACAAGTTGTCCATGAGCTGCTCGAGATGGGCGCGCTTGGAAGGGTGGAAGAGGTAGTCGACGTCCACACGCTGCGAAGTGATGGCGTTCGAGGCGAAGAAGGCGATGAGAACGTTGTAGACGCGGCGCTCAGCCTCCTCAAGCGGGATTTGCACGATCCGCTTGGAGAGCTTGGGCAATTTGAACGAGTCCTTGATGTACTTCGGGTGATGGCGAACGACGGAGCGGTCGAAGACTGCCGCAAGTCGAGCAGCTCGCTCACCGCCGCCATAGACGTGCGTCTGGCAGAGCTTGCGGAGCGAGTCGTGCTTCGGGAAGGCGTCGTGCTGGTTGAAGCGGGAGAAAAGCTGGCCGAGGCGGTCAATGTCGGTGCGGTCGCCGCCTGCAGCGGACGGCGAGGTGAACAAGGCGACCTCCTCCTCCTCCTGCACGACGCGGAGATTCGTCGAGGGCGTGCCCGAGACGGCCCAACGCGACTCGCAGCGGAGCTGTGCGGAGTCATCGTCAGCGCGAGATGACAGTCTACCGAGCGGCTGCTTTACGTACCTCCTCTGCCAGCTTGCGCATCCTCGTACCGTTCGCCAAGACGTGCCCTTCGTCGATGACGAGCCGCTTCCAATGCACATGCCGCAGAGCCGTCTCCTCGGCGTCTGCTGCATCACTGAACCTCTTGACGCTCATCAGGATGAGGTCCTGCTGCGCCATCGCGGCGGCCGTCGGGAACTTGTCCTTGGCAGTCCGCAAGACAATGTAGCGGAGAGCCTTTGGCACGACGTGCTCCTTGATCTGCTCGCGCCATTGTCGGACGAGGTCGGTCGGGACGACGACGAGAGTCGTGGCCGCTACGAAGATCTGCTGCGGCTTGAGATTGCCCCTTCGTCCTTCGCGGCTGTTCTGCTGAGCGAGGCTGGGGTAGAGGCGGTAGTAAGGAGGCGAATCGTGGAGGAGGTTGAAGAGGGCTTCGGGCAGGGGATGTTGGTCTTCGATTTCGCCGAAATGCGGGTAGCGGTTCGGGTGCGCCGAAGTCTTGACGATGTGCGCGGCGAGGGAGCGTAGCGAGGGGAAGGGTAGGTCGGGAATCCTCGCGTCCTCCGCCTCCTGTGCGGCGAGAGCCGCTTCGTAGTCGAGCTGTTCCCGAACGTCGAGTTCAACGCCGGGGAGTAGCTGGAGCGTGCGAGGCTTGAGCTTCTTCTGTTCCTCGCTGCGATGGCAAGGGTGAGCAACAGTACGGATGCAAATGACCGTGCAGGCACTCACATTTCGGCCTTGAAGGGGTAGTCCCTCGAGAGCGCGGTGAGGAGGACGGGCGAAGGCGAAGGTTGCGAGCTGTCGAGGTAGCTCGAGAAGCCGTCGACGGAGGGAAGCTCGCTGAGCGTCGACATGACGAGCGAGAGGATGATGAGCGTCTTGCCGACGCCCATGTCTTCGGCGAGGATCCCACCTTGCGGCTCGCGAACGACAGTCGGCTTGCGACGGACGGATCCGTCTACCGAAACCCAGAAGTCGCGTCGTTCGGTACCGAGGCTAGTCGATCGCGCGATAAAAGCTGGGTGAGGGACGTCTTGCGGCGCAAGCTCTCGCGTGAGCATCTTGGCGAGCGTGGCGCGTTGGTAGGGGAAGAGGGTGGTGGTGATGCCGGAGGGGTTTTCTGTCAGAGACCAGGCGAGGCGGGACTTGACGTCGTCTGGCGCATCAACTTGTCCGAGGAAGGACTCGTCGTGAGCGGGAGACTCGATGTCGCGGTACACCTCCAGCAGCGATCGCCGGTCCTCCTCCTCCATCAGGCTCGGCACGTCGCCCTCCTGCGGAACCCCCATCCATTCTTCCTCACTGACCCGCACTGCTTGCAAGACATTCAGGACCGTCACTCCGGCAGGCCGCTTCGTCTTACCACGCGAATAAGCAAGATCGCGCAGCTCCGGCAGATCCTGCGGGACGAGGTAAATGCGGACGACGACATCCGCACTTGAGACATGCATCGTGCAAGTACATGCCAGGGCGGCTGACATGCTCGCCAGCGAGTCAATCACGGCAGTCCCCCCAATCTTCGCCTTCTTCCTCGCCGGCTGACCTGCCAAAATCGAAGCCCGCCTCTTCTGCCCGGCTCGCGCTTTGGTAGGCGACTTTCGCCGGGCCGCAGGAGGTTGGACGGGTTGGGCTTCGTCGGCTGGCTCAGCTGCTCGCGAGGCAGGCTGAACGCTGTCCCGCGCAAACGCGAGCCATCCGTCTTCGGCGACGTCCAGATCGTTCGATACAAGCTGGTGATCTCTGAGGAGGATCGTACCGGCTGGGATCAAGCGGTCGAGCGGAAGAGGAACACGCGGGGCGTGTCGTGAAGGACTAGTCGGAGCTGGAGGGCGGCTGGGCGCAAGCGGAGCTCGGGAAGGAGAAGGAGAGACGGGGCGTTCGAAGGGAAAGATGGCGGATGATGTGCTGGCGAAGGGAAGAGAAGCGGAGGAGGATCCGCCAATGGGGGTCGGGACGGGCGTGAGGAAGGTGATGTCGTTGGGGACTCGGTTGGCGGGGATCGCTGTAGCCTCTCGCTTGAAAGCTTGCGGTTTGACCTGTAAAGCGAAGCTGTCAGTGCGCTTGGCCTTGACAGCGAGCCATTCGACCGCACCTCGTGCTCGTCAAGGTCAACCGCGGCCGCCTTGCCCTTCTCTGCCGCTCGTGACCTTCCGCGGGACTCGTTCCAGTCCTCAAGTTCTTTCGCATCATCATACACCACTTCCTCCCGCATGACGCCGCGCTCCTCGTCCTCCTGCTTAGGCGAAGGGAGAGACGGCTTCATCTCCTCAAGCGAGGCAAGAGACATGGTCTCCTTCGTCGCCAGGTTCCTCTTAGCCTGTCCCTTCACGACCAACGTGCCTGCCTGCCCCTTTCTGGTGTACTCGTTGTTCACAGTCTCGACTAGCTCGGAAAGCGATGAAGATGCGGGAGGTCGTCTGGCGGGTTCGGCGGCAGTGGGTTTATGCGAGTCGGTAGCAACACAAGCGCTGTGACCGGTCAAGAAGCAAGCGAACCAAGAAGAGCAGCGTGGACGGCGTGAACAAGCATTCGTCTTGCCTGCCGCTCCACTTCCTCGAAGTCCGCATACATCTCGACTCGCGAAGCGTAAAGACTGGCAAAATGAACGAAAGTGTCTATTGGCGCACTGCGCGGACGAGGAATAAGACGCAAAGCAATGCTACAAATGCGAAATGAGAGGACGATTCGGTCTAAGGGGTGGGGCAAAGGAGGGAACGAAAGACGTCTAGGCGAGCGCGACGATGCTGCCAACGAGCATGGCGAGGACTGAGAGCGAGACGGAAGCAGCGACGATGTCGCCGTTGTTGGTCTTGTTCGACGAGCTGTTTGAGCCGGCGGCGGTCGCGCTCGGTCCCGACGAGCCGCTGTTCGAGCCTGACTTGGCGCCAGACGAGCCGGCGGAAGTGGCAGTCGGGGCGGACGTGGACTGCGGGCGGCGTCGAAACGCAGTCAGCCTTCGCATTCTAAAGCAGCGACGTGCGTGTCGGTCGACGAGCAGCAGAAGCACGTCACACCCTTACCTGGTAACCCAGAGCCGTCGCCGGGAAGAGCTCGGTCGACTGATACGTTTTGCAGTTCGACGAAGCCGGAACGCGCGGCGTCCAGGGCAACGACTGCGTCCCAGCGAGCGACTCGGGCTGCGACCACGTCGTCGTCTGTCCGTTCGTGCCAGTGTAGATGCCGACGGGGTCCTGCAAGTCGCCGTCGCATTCGAGAAAGACGTTGTCCTGGTAAGATGCGGGCATGTCTGCGGGGCGGGAAGGGCGTCAATGACAACTCGGAAGGGCGTCAGCGACGGCTCAGAGCTCGCAAAGGCGCATTAAGAACGCACTGTAGGAACAGCCCAACAAGTCGAACTTGTTCTGGCAATAGAACGGCTCCTTCTGGGTGTTGTCGAAGCACAGCTTCAGGCAGAAGACGCCCGCTCCGACTGTTTCGCCCAATCCTGCATCAGTCCCGTCTCGTATGCGATGTGAGAGAGGTGCGCGACCCACTGAAGTTGTTCCACTCGACAGCCTGAACCTCGGTCTGGTTGTTGCCGCCGGGAAGCTGGTTCGAGTAGACGAGTCCTGCGAGCGTGATGCGTAAGAATCGGTACGTCGTCCGAGATGGCTCGGCGCACCTCCAAGAGGGTTCCCAGCGAGGTCTGCACCGTGCGGGTCTGCACGTCACGAGAAGGTTAGTCGGATTCGACTTCGAGCGCTCGCTCCTCAACGCACCCAGCTCGCCTCCAGTGTCGTTCTCCTGCAAGTTCAGAGCCGACATGTTGATGTGTCCGGTCCACTGGATGTAGGCGGACGTGTGCATGACCTGCGGGAAGCGCGATTGTCAGCGAGCATCTCGCCAAAGAAGTGTAGTACCCCTCTCACTCACCTGCAAGCCAGTGATCGCGCCAGCGGGGATAACGCGAGCACCGTGCTGGTCGTTCGTACACTGCCGGGGAAAGGTGAGTCAGCGGCAAGTCCGAGGAACTCGCTCGAGGAGAAACTCACGTAGGCGACAACGGCAGCCTCGTCATCTCCGCTGCATCACTTAGCCCGTCAGTAACGACAGCTGATCCTGCTCGTCGGAGCGCAACGCACATCGTGCCGTTCGCACTCATGGTCGGACTGCCCCAGAGACAGAAGTCGCTGGCGTTATTAGCGATCATGGTCTGACACCGCGAGTCGGGCCCCGACGTCGTCGAGTTACAGATGTTGTAACCGGACTGTATCGCGGAGGCGAGCGGCGCAGAGAGGAGGCCCGACAATATGCATCGAGGGTGGGGGGTGGTCTCGAGGTCAGCGAGTTGTCCGCGCCCAGCCTGGCACCCTTCTACGCACCTGAGGACCACGTCCCTCACTGCAAGAACGAGGAAGACACCAAACGGTCAGCCAGGCGCCTCGAACTTCGAAATGGCAGACTCACGCAGCGGGGAGAACCTGGTACGGTACGGCCGAGTACGAGTACGTGTACTGTGTCAACGGCTTCTGCGACCCAGCAGCCTGTCGCTTGACTGCCTTTGCGATCTGAGTTGACGAAGGCGCGGCGGTGATGGTCGAACCGGACGAGGCGGCCACGAGCGAGCTGCCCGCCAACGCGCACGCGGCGGTTGCGAGTGCGAGTGTGGTCCTCATCGTCGTCGTTCGCGTCGGAACGGAGGGCGTGCGAGAGTGAAGAGGCCTCTCGCTGCGAAAGTTGCGAGTCGGAGGGGCGGTGCTGCAAGCGAGTGGGGCGAATTAGGCGTCGAGGGGACTGGCGGACGAGTGAAGAAGCAGCAGAAGCAGACGAGCCGTACACAGCAGGAGGGGAAGAGGAGGAGGAAGAGGAGCTGCGATGATGGACACGAACCGTTGCGAGCGCGACCGGGAACTTTAGCGCGTCGCGGGGAGGAAACGGGGTCCCCTATACGCTGCTGGACTGACGTCTCCTGTCGTTGAATGCGAGCGCCCGAACAGCGAAGCGAAGAGGAAACAGCAAGCCGGAACGGAGAGAGGGGAGGTGGAGGAGGAGAAGTGCAGGTTCGTGGCGTTGCCGACAGTCGTGCTTCTCTAGAGACAGCCCTACCGAAGCTGAATAAGCCACACAGCGCCGAAGCAGCGTCTTGTGAAGCAAGCGAGCGAGCGACACCTCCTCGGCCTTCGCAAAATTCGCCTGCTCGACGCTTTCCCGCGCTGCGCCGCAACAAGCCAGGTCATTACATGCGTCAAGTAGCACAGTATTAGTCTCTAGTCATGGTCCATCCCGCCGTCTCGCCAACGACACCGTGGCGGATCCCGCTCGACTCCTTTCGCGCGTCTCCTCTCGACACCCAAGTCCGCCTCCTCCACTCACATCCTCGGCCGCGAGCGACTGCTGGCCCTGCTCGACGACCGTCCCAAGCTAGCCTCGGCATACCCTACCTGACTGCCCTGGCTCCGCCCCGACGCATTCGAAGCAATCGACCCCATCCTGCTGTTCCGGCCATACGACCGCTTCTCGTCCTCGCTCGACTCGCTCATATCGCTCGACTCGCCGTTGCCGACTGGGGCGTAGCGGCGGCGAGAAGGACGGGCGAGCGAGTTGGCGACGGGTTGGGGGGCGACGGCGCGCTCGGCTGGGTTCGAGACGACCACGGTTTGCTGCAGGGAAGGAGAGCGTCAGAAATCTGTCTTCCCCTTGAGCGACGGCCCGAAAGCTGAGACTCACGCCGGTCGCGGGTCCGCTGCCGCTCTTCTTGCTACCACCGCACTCGAGAATCGCAGCGATGATAGCGATCACGAGAGCAACAGCAACTCCGACGCCGATGACGATGGCGCTGAAGCGTACGATCTAACGGTCAGAAGGTCCAACACTGAATGAAAGGCGAAAAAGTGGCGGCCGGCGCACATGGTCTTGTTCTCCGAAACCCAGTCGCCAATGCCTCCGCCACCGCCGAGCGAGACAGTCACGTTGTTCGTGTTAGTGTTGCTCGAGTCGAGCGTCGCGTTCGAGCCAGAGTTGGCATCAGCCGTGTTGTTGAGGTTGAGCGAGTTCTCCGGGACGCTCGTATCGGTTGGCGCGGCTGAGCTGAGAGTCTGCGGAGCGGGAGCGGTAGGGATGCCCGTGTTTGCTGCACCGGTCTGACCCTGGGTCACGGTGGCTGCGCCAGGATTGCCAGTGTCATCGGGCTTCTTGTGCGAAGCGATCGGAACGGGCTGCTGGTCGTTCGTCTGCGTAGGCTGGGGCTGCTCGTCCGCGGGTCTGCGAATGATCTACATTAGCACTACTCGAATGTCGGTTGAGACGCGGCTGAGCTCACTGAGTCGCGGCGACCGTGACAGTCTTCCGCAGCGGCTCGCCCTGCTTCGTCTCGATGATGACCGACTGCTGATAGAGCGTCGAGGTGCTCGAAAGGACGGCGGTGATAGTTGCGAGTTGAAGGTCGAATGCGGTGGTCGTCACAGTGACCGGGACGGTCTGTAGGAAAGGCGATCAACGAAGCGTAGGAGGCCAGCCGCTTCGGATGAGGCTGCTCACCTTGCCAGACACAACGGTTGTTTGGATGACCTTCGTGGCGACGGCTGTCTGCGTCTGCGAGGGAGGAGGGAGCGAGGTTTAGCTCCTGCGGTCGATGCTTGCAAAGGGGTGGGAGACTCACCATCGTGGTCGTGATCTCCTCGACGACCTTGACGACCGACGTCGCAGTCTGCGTCACGCCATCGACGACGACGGGAACAAAGACGCTGCGAGGGAGAGGGCAGGTCAGCTCCAGACTTCGGCGGAACAGCTGGCCCGCAACTTACGTCGAAGGAACGGCAGTCTTGATGACCGTCTTCACGGTCGTGACCGCTCCGATGTTGACGATCCTATGGTCTCTGACATCAGCATCAAGTTCAGTCGAAGGAACTCTGGCACTCACACATCGTCAACCCGCTTCTCCAGCCCACGCCGCGCCTGAGGAGCTTGCGTCCGAATCGCCGCCGGTGCGGCCAAGACAGCAGTCGCGGCGAGTACCGAGGTGAGTAAGTGTAGCACCGTATGCCGCGCCATCAGCCAAGTCGAGAACGGAGGAAGGGAGAATGGAAGGAGAGTGGGCGGAGTATCCGCGGGATATGGTCGAGAGTGAGCGAGGGAGGGAGCGTGAGCGAGTTGCAGTCAAGCGAGCGGCGGGAGATCGGTTTGTGTGGGCGAGTCGACAAGCGAGCGAAGAGAAGGTGAGGGCGGAGGAGAGGAGAGAACCAGAAAAGCGGCACGAGGGCGACCTCCTCCTCGTCGGCTAGTCCGCGGACTCGCCGATTGCGGTCGATTGAATAGACGAGATTCCAGAATTGGCTCCGTAAGCATACGTAAAACGACAGAGAGAAAGGCGAACGAGAGGGAGAATGTGGGAAGGTTACCAGCCGAAGCGAGTGCGGACTTGCTGGACGAGCGCGCGGATGTCCTGCGAGGCGAGGTGCGCCTGCACGATGTCCGAGATGTCGTCCGACGAGTCGAGGATCTGCGTCCAGCGAGCCCGACAATGTCAGCCATGTTTGCGGATACGCAGCCAGGAGACAGCAGGAGGCCGAGTGCTGACGGACCTTCGCATCGACCATCTTGCCATCCAGACCCATCTCGACGCTCAGTCGCCGCAGGTCTCCCTTCTCCGCCTGCGCACTGCCGTACTCGAAGATGAGTGCGGACGGAGGCGAGCCGACTGCGTAGGCGTTGTGGATGCCGAGGAGGGACTTGTACAGCGCGGTGGTTGTGTCAACCCTGCGCAACGACGCAATTACCGTTAGCAGCTGACCACGGGGCTGAAAGGAGCGAGAGTGGACCTACCACTCGCATCCCTTCTCAGCCCGCTCATCCTGCACGCCCTTCGCATCCCTCTCCTCCTGCTCCCTCCTCAACTGCTTCGCCGTGTTCGAATACCGCTCAATACTGATCTTGCTCGCCTTGATGCGCGGCTTGAGCGTCTTCATCTCGTCGTCGCACTGCTTCGTCCGCTGGCCGATCTGGACTAGCTCGAGTTCTTGCGCTTCGAGCGTTTGGGCGATTTGGTCGGTCGTGAGGCGCTGCGCGACGACCAAAGTCGCTCAGTGAGTGGTCAGGGTAGACAGAGGGCATAAAGTACGCACCTCGGTCGGAGACCGCTTGTTCTTCAACATGGCAATCTCCGTCTCCATCGCCTCGCACTCTCTCATCAAGCGATCCGCATGCTCCGCCTCTTGCGTTCGTCGCTGCAGCTCTGCAAGACAACACTGCTTAGCGGGCGCTTAGAGTCGGAGGGGAAAGCGAGGCGCACCCTGGTCAAGCGCTTCAGCCTCGGAACGGATGAGCGCCTCGAGCTCGTTCACGCGCTGCTTCCGCTCCTTTAACGCCGCCTTTGCCTGCGCACGCTTCTCCTCTATGAATCGACAACCACCCATCAGTCAACTTGCCAGCCCTGTGAGGACCAAGTTGACAGAAAATCGAACGGGCGTGAACGCACCGAGTTGGTCGTTCTCCTCCTTCAAGACAGGCTTGTAACCGTCGGCGTCGAGAATGTGGTTCACGAACTCGAGCTTGGCGCACGACTCGAGGTAGGCAAACTTGAGGTTCGAGATGTATTCCTGTTCGTCGATACGCTCGCCGGATCAGCCGTCTCTTCTCTTCGGCAGAGCACGACGGCAATACTGAGAGCGTGCGACACACCTTGAACAACCTCAAATCCTCCCCAATCCTCTCCCTATCGGCCGAATCCATGACCAACCCATCCTCACTCACGCCCGTCACAGCCGTGACATCCGTCGCGCCCTGTGTCCAGCGCGTATAGTTCTCTGTGTCGTTCTGGCGGTGCGAGAGGTGCGAGAGGTCCCGGACTGGGATGGACGAGACGAGGCGAGTGGATTCGAGGGGATGTTGGGCGAAGGTGGTGAGGAGGCTGCACGGAGCGGTGAGCGTCAGCGTGGAGAACGGCGCGTATGCTGGAAGGTGCTCACGCTTTCGTTTGCTCAAATAGAGCCGTACTTGAGTCGGTGGACGCCATGGCGCGAGAGAGAGGGGTGGCAGCAGCGCGAGGCGATGAGAACAATTCGCTGCACGTGACCTGGGCAACGGCGGCGACGACGGGGCGAGTAGAAGAACATACTCTCGGCGAAGTCTTTTCGCAGAGAACACTGCATCGGAAGAAAAAGCGACGGCAGCAGCGCGGGTCTTGCGCTGACGACTCTCCCTCGCCTGCTCGTCCTCGCTCGCTCGCTTCGCTCCTCCTCCCGCCCGGATGACCCAGGCAATGCCTGCTCCATGCCGAAAGCATGAGAAGCTCTTGAGGATGACGGACAACGGGCGAGAAACGCCGTGGCGAGACGTCGAGATGTGCAGTCGTTGCAAGAGCTACAGTTTGTACAGTCGGGATGATCTGCACGGCGGCACGGTTCATCAGCGCGTGCGCAAGGAGGGTCAAAGTGGCGAAAACTCACGCAGAAAGAACGAATGATCCCCCTCAGACTTGAGGTCCTGCAGCCGCCGTTGCTGGAGGTGTCGCCGCCTGGGCCCCTGCTCCCAACGCCTCCATCTCCTGCTGCCTCGCTAGCGCCTCAGCCTTGCGTTCTGCCTTCCTCTGACTCTGGTAATACAGCGAGCCGCCTGCGTCACGAAAGGTCAGCCTTGAAGAAGGGAGGAAAGGCGCGAGGGAGACGCACCGAGGGCGGCGATGACGGTGAATCCTTGTGCGGCGACTCGGTACCGCAGGAACTGGTTGAATCGTGTTCGGTTGCCCTTTTGCAGGGCGGAACTGGCGGCGAGGAGGGCGGCAACGGTCGCGATGCAGCCTGTCGCGTGGTGAACGAGTGGGTGTCAGCTCGCTTCGACTGGGGGGAGATAGGAGGACCATCATGCCCTCGCCTACGAACGCAGAGAGGCCCTCAGCACCGCTACGAAGCAAGCAAGACTGACCGATCGGGACGAGCGGTTCCTCCTTGAACTTCTTTGAGAACTTTACCCACGTTCCCGGGTTCTCGCGCGACTTGCTGGGTACGGGAGCGGCTGCTGCGAGGTCTTCGGGGTTCACGACGGGGTCGGGGGTGTATGCGGCGGGCATGATGCGGGGAGTGAGGGAGAGAGTCGTCTAATGGGGATCGCTCGGCGGGAGTTTCGCGGAAGGGTTCGGCTAGGCTCAGTCGGTGGTGCTGGCGTGCGTTCAAGTCGTCTGAGCAGGTGAATGAGCGAGAGCGGGTTCGGCAGGAGGTGGCGGAGGAGAGAGTGAGCGGGTGAGGGACGAGCAAGGGGTGCGGCGATGCGCTGGCTGGACTGGCTGCATGTGCAGTGTGTAAGCTACACTTCTGGACCCTCTGCAAGCTGCTTGACTCGCCTCGTGAAGTGGTGTCGAGGCCAAGCTGCCATCTGTTCGCTCGCACTCTCCTCTCGCTCGCTCACCTCGCTTTGACATCGCCAGAATGCCTCCCAAGCGCAACCAGAAGGGCTCGAACAAGTCGTCCAAGGCTCCGTCCAAGGTCGCATCCAAGGCCCCCTCGGGCGCGTCCACCCCCGCCCTCCGGACAGAGCCTCAGACGCCCGTCAAGCTCGCCCCGGGCCTCGTCGGCCTCACCTTTGGACAGAGCTTCTCGAGCGTCGCAGTCATCGACAAGGTACGCACTGACACTTTCTACCACGCGAACGAACCATCGCTGACCCTTGGCCGCGCCGCGAAACAGGAGGGTCTCGCCGACTGCATCGCCAACGACGACGGCGAGCGACAGATCGCGACCGCCCTCTCGTTCAGCGGGTCAGAGTTCGTGAGTCCCTCTCGAGGGCCATCCGCAAGATCCAGCACTGACCGGCACTCTCCCTGCAGTACTCGGGCATCCCTGCTCGCGCCCAGCTTGTCCGCAACGCAGAGAACACCGTCCTCGCCTTCCGCAACCTCCTCGGCAAGACGTGCGTTGCGTTCGTTGTGACGGCGAGTTAGATCCCGAGCTGACACGACGGTCCCTGCAGCTACGACGAGGTCAAGGATGTCAAGCAGCCGTCCAACTCGGCGCCGATTGTCGACTCGAACGGCGTGCCCGCGTTCAAGGTCGACATTGACGGCACCGCGACCGTCCTGACCGCGCACGACTGCGCAGTCCGCTTCCTCCGCGTCCTCGTCTCGTACGCAACCGACTTCCTCGGCCGACCCATCACCGACGCCGTCCTCGCCGTTCCCACCGACTTCTCCGACAAGCAGACCCAGGCTCTCCTCGCTGCTGCCGAGGAGGCCGGCGTCCACGTTGTCCAGACCGTCCCCGAAGCTGCCGCCGCCCTCACCGCCTACGCCGCGACCGACCTCTCGTCGACCGATGTCGACAAGCTCCCTATCGACCGCAACACCGTCGTCCTCGATGTCGGAGCGACCTCGACGACCGCGACTGTCGTTGCCGTCCGCGACGGCCTCTTCCATGAGCTCGCGAGCGTCGTCGACCGCTCGCTCGGCGGCGACCTGTTTGACGAGAAGTTGATGGACTGGTTCGGCAAGGAGTTCACGAAGAAGACGCGCGTGCCGCTCGAGAAGTCGAACCACCGCGCGCAGATGAAGCTCCGCCTCGCGGTCGAGATCACCAAGAAGTCGCTCTCTGCTTCGACGTCGGCGCCTTGCTCGGTCGAGTCGCTCGCCGAGGGCATGGACTTCCACGGCACGATCAACCGCACCCGCTTCGACCTCCTCGCCGCCTCCGTCTACTCCCGCATCCTCGACCAGGTCACCGCCGCGCTCGAGCAGGCCAAGCTCGACCCGCTCCAGATCCAGGAGGTCATCCTCGTCGGCGGCACGACCAAGCTCCCGACGCTCACCAACAAGCTCTACGACATCTTCCCCGAGTCGACCGTCGTCTCGAGCCAGATCGAACCCGACGAGGTCCTCGCCAAGGGCTCGGCGCTCCAGGCCCAGTCCATCCTCGCCACTTTCCCGCCCGAATCCCCCAACCAGAAGGACCTCATCCGCGCTTCGACGACCGAACAAGCCGTCATCGCGCCCGCCGCTCTCTCGCTTCCCCTCGGATTCGTTCTCGAGCCCGAACTCGCCAACGACCCCGCAAACCTCGCGTTCGTCACCCTCCTCGACCAGCACACGCCCCTGCCCGCACGGAGGATCGTCGACATCCCCATCGAGAGCGACGCGACGAACGAGGTCATCCTCGCGCTGTGGGAGGGCGAGCCTTACATCAAGGTCACCCTTCCGGAGAGCAAGATCGAGCAGGCCAAGAACGCGGTTGCGGCTGCGGCGGGTGCTGTCTTTGATGCGGTCAAGAATGCGACGGGCGCAGGAAAGGGCGAGGACGACGTGACGGACGACGAGGACGAGGATGAGGAGATCCGCACGGTCGAGGTTCGCGCGACGAAGGCCATCACCGACCTCGTCATCCCCGTCGACGCGTCCAAGAAGGACGCCAAGGTTCGCGTTACGATCGTTGTCGAGAAGGATGGAAAGGGCCACCTCGAGGCGCAGCAGCAGGTTCCCGGCGCCCAGTCCGTCCGCAAGGACTTCTGAGCGGGCGACTTTTCCTTTCTCTTCGCCATAGACGACGTTGCGGGTGATTCGCCTACCCTCAAAAGGCCCGACGTATTCTAGAGGGCCCGCCTCTTCTCGCTTCCCGTAGCTCGCCTTCGTATCCCCTCTGCAATACTTGCGGTCCTCCCTGTAGCTTCATTCCTCGCGAGAGTGGTTTGTGCTTGTAGATCGTACAATTGCGGGCAGTCTTCGATGGACGCCTTGTGGAGCGGGACAACATACTCAAGCTGAACAACCTGGAGACTGCGGTGAGGGAGGAGGAAGAAACGACGAATAGAGAGGGCAAAGACTACAGAAAGGCGAAGTACGACAAGGGCGACTATCGACGGCTTGGGTCCCATTGCGGCGGGACAGACTGCGAGGAAAGGTGAGAGGGGACGACAGAGTTCGAAAGGGGACTGCCGACTCGATGCGTCGGGAAGGGCGAGAGATGCGAGATGCCGTTGGTGAGGGGCTCGGCGCTGCGGGCATACCGCTCGGGAAGCTTGACGGAGAAGTAGTCGGTGGGGGCGCTCGTCCGACGCTGCTGGCCGTCGGACGCGAACGTCGGAAGCGCAGGCGTCATGGGCGATGCGGACGCGGCGGGAGAGACAGAGTAGGCGGCGAAAGATGAGGCTGGCGAGTGAGGCGTCCAGGAGTGCGCGCTGAGGGCGGGGATGCGTCGCGCGGCGTCGAAGCGGCGGTCATCGAGCGAGGACGGGAAGGAGGGCAGAAGCGGTGCGCGATGCTGTGCGGGCTGGGTGGAAGGTTCGGGTTGTGCAGCGGTCTCGACGGCATGGGACACCGACGCAGGGCGCGCGTCGTCATGCCGCGAGTCGAAGCGATGAAAAGCGGACGGGCGGTGGGTGCGGTCGAGGCCGTCATCCGTCGTTGCGTTCGATGCATCCGCTGCGTCGTTGCCGAACCAGTCATGGCGAGCGGGCGAGCCTGCATTGACTCCAGGACCATCGTCGTTGAGCATGTTGCTGAGATGCATGCCGCTTGGACCGGACGATCCCGCTCGTCGCGACGGCTCGAGAGATGGCAAAGGCGGAAGACGACGCTGACCCGGGTCTTCGAAGAAGCCGGCGCGAGGCATGGCCGAACGTGCTTGCGGACCGATGTTCTCCTGCATCGGAGACTCGAGCTGGCAACGGCGACTATCAGCCGACTGAAAGAGGGAAGCAAGCTGAATTTGGACGCACTCGAACGTTCGCGGGAGCAGGGGCAGCCGCTGCGTCGGTTCCTCCGTTGTTGACGATGTCGGCGAGGTTGTGCTTCTTGGCGTTGTTCTGATACCACTGTGAGCGCAGACAACCTGTCAGCACGGTACTGCTGGGCTCTCGAGCGGCTGACTCACGTTGCGACACTGGATCCAGGTCTTGTTGCCGAGTCCCTCTGCGAGCTTCTTCCAGTCCTTGCCATGAATCGCGAGGAGCTTGAGGATCTCGGCTCGTTCGGCGACGGTCCAGTACGACGAGGTGGTCGACTTGCGCTTCGGCTTGGCCTTGTCGCCAGGACCGAAGTCGGCATCGCCGTCAGGACCTACGGGCGAGTCTCCGATGACTTCCTCAGTCGGCAGCGAGTCGACGTCGACGCGAAGCTTGCGCGGTCGGCCTGCTCCGCTGCGACCTGTCGAGCCGGCGCCTTGGGTGGTGGTGGTTTCTCCACCTTCGCTCTCGCCCGGGCCACCTGCAAGGGCACCCAAAACCTCGGCCGCCTCCATCATGCCCTCGGAGGGCAAGTCGAGCGTAGCTCTTTTCGGCGTTTGTCGAGGCTTGGCCGGCCTCTTCGGCGCAGGCGTCATGGTCGCATCACCGTCCGCATCTTCCGCAGGAGGGCCACGGGGGGTCATGAGGAAGCGGTCGCCTTCGTCGTGCGCTTGGTCCTCGACAGGCGTAGGCAGCTCGGAACGGCTCATCCTCGGCGATGTCGGTGCGCTGACCTCGTCCTCGTCCTCGTCGCGCTCGTCAATGGGCGGAGCAGCGGAACGCGCCTTCTTGTTGAGGTTGGACAGCAAGAACGAACCCTTGCCCTCCGGCCGCTTCTTCGACTTCTTGCGACGACCGTCGCGTCCCCGTCGGTCGGACAGGCTGCGAAAGTCGATTGTGTGCTTCATGCGGTAGTAGAAGAGCACGCATTGGGCAGTCGTCTTGTCGGGCAGTTCCTGGGCGATTTTGCCGAATTGCTTAGGGTGCTGAGCGAACCGCTTGCAGAACGTCTCAACCTCCTGCTCCGTCCATACATCGAGAGGTGCGTTGACGCCGAAGGTAGCCTCGGGATCGATGACGCGATAGCGCTCGTCCTCGAACGCGGTCGAGAGCAGTTCGCGTCGCTCCGAGTCGTCGATGACCATGTCGGGAACGACGGCTGCCGTGCGGGCGGCGCGGACGTCGGGATCGCGAAGGTCGGCCGTCTCGAGGCTGGCCAGGATCTCAAGGAACTCCGCCTCCGAACGGACGGCATCTCCGTACCCAAACGCTCCGACGGCAGCGCCCGCCGAGCGACGGTTGGCGCGCCCGCCGACCAGCGAAGGACCAGGCGTCGTCGGCTCAGGATAGAAGGGCATGCCCGAAGAGTCGATCGAGGGCGTCTGCGGAGCTGTCGAAGCGGCATTGTTGTGGTTGTTCGGGCGGTGAATCCGCTCGCGGAGCTTGTCGAGACGTGCACAGTGCGCCTTCCAGTCGGCGTTGAAAAGCTTGTACTGCTGGCGAAGGGCGATGGCCTTGTCTTTGCGTCGTTCATCGCGGGTGTCGAAGTATGTGAAGAGCGCCTCAGACAACCGCGTGTGCGGCTCGATGACAGATTCCCACGTCCTGACGAAAAGCTCGTCGCGGTCCGTCAGTGGCGGAATGGTCACGCCCCCCGTGAGACGCAGCCGTTCCTCAAGCGTCCGCTTGCGATTGGCCTCAACGAGAGCCTCCGCATCGGCCGCTTCGTCCTCGTTCTCGCGGATGACGGTGTGCAGGACCGAGTCGAAACCTTCGGGCGAGCGGGTTGGCGGAGTCGTGGGAGAATGACGGTGCTGGTCGTCTGTCAAGTGCGGGGATGGCGGCTTGGGGAAAGATCTCGCTTCGTCTGCGGGCGAGCGCGGCGAGTCGGTACCCTCCACATCTCGCATGACGGCGTCTTCCGCCTCGAGGTCTATGGCCTTCCCGACAGCGACCCCAGCGGGGGACGCTTGTGCCGCCTGCACAATCGCTGCCTCATCCACCTCCATCGTGTCCTTGGCAAGCCCGAGGCCTACCGTCACGAGTTCCGCCTGCTCAGCTGGCGAAGCGTCCTTCGCCTCCTGCGAGACAGGCGCTGCAGCTTGCGGAGGCGTGACGGGCTCGACAGCCGTCTCCACCTTGGCCTCAAGCTCAGCCGCAGCAACCGCAGGGACAGGTTCTGGCGCGACGACGGGAGCGACCGTAGACGCAGGCGGAGATGCAGCATCGGCAGATCGAACGGGTTTAGCAATCGACGGCTGTGGAGGAAGAGGCGCTTCTTCAGCCTTCTTGGGTGGAGGAGAAAAGGCGGAAGTCGGCAATGGTCGAGCCGGACGGTTGATGGGGGAAAGGACACTGGCGATGGGTGCAGGCGGCGTGGAGGCGAGAATTGTCGCTGACTGGATGGCCGGCGACGAGGCGGCAGCTGGAGTTGCGAGAGGAGCGGCGGCGGGGAGAATAGAAGAAGTGGCGGCTAGCGGGACGTAAGACGGTGGAGGAGGAGGTGGAAGCGGTCTTTGGGCGGCAGAAGGAGAAGGTTTGGGCTCGTCGGCAGGTGCAGGAGCGAAGGAGGGTGAGACGAAAGGTGCGGCTGAATTGGGCGGCGACTGTGGCAGAGGAGCAGCTGTAGCGGGCGCAACGGTAATCCGCGACTTGACGGGCGACACCTCACCTTCCTCCTTTTCGAGCTGCATCTTCGGCGAGGCCGAGTGCGCGGGCTCGGGAGGCGGTGAGTGTGCGAAAGCCACCGGAGCGGCGTCTCGTGTCCGCGAGACAGATTCCGCTCGTTCGCTGGGCAGCGGCGGCGTGCCCTCCTCATGCGCAGTCCGGTCGACTGGCGCCGTCCTGCTCACAGCCTCTTCCGCCTCCTTCTTCGCAATCTCCTCAAGCACCTCGGCTGGCGCAAACATGTCGAAATCATCGACTGCTTGAACCGGCGTAGGCTCAGGCGTCTCGGACGGCGGCGGTCGATCTCGAGGCGGAGGTGTCGATGCCTGTCGCTCCTGCCTCTCCAGCTCGATCTCGACAATGCTGTCTCGTCGCGGCTCCTGCACCTCTCCCTCCAGCTCCTCGAGCTCTCCGTCCTCGTCCGGCAGCTCGCCTTCCTCGACATCCGAGCCAGGCTTGCTCGGCGGAACCGAGCGAGGCGGAAGAGGAGGTGTCGTCGTGCGTTCTCGTTCTCGCGTTTCTGCGGTCGAAGAGGGAAGACTCGCCTTCCGCCTGTCGGGACTGCCGGTGCGAGACGGAGCAGATGGAGGTTGATGGCTAGGTCGGCGGGGAAGAGAGGCGGGTATGGGTACGCCGTTGACGAAGGAGGGCGGTCGATGAGGCGGAGGCGACGTTGAGCGGGTGGGAAGCGGCCTTGCGTACGGGCTGGAAGGCAGAGGTCGGTCGAGGCGATCGAGGAGGGAGGGGCGGCGGTATGCGTCGGGCACAGGCGGGACGGGCGGAGGAGGCTCGTGAGCGAAGCGCATCGGACCGTACGAGTAACTGCGCGCCGTCACAAGTCAGCATGCGCTCCTGATACTGATAAGCTCGAGAGGAACGAACCCTTGCGACTCGCTCACAACTCGTCTCCCGTCTCCGCCTCGAACTGGCGGAGGTCTGTCATACCCGCCTGCCCGCCGATCCCGATCTCTGTCCCGCATCCTGTCCCTCTCGCGCTCAGGACTCGATCGTCTACTCCGCCAGCCGTCCCTTCCATCGAGACTCTCGTCATCCAACTCCCTCTCCCGATCTCGCAAATCGTCCTCATCATCCTCCCGACTCCGCTTGTTCCCCCTCGAGCGATATGGGATCTGAAAACCCGACGAGCTGCCTCCTTTCGTCGGCGAGCCCGCCCACCCGTTCCCTCGTGGAACTGGAGGTTCCCAAGGCGCATTCGACCGACCTCCGCTGCTCCGGCTCGACGATCCTGGCGGAAACTGATCTCGTTCGCGGTCCCTATCCCGTTCGCGGTCGCGCTCGCGATCACGGCGGTAGTCGCGTTCGCGTCGTGAGCGGTAGGGAAGGTCCGAGTCGCGGTCATCTGGCGAGGCCGATCTTCGACGAAAGCGGTCAAGCGGCTCGCGATCATACGGCGGTTCCCACTCGTCGACGTACTTGGAGGACGACGACGGGCCAGCCTCGCGGTTCATTCGAGGCTTCCTGTCTCCCCAGCCTTGGTCTCGCCTGCCTCCGGTCATTTGAGGGGGGAGACCGCTGGATGGGCCATGTGTCGGATAGAGAGGCGGGGATGGGGATCGTCGAGACGGTTTGGGCGGCGGAAAGTCGGAGAGGGGCGAGTCGAGCAGACGGAGCAGAGGACCGTTGCTGCCAGACGGGAGTGAGTCGTAGCGCGAATGGCGGTCGTTAGACGGCGGTGGCGGGGAGTATGAGCGTCTTCGAGGTGGTCTGTGGTACGCAGGCATCCCCAAGATGAATGGAAAGGATAGCGCGCGGTCAAAGGGGACGAGAAGAGGGATGAGAGTCAGCTTCAGCTGGACCGCTCGTGGCGCGTTCCTCTGCCTCCATGAGTGCGCGATTTGACACGCACCGAGTATTGCGACCTCCCCTCACGCTTCCCGCATCGTACCCACGCCTCGAGGACGACCCGCCCGCCTCTGCTCCCCTCCCTCCCGCGCCAGACGCGGAGGACCTGGCATAGTCCATCCGCAGTCTCTCGTGTCCGCAATCAGATCCCGCTCTGTTGGTGTGCTCAGACTCGCGTGGGTCGTGCTGGCGAGGAGAGGCGGGCGAGGGATTCGAGGTGGGTGTTTGTGATGTCGTGAGGCGGCGGCGGCGCGCTTTGACGGGCTGCGAGTGGGCTCTACGAGATCCCTGAGGGTAGTAGCTGTCCCTCGCAAGCAGTCTGCCCCTCCCAAGCGGCGTGGTGAGCGGAGTGAGCGTGCGTACAGGTCAAGGGGCGAGTTGGCGGCGAAGTCCAGCTCTGGCTCGTACACAGCTCGACCGCACGGCTGGACAATCGAGCTGCTGGCTGAGGAGACTGCTACTGTTATCTGCCATCCGCCCGATACCGCTCTTACTCGCCGAGCGACTGTCAGCACCCGCACAGATGCCTCCCTCGTTCGACAACCCTCCCGCGACACTCGCTGAGCTCAAGGATGCGCTCGACGACCTGCTGGAGGACTATCTGGACACGCTCTCTGCATATCAGCAAGCGCGCGACCTGCTATCGAGCCACTTGAAGACCGTGAGGCCGCTTTCTTTCCGTCGCCTCCCTGTCTCGCTCGGGCTAGCTAACTTGGGACGCTTTGTTCCGCCTTCTGCAGGGCTACTTCGACCTCGCACGGGCCAAAGTTGCGCTGGGACCGGGAAGAGTGGGACAGTCGAGCTACGATTTGGGCGAGAACGAGTCGTTGCGAGTTGTGTGCGTACACAAGCGATGTAAGAGCTAGTCTTGGATGCTGACTCGTGTGCGAGGACGTTACAGGACGATTGAAGGCGAGGAGGAAGTGTCGCAGGACAAGGGAGTGAAGGAGAACGGTCGGATATCCTGCTTGCGGTACTTGCTCGACCTGCGACCCGCTTCCCCTGAGTCCGCACGCGACGTCGACAGCTCCTCGAATTCTCCAGCAACACTTCGTCGACGCACAACGGCCGCAGATGGTCGACCAGACCCCTCGACGCCCGACACAACTTCCTCCTCCGCACCAACTCGAACCCGCCCTCACGTCTCTCCCCTTGCGCAATTCTCCGCCTTCCCACCTCCAGCCCTCCGTTCGTCAGCCGATGCGTTTGGGAACGCGGTCGAGGCAGCCGTCCGATGTGTCGAGTGCGAGGCGAGGGTGAGGGATCGAGCGAGGGAGGTGAAGCGGATGAGGAAGCGGGTCGAGAGGGCGGAAAAGGAGGCGATGGGTGGGGAAGTAGTAGGATGACGGGGCTGGTCGGGTCGGTTGCTGAGGCGAGGGTGTAGGAGATTGCAAGGAGGAAGCGGAGGTCGCGTTGGTCGGTGGTCGTTTGCGGGCGTCATAGACTGCCTGGCGCAGCTTTCGCCTTCCATCTCGCCTTCATACCACCCGCACGCTGTCCTTCCCACACCCTCACTCGTCCGCGTTCCCTCGTCCATTACCCCACATCCACTCGCGAACCCTCCAGTACAGCTTCTCTCCCATGAGGAGGGCGCCTCCGCCGAGGACCACGACGCCCGTTGCGCCAAACACGATGGCGACCGCGCGTGTGAAGGCGCGCGCGAGGTCGCGGACCTGTGTGCGGAGCGAGTGGGCGTGTGACGAGGGGGCGACGACGGGGAGGAAGAAGAGCGAGGTGAGGGCGAGGTAGAGAGGGATGTCGCGGCGCAGGGCAGGGTCCAGTGGCATTGCTAGAGCGCTTGGTAGTCGACTTGGCCGCAACAGTGAGCGTGGAGAGGCAAAGGAGAGCATTCCTGGCGATTGCCCTCCTCGAACCGTCACCACTCGCTCGTTCTCCCTCTTTCGCCCGCTCTGCTGTGCTGTCTATACTCGAGTACACCCTGCTGTCCAACGCCGTGACCCGCCAGCCGACCCGCGCACCCTGCGACCCACACTCATTCCCGTCACTTTGACCGCCAAGTCGCTCGCCGCGCCCTTCTCCCTCGCCTCGCCTGGCCTTCGTGCATGGAGAACTATGAGCGCCTCGAAAAGGTCGGAGAAGGTGCGCCGCGCTCGCCTGAACCGCTGGTTGAGTAGCGAGCTGACCCTCGCTTCCTCGCGCAGGGACATACGGCAGCGTCTACCGCTGCAGGCAGGTCTGTGATCGTTCGCTCCGCTCGCTCTAGAACTGTCACTGACGCTGTCGACCCGCCCACGCCCCGTCCTGCCGCCATTTCGACTTCTCGCCTCCCGGCTCCTCGTCTTTCGCGACCCGACGTGAACCCGCATACACTCCCCCTCGCATCCGTTCATCCCAATTCCATTCTGTATTCCTCGCCCGACCCGCAGGTCCACACCGGCACGATCGTCGCGCTGAAGAAGATCCGGCTCGAGGAGGAGGACGAGGGCGTGCCGAGCACTGCGTTGCGCGAGGTCAGCGTCTTGATGGAGCTGGGCCAGAGCACGCACGAGGGGGCCAAGTGCATCGTCAAGTGGGTCCTTCGGTTCATCTTGGCGTGATGTAGGGGAACGGAAGACCGCTGCATGAAGAGGTGGACCGGGAGGAGGCGAGATAGGCGAGGTTGCGAAGGTCGACTCTTCGAGGCTGACTTCCCGTTCTTCCCTCCGACCCACCCGTCCATCCCGACCTACACCACGTCTCTACAGGCTCCTCGATGTCATCCACGTCGACGAGTCCCTCTCGCTCGTCTTCGAGTTCCTCGACCTCGACCTGAAAAAGTACATGGACGTCGCGGCGCTCGCAGCACAGCAGGCCAGCAGCGCGCAGACTGGGACGGTCGACGAGGAGGGCAACTGGAGCATGCCGATGCCGCAGCAGGTCTTGCCGCACAATGTCAAGGGGAAGGGGAGGTCGAAAAGGGGTCTGCCGGCGGACCTCGTTGCGGTGAGTCCCGGAGGGAATGTCTACGACGCGCGGCCGGCCGCGATCATCGACTTATGCTGCTTCTTCGTGCGCTCGCAGAAATTCATGTCGCAACTCCTCCTCGGGCTCGCACACCTTCATTCCCGCCGCATCCTCCACCGCGACCTTAAGCCGCAGAACCTCCTCATCGACAAGCAGGGCAACCTCAAGGTGCGCTGCAGAGTCCGCCGCTTGTTGAACTGCTCCGCGTGCTGACGAGCTTGGCATCTTTCTCTCGCTCGCAGATCGCCGACTTTGGTTTGGCGAGGGCGTTTGGCGTACCACTACGGACGTACACGCACGAGGTGCGTCGCAAGCGGTGTTTGCAGCATCGTCGAAGCTTTCGTTGACTCGGTTCTGCAGATCATCACGCTCTGGTACCGACCACTCGAGGTGCTGCTCGGCGGCCGGCACTACACGACTGGCGTGAGTCCGCTCCTCCGCTCCTTGTACGCAATCCGAACGCTCACCCGAGGCTTTTTGCAGGTCGACGTCTGGAGCTGCGCGACCATCTTTGCCGAGATGTCGACGGGCCTGCCTCTCGTGCCAGGAGACTCGGAAATCGACCAGATCTTCAAGATCTTCCGGTTCGTCCGCTCGACCCTCTCCTCCAATTCCAGCTAACGCTCCGCTCCTGCAGCCTGATGGGCACGCCCACGGAGCAGACGTGGCCCGGCCTCAAGCAGATGCCCGACTACAAGGCTTCGTTCCCTCAGTGGCGCGCGACCGATCTCCGCCAGCTCTTGCCCGAGATGGACGACCGAGCGCTGCACCTCCTCAACGGCATGCTCCAGATCGACCCGGAGAAGCGGATCTCGGGTGCGTTTCGCCCCCTTCTCTCGCGCGTCTCGCTCACACTGACTGAGTTCACGAAACGCACAGCCAAACAAGCCCTTCGACACCATTACTTTCAGGCTCGCCCTCCCGCTCCCTCTCCACACCCCGTCTCGCCCCTCTCGCAACCTCTCTCGCCCCTCCTCAATCCCTGGGGAACGACCGGTCCGCCCTGCGCGCAACAGTTCGCCGCACCAGCTGGCTCGCACGCGCAACGAGGGACGCATCCGATCGCCCAGCCACAACAGCAGCAGCAGCAGCAGCAGCAGCAGCAGTCGTTCTTTGCTGCTGCGCCGGCGAGAGCGGGACGGGGCAGCGCTGGATCGTTGCAGGCGAGTCCGATCGGGAGGAGCGTACCGAGAGGGGAGGGGTTGATGGCCTCGCCTATGCACTGAGTGCGTCGGCGGGTTAGGCGAGGAGACTGGTCTCCCTCTCGCCTTGACAGCGCATGCCCATCTCCATTCATTCGTTTTGTTCCCCTGCATCTTACTCTCGCTCAATACTCTCCCGCTTCTGTACTGTACGACCAGCGCAACCTCATCGTCATCGAACCCATTCGTTACCCTCCAGCGTCTCACGGAGAGAGGTCTGCAAGCTCACGCTCTCGCCCGCACCATCCCCTCGAGCAGAACGTACCCCGCCTTGACCCCATCCACAATCTCCACTCTCCGCCCCTCCGCTTCTCCCAGCTCCTCGACACACCCCGCCCTAACAGCCTCATCAAACCCAACCATCCCCGCGCACCCGAGACAAACCGCCCTCAACCTCCCTCCGTCCTCCTGCGCCTGTCGGATCAACCGCTTCACAGCGTCCTTCAATCGACGCGTGACCTCCGTCTCAGGCGTGGAATGCAACTCGACTGCGTTCAGGCCGGTCGTCTGTACGCCCGCGAACTTGGACGACTTCTGGCCCACCTCGATGCCAAGGAAGTCGGTCACTCCGTCGCTGAGGATCGACTCCCATACGGCGCCGGTAGTTACGATCCCGAACTTCTCGCCTGGTGCACGGAGGAGCGCGAGCGAGGCGAGGATGGAGGCTTCGAAGATCCCGAGAACGGGGAGGGGTGCGAGGCGCGCGGAGAGGAGCGGGACGAGTGGGTGGACGGAGTAGCAGGCTATGAGGATGGCGGAGTAGGAGGAGGCGAGGGATTCATCGAAGGAGGAGGAGGAGGAGGAGGAAGGCGAGTTGAGGAGGTGTGGGAGGACGGCGGTGGCCGAGGCGTGGCAGTCTTCTGAGTTGTTGATCGAGGCGATGCCTGTCGGTGCGGTGAAAAACGTAGGCGGGGGTAGCTGTGCGAGGTGGGAGTTCAGCGAGTGTATCAGGTTCAGAGGGAGAAGCGGACGCACCTGTCCTGTCGCGACTATCGGTCCGAGTGCTGCTTCGAGGCCGTCGGTCATGGACTTGGTCGTGTTTGGGTTCACGACGAGGATTGGGAGCGGGGACATGGTCCAGAGAGAGCGAGGATGGAAGCGGACTGAGGAGGAGGTCGTCGCGGGAAAGAGGCAGGCAAGCGGGCGTCGGGCTGGGCTATGATTCAAGGTCCAGGACAGGTCAAGCAGAGTGTGCAGGGTGCAGAAGAGGCGAGAGAGCGAGCAGGACGAGGATGGACCAAGTACTCCGCTTCGACCGCCTCCTTCGCGAGCAGACGCGGGGTCGTCGCGCTTCGTTGAGCCAAGCGTCCGGCAGCCAAGAAGTCCCTCGTCAGCGCGGCGAGCGAGGCGCTGCTTGTCCTCCTGCCATCCACCTTGCTATCCTGCTGCCTCATGCTGTCATCCTGCTCCCACTCGGACTGCTCGCTGGCTGGCGGGGCGATCGCTCAGACGACAGGCGATTGCGGCGGGTTCCGCGCACGCATATTTCGCGCACCAGCACTGTCTTGCGGCCTCGCGTCGATGTCGAGCGAGGGAGACTGGCGCCGGTGGAGGAACGAGGCAGGCGACGGCGACACACAACAGCAGCAGGCGGCGCGGACACGAGCCAGAGGACTTAGGACTTGGGAGGGACATTCGCGCGCTCGCCTGCCGATGCCAAAGTTGGCTGTCGCGCTTCCGTCTCCGCTCGCGGTCGCATCGGTGTTTCGCTCGCAGCTTGCGCTTCGTCCTGCTCGTGCTGCTCCTGCTGCTGTCCTAGAGCTTGTTACACGACTGCACACCCGCTCACTGAACCCAGCCATGCTCGCACTCACCGCCGCCGCAGCAACCCTCGCCCTCGCAGGGTCATCCCTCGCCACGACCACCATCACGGCCGCACCCTCGCCCTCCCAGGTCCAGCAGGCAGTCAAGCGCGCGGCGTCGCAGAACCCCTTGACAGACTACACCTACTCGTACTCGGCTGTCCCGTACCAGGTTCTGCCCGGAGCGTGCGTCCCCCTCCCCTTCGGTATCCTCAAGGCTGCGCCCGAAGAGATGCTGCCGTGCTGACACCTCTTATGTCGCTTCAACAGTGTCGGACGCGGTCCCCAGGTTCGTCTACTCCTCGCGATTAACCCCCAAAGCCCCCGTGCTGATGCCGAACTCCCCCTCTCGATCCCTCAACATCCTCAACTTGCTCTCCTTTTCGCCCACGACAGTCCGGCTACAACATCTGCAACTCGACAACCTCGGGACCGGACTCGCAGTGCCAGACGCTTGTCGCCAACAACGCGAGCGACTTCTGCCTGTGGGGATCGCCGACGACTTCGCCTAACGGTACCATGTGCGTCGAGACTTTGCCTGGGGCGCCAAAGTGCGTTGCTGACATGCTCGAGTCGATCCAGCGGCGATGTCGAGGCCGCGGTCGTTGCCTACGTGCGCTTCACCTCGCTCTTCACCTCGACCCCGCAGCAAACCGCTCACGGGCCCTCGTCTCCTCTTGCAGTGCACGAACGACCAGCACGGTGCTCGTGTTCTTCCCGCAGGCGCCATCACCGGTCTTCAGGTGCGATCCCCAGCTCGCCCACCCCTCAGGAGCGACTCACTGACGCTCGACACGAACCGCGCAGTTGATGCACACGTCCGCCTACATCCAATGGACGGGACACATCAACATGACTGCGTTGGGTTTGATGGCGACCGACACCGGAGGAGAGCTGGGTGCGCCTGCTTCTCCGCTCGAAGAACCGCAACAGCAGCTTACGAGTGATATTGCGCAGACCCGCACGGCGCCGATTTGGCTGGTAACCCTCTCGGTGGTGCGTCTCACGTTTGTTTGCGACTGTCACCACGACGGGGCTGACGTGTGACGATGCGCAGGTCTCGTCTACTCGAACCAGATGCCGGGCGGGAACAACCAAACCGAGATCCAGGCGATCGAGTGGAACAACTTCGGTGCGACGCCACGCCACACCTCTCCTCCCGTTGACGAGACAGCTGACCCGGCGGGAGCGAAACAGTCGGCTCGGGCGTCTTCTGCTTGAAGTTGTGCTTCGACAACACCCAGAACGAGCCGTTCTACTGCGAGAACAAGTTTGACTTGTTGGGCTGCTCCTACAGTGCGTTGTTCTCGGTGCCCTCCTGCGCTCACAGCGGTCGGCTGACGCGCCTCTCACCGCGCAGACATGCCCGCCGCGTACCAGGACGGCGTCTTCCTCGAGTGCGATGGCGACCTCCAGGACGTCGTCGGCACCTACACCGGTACCGACGGCTCCAAGACCATCTGGTCGCAGCCATCGTCCCTTCCTGCAACCTCGACGCTCCCTTGGACGCCTCGCGTGCCGGCGTCGAGCAACTGCAAGACGTACCAGTCGACCGACTTGTTCCCCAACTCATTGCTTGGCTACCAGGTGAGTCCTCCCTGGGTCCTTGCCGCAATGAGCTCAATGCTGACCATTCGGAAACCGCAGTCCACCTCGACCTCTTCGTCGACCGCCTCTTCCGCGACCATGACCGGCGGCGCGTCGGCCTCACGCTCTGGCGCATCCGGCGCAGGCGCAACCGGCACCTCCGCCAACGCCGCCGCACAGACGAGCAAGACCTCCAATGCAAACGAGGTCGTCGTCTCGGGCGCTTTCGGCGCCTTCCTCGCCGGCCTCGCGGCGTTCCTCGCCTGAGGTCTCGAGTCGGTATCGTAGGGCTGCATGGACGTTCTAGCATGGATCGCATCTAACCTGCGAGTTCCCCCGATTCCCCTTTAGTCCTTCCCTCTTTCTTCGGTTCTCGCTATTATCACCCCGTCTCCCTCTCTCGCAATCTTAGGGTTCTTCCGCGGGCAATACTGGCGCTGTTCGTATAGAGACCATGCAAGTAAGAAAGAAGCTGCCGCCTGATCACCGACTTTCGCCCTCCCCTCTTGACCTTCTCCCGCATTCGCCTCTCCCGCTTCCCGCTGTTCCAATGGCTCCACGCGGCCGCGGTCGAGGCCGAGGCACCTCCGCCGGCGCTGGCAAAGGCGGGCGCAACAACACACCCCGCGTCCAGCGCGACAGATCTCAGTACGGAGGGAGCGGGTTCAGCGAGATCCCTGCTTCGGCGGTGGACCAGCCGCTTCGAGGGGAGGGGAGCGAGTCGGATGGTGAGTACACTCCCGGGGTTCTGGGCGGTCTGAGCGGGTGGCTGACGAGTGGAGACGGTCGATAGGCGAGGGAGGCGATGAACTGCTTGCGAGCGAAGTGCCCGTCGCGATGTGGGTGCGTGGACTCGTTCTCTGCGTAGACTGAACGAGGCTGATTGATGCTCGATACAGGATTTTGACCACTGCGACCCGCGCAAGTGTAGCGGGAAGAAACTCGCTCGACTCGACTTGATGCAGGAGTTGAGGGTCGGGCAGCGCTTCCAAGGCGTCGTGATGAGGTGTTTCACTCGTTGCAGTCCCTCAGACGAGTATGAACTGACGCACGGTGACCCACCAGCCCAAAAGGAACGCAGGTCGTCTGCCCTGCGGACAAGGACATCGTTGCGGCTGCGGGAGTTGCGGTCGTCGAGTGCTCCTGGGCGCGCCTCGAGGAGATCCCGTTCAACAAGATCAAATCTCCTCATGAGCGGTTACGTGCGTATGTGGCATCTCGCTCCGAAGGGGTGAGGCTGATCTCGCTCGACTTGCAGTTCCGTACCTCGTCGCTGCTAATCCCGTCAACTACGGCAAACGTGCGTCCTTTGGCTCACTCGCAGTCGCTTCGCATCTGACACGCTTTTACACACAGCCTACAAGCTCACCTGCGTCGAAGCTATCGCCGCTGCGCTGTACATAACTGGCTTCGATGCGCAGGCGGAGGTGTTACTGAGCAAGTTCTCGTGGGGTCACTCGTTCTGGGAGGTTAACGGGTGCGGCCATCACTTTCAACTCTCCGATTCGACGCTGACTTGGACTGCCCAGACCCATCATCGAGCGGTATCGCACTTGCACGACGCCCGAGTCAGTCATCGAGATGCAGGAGGTCATGATCAGGGAGATGGAGCGCGAGCAGGACGAGCGGAGTGCGTCCCATCTCTGCGTCGAAGCGATGGTGTGCTGACGAGTGTCCTTGCAGAACGAGCGAAGGAGGAGATCGAGGAGGCGGGCGACTTGCTCATCGAGAACCCTAACCATGCGGGCGGAGCGTGGCGACCACATCACTCGGACGAAGAAGAGGAGAGCGAGGAGGAGGAAGAGGAGGAAGAGGACGACGGCGAGTACGAGATTGACAAGCTCGGGAACCGGATCAAGAAGCTGTGAGGGGAGGACGAGAGGACTTGTAGCATAGTACTCGCATCGCATGTTCAGGCAGTGTGATCTACTTGCACAGTGAGTATACAACGAGGGCTAGACGGCGTACAGCAACACCTTAACTCGACAACAAACCTTGTATCGCCCGCTCCATCTCCTCGTCTCGCTCGATTTCTGCCGGTGTCGGCCCTGTCGTCTGTGGCAGCTCGCCGACCTTGCCGGTCGCCTGTCCCAGCTTGCCGTCTGTGATCTGCCACAGCACCTTGTCCACCTCTTCCTGCGCCTCCTCCTCGAGCTCCTCATCTGCCTCGTCGAGCGTCTCCATCGTGTCGTCCATCATCTCCGTCATGATGCCGGCCTGCACGAGGGTCGTCAGTACGCAGAGAGCGTCCGGATGATCGAACTGGACGCACCTTCATCATCTCAGCGCTCATTTCCCGCATCGTGCCCGATAGTTGCGGCAGCTTGATGAGCGAGTTGGACGCCCTCATGATCTCCGTCGACGCCTGCAGGGTCCCCGTCACCTTGACCATCGCTGTGAGAATAACGAGTAAGCGTGCAAACTGGAGAGAGACAAGAGAGGGAACGCACCGAGTTGGTGGCCCAGCTGCATATTTATCGAGTTGAGCTGCGCCTTGCTCGTGAGCATCCGCTGCTTCTGCCGGTTACTCCGCACGACCTCCCTCGCGAGCAGCTTGGCGTTCTTCGTGTCGCCCTTCTGCGCCAGCTTCTTCACCTCGGCCTTGACCTTGTTGCTGGCGAGGTCGAGCGTGTGGATCTCGCGGTCCAGCATTCGCTGCTCCTTCTTGAGCTGACCCTGCCACTTGCGCACCTTCTCCTGCGGCGTCGGACCCCACAAGAAGCGATTTATTGACTGCATCGCCATGAACGGTCGAGGGAGTTGGGGTTCGCTGATGAGGATACGAGAGTCGGTCGGAGGGCGAGGCGCGTGGTGTCAAGCTTCGTACGGGGTAGAAAGAGCTTTGGCGAATCCGGTAGAGCAACTCGTGGCAGCCCTTGCCAATGTAGAGGTGCAGCAGCGAGCGGTTCAGGTCCAGGAGGTGGTGCGTCGGCAACTTAACCTCATCATCCGCACTCACTGGCTCGTATGGGCTCGAGCGACACACCAGACATGTCAGGTCCTCCCACAGGAAGTCCCAGCGAAGCGCCAGAACCCGCGCCTCGCCCAACACCGCCCTCACCACCCGTCGACTCTCGTTCTCGGCGGTGGATTGTTCTCTCGTTCTGGGCTGTTGTGCTGCTGGGACTGCCGCTGTGGTGGAAGACGACGACTCTCGAACGGAGATCGCTGCCGAATAGCCGGGTGCAACACTGGGCGGAGAATTGGCAGGAGCGGATACCTCGGAGAGACGACTTGCGGGACGGTACAGGTGCGTCCTTGCAGGTTTCTTACCCGCCTCTACTCTAGGCTGAGCTTCCTTGTGTGCCCTGCAGATTCGCGCGTCGTGCGGTTCTCCCCGAACTACAAGGTCGTCCTCAGCCTGTTGAACCAGGATGCGAGCCAAGGCGGTGCGGTCTTGACGTGGGGTGCGCCCTCATTGATCAGACGTGCGTGCTCTCCTGACTGATTCACGGAGCCTGACTGATCCTCTACGCCTCCGGCAGAACACCTTCGTCCGCTCCTCAAGACTCTGGCGCCTCTGCACAACTTCACCTTCGAGACCCAGATCCAGTACTTCTCTCCTCTCGCTATTGAGCTTCACCGAGATGAGGGTGCGGGTACGCTGGTGGAAGAGAACGACCTGCGGGCATTTGTGAACAACGCCGACTGGAACCTTGGTGCGTCTTCTCTGCCCGCTGAAATCGTCCTTCGTCTGACTCGTACCACTATTGCAGCGACGGGCGATACACTCGATCCCGTCATCCATCTCATGCTCTACGTTCCAAGCGCCGAGAACCGGCCTATGCGCATTCGAGCAGGAGGTGCGCAGACTTGCTTGCCCTCTACGGCTGAAGCACGAACTGACTGGTCATGCTTGTGCGGATCAGACGAGATCAAACCCACCTCTGCCTTCATCATGCCGCAACGAGGCGGCGTAGTCATCCTCAACCCGCTCTCTTCTTCCCCCGAATCTCCGCCCTCAGTCCCCCTCGACGTCCCTTCTTCAGCTTTTGCCGCTCCGTTCCGCCTTTTCGAGCAACAGCTCCGCGTCCTTCTGGGCCTCGAGACCTCACGATCAGGTGGAGGAGGGCAGGCGCAGGTCGACAGGCTCATTCACCGGCGAACGAGGGAGGCTGTGGAGGATTGCGTTGAGACGCTTCAAGCGACTGTCAAGATGGCACGGGATATCCCCAACATGCGCATCAGCAAGGAGGTGCAGGAGCGGATAAAGCGAGCGCTGGACGAGCTGGACAAGGCGAGTTGGCCGGTCTAGCGGTCTGCTGTCTTGCGACGGGCTTTGACCTCCTCCGTTTCGTTTTCATACCCTCAGGCATCCTCCGCTGTGGCCCCAGTCGACGCCCTCCGTCACGCCGCCCTCGCCCAAACCCTCGCTTCGCGAGCCTATTTCGACCCCTCGATGGTCGCCCTCCTCTACTTTCCCGACGAGCACAAGTACGCCATCTACACGCCGCTCTTCGGGCCGGTGGCCGTGCCTTTGCTGGTTGGGTTGTTGCGGGAGTTCAAAGAATGGAAGAAGGCGAGGAAGGAGAGGATGGCGGGCGGGAAGCGGGCAGAGAGCCGCGACGGAGACGCGGAGGGTAGGGACAAGGTGGACTAGAGGGAGGAGGAGCCGTGTATTGCATGTTTGGCGGGTGTTTGAGCATGATCAGGTCGATGCTTCTCGACGAGGGACTCGCAAGGAGAGCGACTTCGAATCCGCTTGGTCCGCGAGTAGCGATTCGGCGGGCGTAGAGACCGCCGAAAGCTTCCCTACGCCTCCTGCGGTCGTTGAGACCGCTTTGACGTCGCCAGACAGGTCGGCACCGCCCCACCAACAAGCTTGGACAAGTCCAGCTCACTTGCTCATCGCTGCTCGCCTCTACTGGCTCTGTAGGATGCCTCACAAGCGCGCCAAACGCAGTCTCCGTCTCGCGGCGAGCGAAGCAAAGTGCGCCTTCGCTTTCTCCCGTCTGCCCATCCTCATCGCTCCCTGACCCTGAATCCGCTCGCAGAGGCATCGACAACCCTCCGACGGCTGCAGACTCGCTCTTGCCGATCACTACAACTACAGAGGGGACGGAGGCGGCTGGAACGGCGGACGGCGAGAAGCGGAACAAGAAGCGGAAGAAGGCTGGCTCGGGTGCGGGTCCTGTCGACACGGGCGGGATGAGCAAGTCGGCTTTCCGGTGCGTCCTCTGGCTCCCCGACATGACGATGACGTGCTGACGAGTCTCTCGCAGGATCCTGAACGCCGCCAAGCTGAGAGAGGAGTACCATGCGAAGAAGAAGCGGAAGGTCGAGGAGGAAACGAAGGGTAAGAACCCGAACCAGCAAAAGGTGAGCACACTAGCATTCCTATCCTGCTATCCCCCGCTAATCCTTGCACGCCCGCAGAAATCCTCCGCCATCCAGCCGCTCCCCTACGAATCGCTCTCCTCGTTCAACCACCGCGTCGAGCAAGAGATGCGACACTCTGTCCGTACGGCTATCAAAGATGCGAGCAATACGGCTCAGAAGCGGAAAGACCGGAAGGGCAAGGCGAAGCAAACCGCGGACGAGGATGAGGAGGATGAAGAGGAAGACTCGGGCGTCACGAAGGACAAGGACGGCAAGCCCGTCGCAAAGAAGGCTAAGCCGACGCCGGAGGAGTCGCTCGATCCGTTCGCCAAGCCCAGAGTGCAGCGGGAACAGCAGCAACTCGAGCAGGCGAAGAGTCGGTCAGGCCGGACCGAGTTCGCAGCGGCAGATTTGCGGCGACGGATCGACGATGTTGTCCAAGCGCCACCTACGCTTGCAGACCCCGCTCGTAAGGGTCTCATGCAGAAGGTGCTTGGGCCAGGTGGCGCAGCGGCGTGCGGGACAACGAGTGAGGGGCCGGGGACGTTCAAGCTGGCGGGTCCAGATGCGCCGGTCGGAAGCTCGCGGCTACCCATCAATCCGGCGATGAAGGCGATGCTGGATGCGGAGCGGGAGCGGGCGGTCAAGATGTACCGGCAGCTGAAGGAGCAGCGGGAGAAGGAGCGGGCGAAGTGAGCCGGATGGCTGCAACGGGTCGCGTCGTTCATCGGGCGCGTCGGTAGCATGGCGTGAGACAACGTTCGCTGGCAGGAGGCATCAGAGCGAAAGCAGCGACGCCTGGCGAGCTTGAGGCCGGAGTTGAGAGGCGAGAGAGGCCAGCCACGAGATTCTCTCCGACTCGCACGAGGCAGGCAGTAGATGGACGAGCGCGGGGATTGCATGGCAATAAAGGGGCGCACTGTCTGAGAACGATGTACGAAAGACAACAGGAACCACGACTGAAAAGCGAAAGTCTCCTCCTTCTTCTCCCTCAACGAAGTCGGCCTCAAATCGGTGCGAGCATGGAGGACGGTGAAGCTTGCTATGTTGTTGACCTGTCAGCGTGTGGACGAGCGCAGGAGAGCGCAGATCCGACCAAGGTGAGGGCTTGGGAAGGTTGACCTGCACGAGGAGAGATGTCCCCTCCTTGAAACGTCGAAAGAGGCGTCTGCGCGTCAGCCATCGGCAGTCTAGCATGTCTGCATCCAGCTGAGACCCTTCGCTTGCGAGCAGCTGGTGCGAGTCGAGGAGAGCGTCTGCGCGTGTAGCTTCTTCGCACTCTCTCCTCCTCCGTCCACGCTACCTCGCTTATTCGCGGAAGAGTCGCGCTCGAACACTCACTACGACATCGACGCGCGCCCTCCTACACCTCGCCACTCCCTCCGATGGCTCCGCCGCGCCCTACCTCGTCCTCGTCCGCCTCGAACGGCCCTCCTCCGCAACGCCGCCACGGCGTCCTATGCGACGCGTCCAACACGCCCGGGCCGTCCAACACCCACGCCTGGGCTGGAACGCCCCGTCAAGACGTGTCTCCTGTGCTCAAGCGGGCCAGGGTCGAGGAGGCGGATGGCACCGTCGACCCCTGGGGACGCAAGCGTGTCTTCGGCAAGCGGGACTGGCAGAGCAGGGAGCAGCACGACCTCGAGAAGAAGCGCGCGCGGTTCATCGCTGCGATCAAGAGCAAGAAGGCGGAAGAAGTCGCCTTTCAGCGCGCAGGTCAGGGAAGGGGCAATGAGGCTGTCAAGATCAGGCAGGAGCGTGAATGCTTGGAGAAGGAGCTCAAGGCGATCGAGTCGCAGATCAGTAGACTCGATGGGGGATCGGAGACGAGCGCGAGTGATGGGGAGGACGAGGTGCGCTCCCTCTGCCTTTCGCGCCACGAACGACTCGTACACGCGCGCAACGCAGTTCTGACGCAGCCTCCTCGTTGGGCAGAGCATCGGGCGCTCGGCGTCGACGTCTTCAGGCGCTGGAACCGCCGCCTCGGAAGCCGCAACTGCTCGCAACAACACCCCTCTCTCCGTCCGCCCTTCGAGCTCCGACAACGACACTCGCACGGCTCCCCAGGCCACCACCACGCAGCAGGCGCCGGCTCCGACGGTTCAGTCATTCGCTCAGCCGACGAGTCGCCCGCGCCGCGACATTCCTCCTCCTCCGCCCACTCAGACTGCGAACCCCGCTCGCAACGCGCCGATTGCACAGCCTGCTGGTGCACAGGCGAGCGGAGCATCTCTGTCGCGCACCTCCACGAATCAGGAGAACCCCGCAGCCGTCGCAAGCGGGTGGATCTCCCTCCAGTCGCTCGTCGACGAGATTGCTCGCAACGCCTACACCTTGCCGCTCAAGAAGACGCTCAAGCTCGATGGTCTCGTCATCAACGGTCGCATCAAGGCTGGCGACAAGCCCCGCATCCTCAAGCTCATCCTGCACCTGCTGGAGGAGGTCAGCCGCGGCGAGCAGGCGAAGGAGGCGCTGTCATCGCTTGGCTTGAAGCCGGCGAACGAGATCAAGAACGTCAAGCACATCTTCTTCGCCGTCCA